CCTTTCCGCGTCGCTCGCGCTTAGGGAAAAATGAAAAAGAGAGGAAAAAAGTTGTGAGGGAGGGTAATAGAACATGCTCCAAATGCAAGAGCTGGGGCCCTCGAGCTGCTGCAGGAGCGGGATGTTAGCCATCGCCTTTGATCCAAGCGTACTTGTAAGTGGAGGCCACTAACTGGGCCATTCACTGTGACCATCCACTTCACAAGAGCGTGCGTGTGCTTTCACGAACGAAATGGAGGTGTCCCATCCTGAGCCGTCACGTTCGAGCGTGCATGGCCACTAGGTCGCTTTCAGAGAGAGTCATCAAAGATCGCAACATGATTTCGACCAGTGCGACAGTGGCTTCGACGGGAGCTACGGAGTAAGGGTTGTCACGGGACGGGATGCTTCTCGCTAGACAATTTTTTTCTCTTCTTCTTCGACTTTCCTTTCTTTGGTTTCTCATCTCATTGTATGCTAAGTGGTTGCGTCAGTCCCTGGGTCGAATGCGGAGAAAGGGGTCTAGAGGAGGGGGTTGGCTGCCACCCACCAGAATATCGATAACTGTGACCCCGATCGCCATCACTCGCTATCAGTATCAGCTTACCCGGCCGCCAACGCCACGTAGCAGAGACTCATCCAACGTGCTCGCTGTCAAGTGGGACTGCAACTTCGGGTCTAGACTAGCCGTCATTCTGAAGCACAATTTAACGCCGCGACTCGTGTAAAATTTCACCTTTATCGTGGATGGAGGTAGGTTGTGAGCTTGCGTGCTGCTTGCCCGGCCCTTGCCCGAGACAGTCCCCACCATTATCTACCCACTTTTGTCACGGCCAGCAGAAACAGAGTTTCTTCAAAACGTGATTGAAGGCTCCGAGAAACATGGCAAGTGGATCTTCCGAAGAGGGCCCCGGTTCTTTTGTTGGACCACTGACCAAAACTGAAAATGAGGCCGCAAAGGACGTTTGGTGACAACATCAAAGATGGGCCGTCGAGTATGAGTCTTGTTCGTTCTCTTTCTCAGCCTCGAGAGTATTCATGTAGTCTCCACTATTAATAAAAGAACCCGTTCTGGTCCGAGCTGGACCTCCATCCATGGTGTGCGTGCAAGTGATTGACGTAGGAATTGGTGCGTCTCCTCTGCTACTGCTATGTGCGTGCGTTGCCACCCCGTTCAAATGATCATCGATTGAAGGTCCCGTCTTTCGCTGCCCCGCATGGACCCTGGACCTCTTGTGGTTCCAGCCGTCATCAGACTCGGGATCTCAAGTCCTCAACTTGACTGGATGTCTCGCGTGCTCTCAAGCCTTCGTATGCTACCTGCTGCAAGCTCTTTAGATTACAACGTGCTGAGGTTGTGCCTATCTGTCCAAATACAACACATCCCCTCCGGTGTCAATGCAAGCGGGACGGCTAATTAAACATCTGGTGAAGTCAGTGCTTCTTGCTTCATCTTATTACACTAGAAATGCGCAAGAGGAAACATGACAATCTGATCAACTGACAAAGAATCAGCGAAAAGGGGGTCTGTCAAAACTCGAGCCTGTACTTCATGGCTCCCCTCCATCTTGTTCACAGGGCCAGCGACCGCGGACATGATAACGGCCATGGACCTGTCGCGGGGACTGTAAAATGGGCCCTGGGCAAGATCTTGAGTCCAAGTCCACGGTGAGGTGACCGGGCGCTGATTCCAAACATAGCCGTGGGCCGTCCTAGATCTACACACTCAGTTCATACAGCATCAGTATCCTGACCCAAGCGGTTGCATTTCTTGTTGGTAGGTTCCTGAGACTCGCATCCAAGCTGTCTCCTAACTGGAACCATAAAAAAAAAAAAAAGGGAAAAAAACCATCAGCCAAAGCGAATGGTGGAGGGGTAGTCTGGGCTTGGGGGATGCAGAGTGGTGGCATACTGGTGCCTATAATTAGAGGCGCTCGATGAGCAATTGGAAGGAGGGTTTCATTCTTTCGTTTCCTTTGTCCCTTTTCCCTTTCCTCCTTTTGTTCGTTCTTTTTTTTGTCGCCTTTTTCCCCTTGGCTTGGGAGGGAGAGGTCCGTTCGCTGCACTAGGACCAAGCGCACCCGCCACGCCACTAGCATGAACATCGCATGAACGCAAAGGGCACTAATAAAAGTCCTCAAGGGCAAGATTGCCACATGGACATCCCTGAGTAGACGAAATAGCTGAGCTGGCTGGCTGGCTCAGATCACGGATTTCGCGGTTGGGAAAGAATGGAAGAATTCAAGATATTTGCCACATTCATGCCAAAGGCATGCCGGCCAACATTGTTGATGTTACCCGCCGCTCCACTCTTCTCAGACTTTTGTGTTGCCCTTTGCTATCATGTCTCTTTTCTTTTGTTGGATCATACGTCCGTCCCAAGGCATGCTCATCACGTTTGGGCCCCATAAGAGCTCCGGAGGGCAGTGCCAGCGGCGGAGCCCCGGAGCACATTGAGCCGGTCAGTGCCTGTTTCCGGGCATGGGAGACAGAGAAGAGATGAACTGGTGTTCTTTTGGCCTCCTGGTGAATGTTTCCTCCCCTTTGACAACGACCAGGCCTGCCCTGTGCTCGTTTCTCAAAGGCCACCATGCTGGTGGGATCTTGCACGATAAACCTGCAAAGAAGTTGAAACAACTCGGCAGTGCTTCAGGGCTCTGTCGCCGTCACTCGTAAATTGAGCCGGCTGACGAGTGTGTGTCGGGCCCCCTGTTGGAGGTGGGCGACCCCTGCACCTCCCTCTTTGAGCCTCCAAGTGATAGAAACACTGAGGAGAAAGGGTGAAAGGTGACAGGTGAAAGGGGAGGAGCATCCACCTCTGCTGCGGCTGCGGGGACAAAAGGATCGACCAGTCACACAATGGCAGGCTTGTGCGTGTTGTGCCGTGCTATATCAAGCCGTGGTATTAGTCGACTCTGGCAACGAGACAAGGTGCAACGGGCAGTTTCCCCTCCCACACCAAACCTGGCAGAGTGAGCAGGCATATATCAGCCTTCTTGTATTGACAAGCATTACCTGCATACGACAAGTATACCCCAACTTGCCTACAAAATTCACCTCCAACCACCCGCACCCCTGTTAAGACTACTCCAGAAAGGGGATAGCTCGGTTACGCGAAGAGGTCCGGCAAGGGCTTAAGCGGTTTCAACCCCGAGCCCCATGCTGCAAGGCCAGGAGTCCAGGCCGAAATGCGAAATCGAGAGAGAAAGAAGAAAGAATTGGGGTGACTCTGCGACAGGTCTTGCACTGGTCGAGAGACTGGAGCCCCAGCAACAACGTTGACACCCATTATTCGTACGAGGTACTTGTATCTTCCAAGGGGCTTGACGAGGAGCGATTCTGCCCAAAATCTCATCCCAAGCTTCGAGGATTCAGAGGCTGATGCACCAAAAGAGATTGATAGTGTACACCTCCAACAATCGCATCGCAGCTTGAGGCAAATTCTCACCCCCAGTCTGCCAAGAATCTATTCGAAGGGGAAAATCGGAGAGCAGGATGCCCTATCTCGGCTTGGACGTGCCTGTCTATCCTCGCTTGTCTGGTGGCGATTTTGCGGATCTCCGATAATAGTTGCCATTGATCTCCTCACCTCGCCTTCAATAGCGCAGGAAACCAAGCGGATGACCAAAGTTGCATGAACGGTGGCACATAGCTGTATGCTAGACCTTGTTTTAACTTCCCCCGCCCACCTCCCGACAAATGCCAATGGTTGATCAATGCTTTGCTGGACGAAATCGCCTGCAGCCGTTCTGCCTGTGGGAATCGATTGAAAATTTTGGAGATTTTGGCTTTGGAGTTTGAGGAGGGCCTGCCTAGGCTAGGCAGTGGGGAGAGGGCGATGGGAGCAAAGCACTCAAAGAAGTCTTGCCAAGAAAGATGACCGGGTTGGCTATAGCAAACGGAAGGTGCGTTGCTCCATGAGTGGAGCCCTATTCACGATCGAGAATTTCTGGATCTTGAGGAGGGAGCAGGAGTCCTCAGACACAGAGTCGACCCTTGACCCAGAGTCTCCCACACCCCCGGCTGCCCATGGAAGTCCTCGCTTGTGGAGATCCACACACCTTGGATGGGCTTCTCTCTTTTCTTCTGCTTCTTGTCTCCTCGGAGCGAGAGTTCCAGGGTATGAAAAGTACTTCCGAAAAGTTTGGGAACACACCCCCTCGGTCGCCCTCTCCCACTCCACTCCAGGAGGTCCCTGCGAAGAGGAACAGGATACGGCCACAGTGCGGGAACCCATTTTCCTTTCTTTCCTTTTTCCCTGTCGTGGGCCCCACGATACCACAGCAGCATAGCGTACATGCAGATGCAAGGCCTCCCTGTTCAAAGTGGTATCAAAAGAAAACGCTGCACCTCAAGCGAGAGGGACCATGGCGTATCCCCGTTGAAGACTTGCAGTGTGCAGTCTGTGACCAGGCCGAAAATCCCATTGATTCTCCCCTGGACCATCCTTTCACTGTGCTTTTTGTTTTTTGACGTGGGTGTTCGTTCTTAATCGCCGTGGACTCCGGCAGAGATATAATAGCCTCGTCCCTCAACATCTTCAGCCGATCATCCCGCCTCTCACCCGTGGGAACTTATATCCTCCCCTTTCTCCCGCCTGCCGAGCGCCGACCCCCTCCTCTTTCCTTCCCCTCCTGCCTCACTCTCTCACACCATTAGCAGCGGCAGATATCCCGAGCCTACTTGGTCCATTCGCACACCCACACACCCCGACTCAATGGCTCACATCATCAGCTGCATGGCCGATGCCGACCTGGACTCTGGCGCTCCAATCTCTTATATAGCGAAGCCAGCCTCCCCACAACCTCCCCATGATTCGGTATGCAACCACTTAAAAGAAGAAAAAAAGAACCCCTTATCCCTCTCGAACCACTTTGCGTCATTCGCAGACGATGAGAACCTAGGTGTACCCAGAGTTCTGTTTACTGACGTGTTGATCTCGTTTTTCTTCCCACTGCTAGATAACATCTCCTACACAAACTTCATCTGCCTCGGGCGAAAAGCAGCCATTCACTTGGAGAATGCATCAGCCGGAGACGAGGAAGTACCAGCTCTTTCCTAAGGGAAACCAGACAGCCACCAAGGTCCTGGACCCCGAGCAAGCTTTTGCCCATGCCATGTCTCAGAGCTCCAAGACCGAGAAGAGCGATAAGCTGGCGGCGGCAAGCAACGGCCTCAGGATAAGAATCAAGGAGCACAACCTCACCAGGCGACGGAAAATCAGCGTGCCCGACCTTGGGCCCATGACTACGGTCCAGGAGGTCGCTATGGACTCTCGTAAGTGCATCCCACTGAGCAATTCGCTTGCGGCTTGTCACCCCCAAGGCTCGACACTAATCCACGGCTTCATAGCTACGATTCCTGGAAGGCCTCCTCTCCACGAGCGATCCGTTAGCGCACCTGGCCAGAGCTGGAAGCAACAGAGCAGCCAGCTTTTCGACATGTCTTTCCTCCACAGCCCGATCGAAGAGATCATCCTCCCCACAAGCAGCATGGCCGCTCTTCAAAGTGAAAACCGGTCTCCCACACCAACCAAGCAACCTCTCTCGCCGAAACATCTCGCTCCCCTCGTCATTCCTACCCAGCAGGGTACCCTCCCTCGCCTTGCCAAGCAGATTTCCCTCACCCGCCTCCGGTCTGGGAGCACTCCCGTTGAGCCCCTAATCCGTTCTGCCAGGACCGACGACTCTCCGAGAACTCGTACTCCCTTCACGCCACTCTCTTCGAGCTCGACCCAAATGACTGCTTCCACTTTACCTACGCCCATTTCCGCCCCAATTACTGAGTCTTCTCGCGCCTCCCCAAAGCCTTGGGAAGCCCCGAGGGCCACGACGCCAACCCAGGCCATGATTGAGAGGGTGGGCACCCCCAAGACAGACGAGCCCCGAAGCGCCAATGCCGTTTTGTACGGTCATCGCAGAGGCGTCTCCGAGTCGGGCAGCATTATGGACAGGGGCCGACCTAAGAAGAGGAACGACATCCGCAATAATAATGGCCCCCTCCTGAAGAGGTCAGACTCGAAGAAGCGCAGCCAAAGTGCAGAGCGAAGAGCCTTTGAGCAGCTTCCCAAGGGCTGGAAAGCAAGCGAGGCCCCTAGCGCCCTGACTCCCAGCGAGGTATCGGAGCTCTACAGGCAGGCTGTCGGCCAGGCAGCTCGTTTCGAGGTCCTCCGCAAGGAGGATGTAGAGGCTTTGTCAAGGGTAAGTTTAGTATCGGGTGTCATGAATAGCGAAGTCAGAGCACTATCTAACCCCAGTATTAGGAACTCCGCCACCTCGATGAGCGGACGGAATATCTCCGTCGCACTTATACCTCTCTCCGCGCCGGGCGACGCAACCTCCATTCCCGGATTTGCCAGTATCTGCGATCTCCCCGCGTAGCAAGATTCAGCCATGACTCCATGCTGAAGCAGGAAGAGGCTCTTGCAGAACTTGATGCGTCCATTGACGATTGGGTGACCAAGCTCGAGCAGGCTGAGAACCGCCGTACTCGCGTCCGCCAAAAGCTCCTTGAGCACGTCGCGGCCGCGGCGACTCTTCCAGTCACAAATGCCACCTCGGCCTCGGAGTCGCTGCAACTTGCTATGGGCATCCGCCCTCCTCAGTACAACGGAGTGGGTAACATCTCCACACCTCCACGAAGTCCTACCAAGGCTGGCTTCTCGGGCAACACGACAACAACCACATCCGCCTCCACCTCCCCGCACCGTGCCGCCGCCCACGTCCCCAGCACTATCCTAGAGCAGCCCCTCGTCGAGGAGGCCGCTGCTATTAGTGATCTCAAGAACCCCATCACCGCCCCCTAAGCCGACGGGAGTGTGAGAGCATCCGCATCTATGCTGATAGCGATGTCTATGCGCTCCTCGCCGATGTTGAGAGCGAATTCACGAAAATGAGCATGCCAGCTGGTTCGCCTAGTCTGAGCGACACCGAGCGTCAGGAAATTCACCGTGCACGAAGCCACGATCTCCTCTGCGGTGCCCCCAAGGTTTCCGAAGAAACCGTAGCAACCGAAGCTGTCCTCTCTCAATCCCTCCCCAAGGAGGTCGTCAAGGAGGTCGCCTCCCCTCCCAAGACTTCGACAGAAGTTGCGGAGCCCATCTTTCTTACCAATGCCGTCTTCCGGCCTAACCCTCCCCGCAGGTCTCTAACGGCCTCTTAATTTCCATCTCGCCCATTCCATTCTTCCACCACTAGTTCACATCCATTTTCTTCACACTCCTTGGCTAGCTTGCAATTGAAGCGCCAAAGCTACTACGATTACGCATACCTTACGCTCCTTTCATCCCTTATTATGACCGACCCACGACGATCCTTGAATAGCCACAATTGGCCGACCTAGTCTCACTAGTTTTCGATACCACAGCCCTTTTTCTTTTTTTCTTTCTGTTTTTATAGTCCAACTCCTCCTTTGGATGTCATCCCCCCAACCTTGTATCTTTGATTCCACTTTTGTCGCAGTCCTAGGTGCATAAAGCCAGGCGTTTACTTTTCTCGCCGTTTTTCTTTCTTTCTTCTTCTTCTTGTTGGTTTCTTTTCTTGGCCCTCGAGCCTTTTGATTCCATCCTCATTATTTCTTCGGAGCAACATTAGATTGGAGTGTGCGCCCCACGGGGACACCAAAACCACTTGCATTTATTCATGTACACTTCTCGCATATGGGGCAGCAGGTCAAAAGGTGGGGGACTGTTACTCTTCCTAGTTTGGGGAGTTCCTTTGCATCATTTCGAGATTGGCAATCCAGGGACAATTCGAGTGTAGTAGTATCTACAGTGGATAGCGGGATCCTTTCACAAACCCCCAAAAGCAACAATACAAAAACATTGCAAACAAAGAAAAACTGTACTCAAGCAATCCGGTGACTGATCAATTGTTTTCCTTGGAGATGGCCTCAAGATTGTCAAAGCTAACCCAAGTCCCACCCATCCTTTCGCGTTCGGGTCCCTCCGAGAAGTCCGGGCCTCTCCTGCAAACTAGAAGATCCTAGCCTAAACCGGTTTAGAAATCCAGGGAAACGTGCAGCACCGGACGGCCTGAAACGGCCTAATGGCGTTTCGTCAAGGGTCCATCTGAACAAGCACTCTGAAGCCCTTCATCCCTCCCCAGCAAAAAAAAGAAAAAAGGAAAAAAGAAAAAAGAAGTGACAGAAAAAAGAGGTGAGCGAGCTTTGACGTTCAAACTTCATTTCACTGAGGATTGACTAGAGCCAGGCCGTTGCTCGAATGCGGAGGCACAGGACCGGCGCTAATAACCTTAGTCCAAAGCTAGGGCCGGCCGCTGGCGAGGTGATCCTGTCGTTCCACTTAGCGATACGAGCTTACTTTTGGAGGCGAGGCCATCGGCTCCGATCCTTGGGGCCATCGGAGATTCTTGCTGGATCGCTGGGACCCACTGGACCTCTCTTTGACCCTGGATAGATCAATGGTTTGGGAGTCGTTGGCTCTAGGCAAATGTCGCCCAGCGTGCCGATCTCGCCGACCCCTCGACCCCCAATACGCGGAATTACAAGGAGAAAGGGGGAATTGTGGAATTGGGAACGTTAGTGCGAACACACACTTGCGCTTGAGAAGCTTGGAGAGGTCACTGGGCTCAGATGGAACGGAGAAGGGCCAAACGGGACGGTTCTGAGCGGTCCTAGAGAGCTCCTCGAAGGTTCTCTCCCTTGTCTTCTGTTCCTCGGTAAAGAAAAAGTGATAGATGAAGGAGGCTGCTCGGTTAAGCCTAAATCTACTGGCTCTGCGAGGCTAATCTCTTGGCCATTTACGCCCCAAGCTCAAGTTGGGTGATGTTGGTTCTTGACCGTGCAAAGCCCGAGAGGAGGAGGGAGGGAGGGGTGTGACGAGAAAGCTTGAAGAGGGCTACAAAAAGTTCCACTGCGGCTGGCGCTGACGACAGGAAACGCGATAATCAATGATCGTGATCGGCAGCCCTGTGACGGATGCCTTTGGAAACATGTCGGAGTAGATGGGGTCAGTCACTTTTTTCGTTGCTTCTTTGCTCCTTGAAATGGTAGCCGGACTATCGAGCTAGCCCGTGAGCCGCACGGACGCAGGGAGCAGATGATGGCGAATGCCGATCGCCCATGAGCCCGGTGTTGCTTTGACATCTTGAATCAAGCCACTTTGTCTGCGAGGTGCGAGCAGAAGGGGAAGGTGAGAAGGTGATCGAGGGCTTCAAATTGTCTTGGCATCCCCTTTTAAGCGGTTCGGCTTGGGCCGATGGTTTCGGGGTATGAATATCAGGGTTTTTCTTTCTTGGTCCCTGCATTTCGGGCTTTCGGAGTGATGGGGTTAAGAGCAAAAAGGCAGGTGGGAAAGAGGGCGGATGACGGATGACGGACACGCGCGTCTCTCCTGCTGCAAGGGCATGGCGATAATCATAGTTCTCCGCATGATCTTGATGCTCACCAAAGTAATCTTTGCGAGCGCGCGACTAACGGCGAATCGTATAGAGGACAAGGTGCCTTTTTGAGTGAGAGAATGAAGAAGCTTGATCGTCGCGGCGTACATCCTAGCTTCCGCCAAGTTGATAGGGCTTTTTCTACCGAGAACGGGGAAGCGGCATTTCGCATTCGCTCATATGAAGACGCACCGGCGATAGCAGATATTGGGTCTCGAAAGGGTCCGACGATCCTTGCACCGTTCCCCTTCACCCGGGTCGGTTCCGGCCGACGCTCGAGATCGTTGCATCAAAACGATATAAACAAAGTTCAAACGGCGAACTCGTAGATGAGGATGCCAAGCTGTTATTCTTGTCATCTCTTTTCTTATATCCTATCCGTGTATACATAGCTCACCCTCTATCACTTTAACCCATTAAAGTCATAACTAAGAGGAGTGGGAAATCATCGAGAAGGTGATCAAGGCTTGTTTGCGCTGGGCTGCTTGCAGAAATGGGGCCTAGTGGTGGTGCCTCTCCCAAGTCAGGGCCCCAGCACTTGAATGCAACACACCACTTCACCTCGACAGCACGCACACATTTACATAAGCAGCCCCACAAGGCCAAATCGCTCATTGTGCGTGCGTGCCTGTTCGTCAAGTGGAGTGTGGTGCGGTGCTCTGGTGGGTATGTGGATAATATGGTCTGTGCACGATGGTGCAGCGGGCAGCGTAGTGATAGGCCTATTCACAAGCGGCGGCTCGTGCAGAGGAGGAGAAGTCGCTAGACGAGGGTTGCACAACCATTGATAAAGCCAATTAGCGGGGCGGAACTTCAACAAGGCAAGGTGACAGAGTGGTTAATGTGCTGGCCTGCTATGTATAGTCAGCCAGTTCCTTCGGGAGCGTGAGTTCGAATCTCATCCTTGTCGAGTTCTTTTTTGCTCCCATTCCCTTGCGATGGGTTTCTTCTGATTTAGGGGTTTTCCTGGGGTGGCAGGACGCGATATGACCCATAGGCTCTTGGCCAAATGCCTTATCTATGCTGTTGTGGCTCCTGAGGTTCCTCGCTCTTTGTGTGCCTGAGTGGCTGAAGTCTCTCAGTCCTGATGTCGAAAGCAATGGGTCCAAGGTCCAAGGTCAGCTTCGGCTCACCGAGTTCTATCATCAAAGACGCGCTCTCTCCATTACCCGAATTATTTAAAAAGAAAAAGGGGAAAGAAAAAAACCCTTTATTCTTTTGGCCCATGACTCATCAATCAGACATGATATCGACCCCCTCAGTTCTCTTGCAATCACGACCCCGCTACTCCGTTGTATTAGTTTCCGGGCAAGACGTGAAACTTCAAACTCCTGGCAGGATGCAACTGTCTCTTTTCCCATCTCTTTATGCCCTTCTCTATCTATGACCTGATTATTCTCATCCTTCCTTCAATCATCTGTCACAGTCGCCTCATGGTCCTGCGCCCTGATCGTACGATATGCTTCTTACCCAGTCCCCCTTCGTGCCGGTGTTATCATATGTTCCAGCTTGTTGTTGGAACGGACCCTTCCTCTGACAGCTTCATGCACTATGCGCTTCGCCTCCCCTTTTTTTGTCAAGGAAAGAGTACTCTCTCTGTAGAGGCGAAAGAGTACTCTCTCTGTAGAGGCGAAAGAGTACTCTCTCTGTAGAGGCGAAAGAGTAGAAACCTTAAACTACCCCACGATATATTTGAGACCCATCACTCACTATTAGCCTCCCGCATGGGAATCGCTGGGAGGAGAGACCTAAAGGGGAGAACGAAGAAAACGGAGAACCCCACTAAAAAGGGCAGAATAGAAGGGGGTGGTGAAATGCGATTCTTTTCCTCATTTCACTATGGTTTGTGGCCAATGGCTACAGACGATCCTGCGACCTTTGATGCGTATCACTAGCCTGGGCTATGTAATCACTCTCAGCACTGGTTCTGGGCGCCGGATAAACAAGACATTCCTTCCTGCGAGGTCCTGGAGAAGGGGTTTTAGGATAGAATAAACAGCGTAGGTTAGAAAGCACACGATTAGAGGAGAGGAACAATTGGACGCTCGTTACCTAATTGAGATACACCACCTGCGGGTTCCGAAATTTCTCGCTTGCCGTATCCCCGCTTGGTCCGGCACATGGCGGCGCCGCCATCGGCGAAGTGGGTCCCGGCATTTCCAGGACCACCGGTTGCAGCTGGCCGGCGAAATCCGCCGTAGCCGGAGATTGACGTGGTGCAGCACCCGGGAAGGGACAGTTTCTTTTCTCATTGATCGGACTGGACTTTTGGTGGTGGGATGTGGCCGAGATTTGCTCTTGGGCCCTTCTCGGACCATTCTGGGCTTTCCGGCGTGTCACCGAAAATTTCTAATCCCCTACCGGAAATGTGCCTTGGACTAGTCAGCCCCTTTGTCATTCCCAGGGCTGGTTGATAACTTGCGCGCATCTGTTCATGCCCAAGTAGTTTTTCTCTCTCTCTTTTTTTTTCTTCTTCTTGGTTCTTCTTCCTGGCTTTGCCCCTTTTGGATCTACAGGGTCTTATCCATGTCTGCTTGCTGCGCCTGGGCCTTAGGTAGATTTCGCTCTTCAACTTGACATTTCTCAACAAGTGTAAAATACCTCCCTTCACTTCAATTCACTTACACCTCAAAAGCGCGGGACACTTGCCACTTTGCCCGGGGAAATGGCCGTCACCCAGTCGTCTAAAATCCAAAGTTTTCGAGGGAATTAATTTATTTTCCTTCGCAATCTGGTAATTAGGGGTATGCGCAGCAGCAGGCTGGGAAAGAAAGAAGGTAAATAGAAAAGGAAGAAAAAGAGAGAGACAGCGAAACGAACTGCGCGTTGAGACATGGACCCATTACATGTAGGAAGATCGAATCAAGAGTGCAACACATGCACTCCGTCATCGGCATACTGTACTTCTCAAACATCATTCACATTCGTAGTTTTCTCAACGCTTTCGGTTCACATTCGATTTGTTTGAGGCGAAGGCTAAGAACTTAGCGCCGTGCCTCACGAGACTCGTTGCTTAGCCCTTGCAGCCTTGCCTTCAGGTTTTGCTAAGCCCCTAAGCCCCAGACCACAATGAGAGGAAACGACGAGGGAAAGAGATGAAAGAACAAGCTGAAGAAGGAGAAGAAGAAGAAAAGAACAAAGATGCACAGCCCAGAATCCACGCTATATTTTCTCTGTGGCAAGGGGGATACGTGTTAAAGCATATACTAAATAGTCGTCGTGACCCTGTTGCCTGTCGACTCAGGCCGGGCGCGCAAGACTAGCTGGAGAAAAATGATCGCCTTGTTGTAAATGTAGCGGGATACCACTTGATACCGAAGAGAGCAAACAGAGCCGCATTGTCTTGCACGCGCTCTTTCTCACCAGCGCTCGCCGATTCTCACCGCCGCCCTCATTGTACGGTATTGGAACCCAATGCAACCGTTAGCCTTTTTTCTTTTACCCCGCGAGCCACCCGTTTTCGCTTACTTTGTCCCGGGAGATTGTGTGCATCTATACATGTGGGTTTATAGCATCACTTCCTAATCTGGTAATCGGTGATGACCAGGCTGTGCGCACTCTGCGGCAGAGCCTCAAGGTTGCAGTCTGTCGAGTCTCGCCGGAATCATAGCCCAGTTTGGAGCCTCGTCCCTCTCTCCTTTGGGCTTGTTCCAGGTTTCCTTGGTTTCCCATTACTCGACCGTAGATAATTTCTCTTATCAATTTGTTTCGTTGATTGGATGCTCTCATATAGGGAGGGAGGGGCGCATGCCGTGGCCGCCAGCCTGGCGCGGCTCTCGGTGATGGTATCACGATGGGCAAGCACGGGGCTTTTGCTTCGGAAAGCCCAACGTCTTGGTCCTCCTTCTCACTTCTCTCTCCATTTTTCCGTGGCTCCATCCTGAATGAGGCTCTGTAGCGATCATTCTACTGGCCATCCCTCTAGAACTTGGATGTGATTCACAATCTCGGGTTCTGCAAGATATACCTCCTGACTCGGTCCGTTGTGAGCCTGCAGCCTTATTACGGAGTGCTGCTTCTCGGCAGAGCTGGCATGTGCCGCCACCATCCCTCTTCCGTCCTTTCCCACCCTCCCTTTTTTATCTAATTACATCTGAAAAAGGAAGCGGGATTGGGTCTTCCCCTGGATCGGACGGCACAAATACTTCTACCTTCCTACTGATCCCCCCTCCCCCACCCCACCTCATTCGTGCGGCCAACGCAGTCTCTGTTCCAGGCGAGGAGTTGCGGCTCTGCGTCACCAAGTTGAGGCGGAGGTCTTCGGAACACCCCTCGTGGTGGCGCCTCGCCATATCAAGATGGAGGGCTTGCGGCTCTGCTGTGGCCACTCACGGGGAGTGAGATGGCCCCCTTTTCCATGTCTCTGCGCTCTCAGGCGCTGAGTGGCAGGGAAGAGATGGCACGAGAGGAGGCGGCCGGGGCTTAGTGACGAAGTTTTAGCACCTTGATTGGAATGGGCATGTCGTACACAAGTGTTGATACAGGAACGGAACGCTCTTTGTCATTTACCGGCTAGAATACCAAAGCCCGCCCTCAAGTGCCCCCTTCTCCTCTTACTTCCCCAAAGTCTCTTGGAGGGCGGTCAGACATATCGTCATGCCGTCTAAGCATGTATAATCGCACCCTCTTCGAGCCAAGGACAAAGCCGGCTTTGCACCCCACGAGAGGGATGGTTGGTGATGAGCAATCTGCAAAAGATCCAAACATCTCCGCACTAGATCTTGCGGCTCTTTGTCTTTGAGCCTCATTGCTCTCGAGAGCCGCAATCCTCACTAGATGCTTTGGGTCTCTCGAGATATAAATGAGATCTGATCTGTTCGTTCTTTTCGAGTCCCTTCTTAGAGAGCATTAATACAGCATCCCCGACTCCATCACTTCCTCTACACTCATACTACCTCTTAAGCACTCCCAATCGTCTTCACAGCACCCTTTCTCCTTACACTTGCTCGGTCTCCTTGAAGCGAGCACCTTGATACACCCCTAAATACACCCCCAGCACCGAGAACATACTACCCCCAATCCCCACAGACACCATGCCGACATCTCTTATCTCCCGCATGCTGGATGAGCCCGTCCAGTACTACTCCCAGGGTCTCCGTGGTCGTTTCCAAGTGGACGCTCTCCGTAATCCCATGCTTCAGACCTTCTCCAAGGCCTATGCGGCCATTGATTACGAGTTCAGCCAGGAGGACTACGAGGGCCGGACCGAGGCTGTCCTCCGTGCCGGCCACCTGGAGACCCACCTACCTTATGGGTTTCCGGAGTCTGTCAAGGGCCGCATGACGTGGTCCGGCGCTGATTTTGCCAACGACGAGTCGTACGTCGTCCATCTGACCGACGAGTGGAAGGTCGAGATCCAAAGTGCTCTGGACCACTTTCTCTGTAAGTCTCCCTGCTCTTGTCAACACCGAGTCCACTACCCATGATGGAACGGAGTGTACTAACCACTTCCTCTGTTATATCCAGCCCTCGGGATTCCCAACACCGAGGTGAACCCTTCCAACTTCCCTCTTCCTACTCTGGGCCCTCGCCTTGTCGAGATCCGCAATGATGTCTACTACGGCCGTGGCTTCGCCATCCTCCGCGGCCTCGACGTCGACTCCTTCGACAACGACAACGGCATCACCGTCAGCCTCGGTATCACTTCCTACGTCGCACCTACCCGTGGCAAGCAGAACCAGCGTGGCGATATGATTAGTGAGTTCCCCATCTCCCTCTCCTCTCTACTCAAAAACACAACAAAAGCCTATGGCTCGGCTCGGGGCCGGGCCCACCCACCACTTTCCCTTCAATCGCTAACAGGAGCCCCGGTGTAAGTGCACGTTATCAACACCGACGAGGATGACGTCCAGTCGAACAAGACCGTGGAGAAGCCCTTCCACACGGATACCGTCTGCGACGTGTTGTGCCTCTTCACCAAGGCCTGCGCTTCCGTCGGCGGACGCAGCATCATGTCCTCCGTCGGCCAGGTGTACAACGAGCTGGCAGCCACCCGTCCCGACATCATCCACGCCCTTACCCGCCCCAACTGGCCTTTTGACACGTGAGTAACACCTCCTTTTCACCTCTTTACCCCCAAGTACCTAACTAACACGCTTCCCTTTAGCAACGGTCGCGCCCCAGCATACTACAACCGCGCCCTCCTCTACCACCACGACGACAAGATCCTCATGAACTTCTCCCGCCGCCTCCTCACCGGCTCCCTCCCCGCGACCCCCGCACCCCCGGCATCCCCGGCCTCACCGAGCGCCAAGCCGAGGCCCTCGACGCCGTCCACGCCATCGCCCGCGCCCACGAGATCCGCACCGTCATGCAAAAGGGCGACATCCGCTTCCTCAACAACATGGGCCTCCTCCACCGCCGCGAATCGTTCGAGGACGCCGAGGGCGCCGACCGCCGCCACCTCGTTCGCCTTTGGCTCCATAACCAGGACCACTGCTGGAAGCTCCCCGCACCCCTCCGCCTCGCTTGGGCCCGCGTCTTCGAGGACGAGGAGAGGGAGACTCATTGGACTTTTGACCCGGTCGGCGCGGACGGCAAGGTCCTTAGGTCGGCCGTTTCTTGTGACTAAAGCTGTGTGTTGTGGGGGAGGGGGTTGTACCCTCCTTGCAGATGAATCGACCTAGTCGTCTCTGTGGAGAAATGAAACGCGCTCTACACGGTGTCTCTCATTAGAGAGAAAGAAAAAGAAAAAAAGGAGGAAAAAGCTGAAAACTCTCGAAAAAAACAAAACCAACCCCAAAAACCGCCTTGCCACCTTTTTCCAACCATGCGGGAAACACAGCACGCACATGAGGTCAGGTCCTCTCTTTACGGCGTTGTGGTTTGGAGCCTGGTTCGGGGCGGTATTCCTCATGGAACGAAATCGTTGGCACGGGCAGGAGGAGCCTTGTGTGTTTCAAGGCGACGAGCGAGTTCTATGTTCTTCTCTTCTTCTTCTTCTTCTTCCCCATTTCCTTTCTTTCTTTTTTATTTTTTATTTTGCAGTTTCGCAAGTTTGTATGTTTGGTTATCTCTGATATGGAACTCCGAACATTGAAGTTTCGGACATTCTTGGCGATCCCACGTCGGCTGGTCTTTCTGGCGATGCAGCCTTTAGTTCTTTTCCATCCATCATTGATTTCCATGTTGCTCTTTGCCACTTAGTTTCTTTCAGATCTTGTTATCGGTAGCTTGCAGACATCAACCACAGATTGCCTAAATGGAAAGAACAGTCTTGAGATCCAATAGCCCTAGTACATAGCAAAGGACCTTGATTATTGATGTAAGGGTAGCAAGAATAGTAAACCTACCGAATAAATTACAATGGATCTATTATATATGGGTCTATGAAGATATATATGCGCGTGCGTGTTCATGTTTATATGTATACATTAGGTCTAGGATCTCTCGAACCCTAAGAAATAGATCCATCCATAAATTCAAGCGCGCGGCCTGCGTGACACCTTGAGAACATCCCAATATATGGATACATCAATGAACCTATTCCGTTATCATGCCCCTTCGCAATTAGTTTCCTCGGGGTGCAAGGAAAGAAAGAGAGATCCGTCCTTTGGATCCATGAATGGGATAGATCCGTCATTTTTGCGTTCCCCCAAGTGGACAAGCAGATGCAATGGATCAATGATGTGTGCTCAAGCTGCACGGACACACTAATACACAGCCCAGGAAATATGGCCTACAAAGCTATGTTCGGCAAGACACTTTTCTGAATTCGGAGGACAAAAAATATAAACTAATCCATCTTGTCTGGCTTCCAATCTGTGTCATATAGCTGCGATAGCCAGTACCATGGGTTTTTTGATCCCGGGTTTGGCGCATCTCGACAAGGTCTTTGCAGGGATCAATGACAGCTATTAGTGGTGTGCGCTAGACAGAGAAACGACGAAACTAAAAGAACCACAAGCAAAGAGGGAGGAGGAGGAGGAGGAGGAGGAGGAGGAGGAGGAGAAGAACATGAAAAAAAGGGTACTCACTCAATTCCTGGACCCGGTCATATGTCTTGCCCACGAATTCCTGTTCCTGAGCCGTAAAGTCTAGCTTGGTTTTGATCGAAGCGGTCTGCTGCTCCGCCACACACTTGAAAGGAAGAGCGCCTTGCATCACGATGTGGTAGTGGGCGAGCAGAGTGATGACTCCCCGAGCATGATTTTTCACGGCATCGGGATTCGCGTACTCGGTGCCGAGGTTGATCTGCTGGGCATACATGTGGTCCCGTTGGATCAAAGGCCGCAGCTGTGAAGCAGCACGAAGAGGGCGAGGTAGACGCTGAGCCAGTCGGTCCGGGATCCCTTCCGGATCACTTTGTCGAGCAGGGAGCGGACTTCCAGGCTCCACGGCCGGAGGAATTTTGTGAAGAGAATGCACTCGAGCTGCGCACACATGACGGGGGATGGGGAAGCACCGATCCCAAGGGCTTGATGGGTCGGTAACTTCGCTCCGCAGGCCCAGGGTCTCGTTTCCCACGATGCCTTCGGGATAGGATGTCAAACGACACGCTTGCCACATGCGGAATGATTGGCGGATCAATAACTTAGCATCGTCATCCTGTATAGACTTGTGAGTACATCAGCCTGCAGAGGGTACCCTCCAAAGAGGCCAGTAGAGGGAAGGGATCTACAAGTCAAGAAACAAGAAGGACGAACCTGAACATTTTGGATATTGCGAAACGCAAACGTGAGCGTCTGCCAGATGAAATCCCCTCACTGCCTGCATGCTCCATACCCACGATGTCATGTAGATATTCATGGAGATGCTTTTCAATCATGGTACCAATGGCTTGGGACGCCTCTTCCATGTTCACAATAGCATAGGGGGATTTTAAAACTTCTCATCGTCTCGCCATCGAACCATTCTTCCTCGAGGTTGTCACCCTCTTGCGGGATGAACTGTCGGACCCTCAACTGGTACGGCGCATTCACAAAAGTTTGGCTGACCTCGATGAATTTCTCCTCGCTCGAGGCCCAGGCTTGGATGTCCACGAGATCCATTGTCCGCCATCGCTGACTAAAGCGAAAGTATGGCCTTGCCTGCTCCCGATACAGCGACGCATCGTGAACCGAGTAGCGGTAGCATAGTCCGGGGTGCAACTTGGTGCAGCGCTTACACGGGCCATTTTGGGGAGACTTGGGGTTGATGATGCACTTGAAAAAGAGTTAGCTTGGCGTTTGGCGGCTTACGTCGGAGCGCAGTCTTTCATGTGCAGTCTCTCTCACTCTCTCTTGCAGCGTCTCTGGGAATATGCGCTGCTTCTGGCCACCACATACCTTGTTTTTCTTGTACCGACAGGCACAGCAGGCGCCTCCGAGCGCCTTGATTTCCTTGATTTCTTGCTTCGAGATATCGGAGAGGGGCTTTGTTCGCCTCGGTACGCCCTTGGGCGCAGAAGCGCGCAGCTGTTTCTTCTTGGATGCCTCGCGCTCAGAGGGTGCCAGGGGTTTCCGTCCTCGTTTTTGCTACACCGGGGAATTACGCATGAGAAACCCTGAGCACAAGAAAAGATGGGATTTTCGCAACATCATGTACCTTTTGGGGGACCTGCCACGTTTGACGAGGCCCCACGACGGGCCGCGGTTCTTCGGGGACGACGTGAGGTTCGCTGGGGGAGAGCGGAAAGGGAGGGAAGGGCTTCTTGTTCGAGGTGTGAGGTTCACGAAGTCGCTGGAGACCGTAGATATGGTGTCTACGTAGACCCAGGACTTGGTGCTATCAGAAAGCCTGGGAGGGCCATCCTGAGCTGTGAGGAGGTGGCCGTTGAGGTCTCCGACGCGAACTCGGTCATCAACCTCCGTTGAAGGGGTAAAATCTAGCAAGCTCCCGCCGAGGTCGAATGTGAGCTGGGGAGGAATGCCGACATCCGGGTTGCGTAGCAACTCGATCTCCTCATCGGTCCGTGACGCTGGCGAATGAGGATAGAGAGAATCGCTAAAATGAGACCCGGCGGAGCGAATCGCGTCATAACTATCCTGCGACGTGAAACCGTCCATGTCCATGGTAGGAGCGTGATGTGAGGGCCCGAAGGGTATGGCTCGAGCTCCTGCGCCTGCGAGTGTGGCCGAGCTTTGTCGAGAGATTTCCGGACGCTGCAACCTGGCTGTCGTGTTTGCGTTGGCCGGATAACCCGCTTGCGCATTATAGAAGGTTGGTGGTTGGAATGTGGGAAGGAGGCCGGGGACTACCAGTTGAGCAGTCGGATCCCGCATCCAACCCCTCTCCGTAGAAAAACCACGTCTCCGCAGACGGAGGGAAAGGGGCTTGGCCAAAGGCCAAGTCTTCGTATAAGATCTAGGGGCGGCCCATGCCATGTGAGTTTACTCGTTGGCCGGAATGGATCTCTCGGGTAAACAGGGGGCAAGGGGGTGAAGGGTGAAGGGGAAGGGAGAAGGGGAGAAGGAAGATGGAGAGGACGGGAAGAGGCGGGGAGGGGAGAGGACGGTGGTATCGCGATGGCAAGACACCGGACAACCCTCGCCACAAAGAGTGAGGGGGTCGATGGATCAGAACTAACTTCATCATCCATGATGAGTGCCTCGTTGGCTCGGATCTCTGCTAGCAGCAGGTCTTGGTCCGTTACACCACCGGGCCCGGTAGCGATGTGGCATAAAAGTGGGTTGTTTGCGCGCAAACTGGCTAGTCACAAGGTACAAGGGAAGCTTCGAAAGGCTCGGCTGAGCCTGTGGAACTGAAGCAACGACGGAGATTGATGATCCAGAGATGATCCAGAGATGATCGGAAGGCGAGATCGGGTTAGGGGGCAGGGCAGCACAAGTCATGTCAAGGCCGGTGCGCGCGGTGGAAAGTGCGGAAACTACGAGCCGCGACCACACGGTTGCCACACTGGGCCGAAAGGGAAGGAAAAGGCAACCCAAAGGGTAAAAGGAGAGGAATGAGGAAGAGGAGAAGAAAAATTAAGGTGAAGATCCCCTCACTCGTGATACGATGATTCTACGGCCAAGGAGGTGAAGAGCAGGGCACAGTTGGCAAAGGTCAAGAGAGGGAAGAGAAAAAAAAGGGGGAGTGACCACGACTGCCAACGCGCGCGAACTGCTGCCGGGAGAGAATTGATGGCGCATCTCCTGAGCAGGTTGCTTGGGCATGTGGCAAGCCAGAGACACCGGTCGAGGAAGAAATCGATGGGCATAATTGGTGCAGCCCAGAGCCTGGCCTTTCTTCATCTGCCAAGGTGACAGGCCGCACTGCGCCCGAGCTGTATCTACCCTGTCGTCCATCGATCAATCCCCTTCCCGGGCCGATGACACGCTCGACCAACGCTTGTATTAGGCTCAGCCAATACGCTTTCACGTCCATAGATGGCTTAGTACAGGTTCTCAGCTCGTGTCTTGTGGTTGTGCCTGACAAGACGGACGTGAAGAAACTGGCGAATCAGAGGACACTTTTTTGAGCTTTCCGGTGCGCAAGAGATATCAAAAATTCAGGTTGGGGTTGACGGCATTCAATTCCAGCGGGAAGCCCAGCGTTACCTATTGTACTCTATTGCAGATATGACAACTTCGAGGAGTTTCTTCTTTTTTCCCTCTTTTTGTTTTCTTTCCGTTCCGCATCAGGGGTGTGAGCAGATGGCGTTGGGGAGCGTCCTCCAACACACTTAAAGTGCATCCATCCATGGATGGATTGATCCAATTGATCAAATGGATGGATCCATGGATGGATGTGTATTATCGTCAAAAATAATCAAGCGATGGCCTTGCAGCGACATAAAGCGCCTTCATCTCATACACCCATCCAGGATATAGACACGGATATTGGATATTCGGGGCGACAGCTCATATCATCGACACCACGTTTTCTGGCCCGCAAAGGTATCTTGAACGAGACTTGTGGACGCGCACGCTTACACACGCCATTACCCTCGGACAACGAGCAAGAAACTTGATAGCTCTCACCCACCTCAACTAGAACCAATCAAGACAGCGTCACTTGACTCGAAAGAATCCCGTTCCCCTTATAAAAACCGCCCCCACCAATACCCGAAAAGTGAACATCAGAAAAGAGGCCTCACCCCTCTGTCTTTGTATGTAGTGACCGCATGGCACAAAATGCCTCTCACCCTGAGCCTGGCGGGAGAAGTCCTCCATCATCCCATATTTTGCTGCAAGGATTTGGGGGTCAATTATCTCGTCAAGCTTCCTGGTCTGACTAGATAGGCAGGTTCGGCATGGCTGGGTCCGTGGACTTTTCGGTTTGGAGGTCCAATCTGATGGGTCAACGGATGGATGGATGGAGCCGGATGTCTCGAGCCGCCATGCGCGATCCTTGAGTTTTGTGGCAGCAAGCCAGATCGAAAGAAGAAATCCCGGTGTAAGAGCTTTTCTTCGACGCAATAGACTCGTAGTCTAGTCCACTATCTTAGCGCAAGGGTGAGAATGCGGATACCCTCTCACGGCTTAATCCTCTCAAGCTGCATCACACTGAACTGTATCTGCTCCAACTTTCTTAGTCGGCCGCTAGTCCCGTATTCTATGTCGTCTTGCCGGCCGCCGGCATTGGGGAAGCATTCCACTGTCGCATATAATTCTCCCAGATCCGTTTATTTTATTCGATTTTATTTAATCTTCTCTTTGATCATCTTCTTATTCCTGCAATGCCCGTATTGCTGTGAGACAAGACTACGTACGTGGTAAAATTCAGTCTTCAATGTTGTCAATGTTGTCATGAAAGCCCCGCTGTGAACCACCCCCTCTAGCCACCTCATGTCGAACCACCAGCCTATGAAAGGCCAACTCCCTTGGTCCGGCCAGTTGGCGCCGGACCAGGTGCGACTTACCCTAGACGACACGCGCCGCCATCTCCAATCTTCGTTTGAAATGCTGACGAGTGCCTTTATGAGTTCTCTCTCATCCTTTCACGCGAGGCATCGCTTTCGGGCCTTCCTCCTTGCTCCCATCATCTGCTTCTCGTACGTGTCTTTCGTACAAGTGCAAGAGCCTTTCCGAGTCTGGATGGTAGGATGGCTGGCGAGCGGTTCCTCTGAGCAAGGTGCTTCGTGGCAAGAGCTCGTCCGGGCAAAGTTACAGAATGACCAGTCAAAGATACCGGCTGAATGGCTCCTGGACCAAACTCGTCGAGATGGCTAGCAGCCGCCAGGCCATCGCGGGGAGTTTATAGAGAGCCTTCTTGACGGAGAAACCCTAGCCATCACATCAGTTGACATGACGGAGCTGCTGGCTTTGATATCCAACGGGACTCTGACGTCCGAGGCTGTCGTGACGGCATTCTGCAAACGCGCCGCGTTCGCTCATCAGCTGGTATGACGTGCATCCCCGCATTAGAGCAGCTGGAGTGATTTTAACCAGTTGTATAGAACAAATCCTTTTAGAAATAAATTTTAAGCGGGCAATCGCCCAAGCTAGGGAGCTAGATTTATATCTAACACGGGAGGGAAGCCCAAGGGCCTGCTTCATGGGCTCCCCGTGACTGTCAAGGATCAATACCATGTTAAAGGTCTAAATACCACCATGGGCTATGTTGGCTGGATCAACTCCTTTGAGGGGAACAGGGACTCCCCTCAATGGCCTTGTCCAAAGCGAGCTCATTACTGAACTCGAATCTTTGGGGGCCGTCATCATTGGGAAAACCACGTGTGTGCAGAGTCTCTGGTACGGCGAAACAAACAACAACATTCTCGGATATAATTACAATCCTGTCAACCAGAACCTATCTTCTGGAGGAAGCTCTGGAGGTGAATAGGCTTCTTTTTTTCGAAAGCTATAAACCCTCAAAACACGTATATATTGAAACTGACCGGGACGTCTCTAGGGGAGGGGGCTATTCAAATCTTGGGAGGAAGTGCCATCGGGATCGGGACCGATGTTGGTAAGTTGCGGGCGAGGGCTTTTGGGTGGAATCAGTCACCGGTTCTAACATCGCCTAGGGGGTCCGTCTCAGTCCCAGCAGCATATAATGGACTCTTCAGCGTGAAGCCTTCTTCGGGAAGGCTGTCTTTCAAAAATGTAGCGAATTCGGTAAGCAACGGTCCTTGGCACTTCCCACATCCCATGTTTCTCAAAAACGTGAGAAATTCTTATTGCGAAGACGAAAATGGGGGAAGAATAGGCCTCTAATACAGCTCTCAGTCAAAAGGTCAAGTCCATATCCCCACTGTTCCTGGCATACTTGGCCGGTCTATCACATCCGTACAGCTCCTGTTCAAGTCCCTGCTTTCTACCCAACCCTGGCGTCACGATCCTGAAATGACGCCCCTGCCTTGGCGCGAGGAGAGTGCGAGAGCTGCTCGGGATGGGACGCTCTCCTTTGGCGTCTTCAAACATGACGGGTGGTGCGGCCGCACCCACCCATAGAGCGAGCCCTCTCCATGGTTGCGGCCGCATTAGAAAGCCAAAACCACCATGTACGCGGGATCCCGGTTTTCCTAGGAAGCGATGAGCAAAATACTCATGAGACTGAGAAAGCTAGATAATAGAATGGGAGCCGCCGAACCACCAAGAAGCGGAAATTCTACATGTACGGGACACGCTAAATCACAGCCGACCGTTTCGTCTTTGGCTAACGGGTAGACAAGACTCAACTAGTAAACGCGGACGGAAACTACGACGTGCCCCAGCAGCTTGCTCTCTGGGGAGCCCTTCATCCCCGAGCTCGCCCCCTATTACCCTGACGGGCAGCCCCAACCCCCCTCAATGCGATCGAGATAGAGGGGCTAGTTCAGAGACTGCACGCGTTTCGCAACGGATATAACGACTATTGGCTTTCGACGGAGAACCAGACGAAAACCGGTATGAAGCTGTAGCACCCTAAATTACCCGTGTCCGGGAGACTAACAAATAGCTTGCTGAGCAGGTCGACCAGTGGACGGCTTGATAATGCCTGGTAAGTGTGCGCCTTCTACTTTTAATCTCTCCCGGGCTAGTGTTGACAACGTTTTGCAGTGATGCCATCGGCGGCCGTTATTCCTGGAAAGCCATCCTATTACAGTGAGTTGAGAAATTTCCAAGAAAAAAAGAATCCTAAAATCTGCTCGCGTGGACTAAGATAAAAACGCTCCGCAGCTTATACGCTAGTTGTGAATACCCTCGACTACGTCACTGTTGTAATCCCGGTGACATTCTCTGATAAGCATGTTGATCACCAAGACCCAGCATATGTCCCGGTGGGTGACCGAGATAAAGAAAATTGGGAAGCCTGTCAGTATCCCGCGTCGCCGCTTTTCCATTTGAAAAATTCGTGTTCCCTTTGCCCCATGCGCGGAAATCTTGCTCCATCAGAAGCAGTCTACTAACATCTGCAGCAGATGACGCGGACATGTACCACGGAGCGCCTGCGTGCATTCAAATCGTAGGGCAGCGATTCCAAGAAGAAAAGTGTTGGCCATGGCCCAAAGAATCGTGGATGCATTGAGGGAGTACAAATTGAAGCAAAGACTCGCTCTGTAGACATCCATAAATATCAATCACGGTGAGGCGGCGCCTTGGCGTTTACCGTAACGGCGCCCCACTCGGGCCGGGTCAGATATTGCAAAGCTCTCGCAACTTAAATTTCCTTACGGGAGCGATCTACATGTTGGGCTTAGCATCACGTAGTTTAGCAAAGGATAAGGTATTCATCAGGGAAGCCACAGTGCATCGAAGAGGGCGAAGGAGTAATAAATGACGTCGCGTGGGCCGGGCTGTGTCTCTTAGCATGGGCTGGCTCGAAGTTTGGGCGGCACTATCCCGCATGGGCTGCGGGAAAATGACGATTCTCGCTCTCATGCATCTGCACGCTGGCAAACCTTGCGCACCGAGCCCTCCCTCTCCTCCCCTTCCCCAGTCCAAAAAAAATATTTATGTAGCATTTTTATTAATAAAATAGGAAATGGAATCCTAGAAAACGGTATCACTCTGAGAAAAGCGAGCGTCTTGTGGCTATTATGATGGTCAAGGTTGGCGAATTTCCTCTCCTCGAGAGACACAAGCTCACTGACTAGCGACACAGCTGGCAGTTAGTGATAAACCAAGCGGCCGCAGCTGCCAAAGTGGCTTTCGCCACTCGGACACGCATCCCCCTTTTATTGGCTTAACATTGCGGGGTCAGCCAATCAAATCGATAGAGTTATCATGTGAAAACGGCCTGTTGTGTTGCCGCTTCTGGGCTCATGTCGTTCGATCAGGAGCCACGACAATCTGGGAAACAAGCCGGTCAAAGCAATTTTTGCCCGTCTTTCCCAGCACATCCGGCACCACCACACCACCTCACACCTGTCAATACCCCGATTCTCGTGGGCCTTTTGCTTCTTTCCCCCTTCCTCCTTTTTTCAATTCTTTTCTTTGATTCTTTTAGTGTTTTCATCTTCTTTTCACTTCGCTGCCTCGTCCCGGTTCATTTTTCTCCATCAAGAAAAGTTCCGCGGCCCAATTGATCCGCCAAAATTTAATACCCGAGGTTGAAGCCTCGAGATCTCGAAATTCTTTATGGCCTCCCGACAGGCTTACCGTACCCGCCTTACGACCGACACAACCATTTACTAAAACCCCTTTACGTGGGACCACCCTCGCATCGATCACATCCTCCGGTGCTTGATGTCGATGCGCTTTTCAGACTTCCACGGCCTTGCGATTGATGAATGATCACGACGCGATACTCTCGGCCCCGAGCACCTGACATCTAACCCGCCACTTCACGAACTCTTTACGTTTTTCTGCACACGACTCTCAAAATGGTTCTCTACCACACCGCCACCAACACCTACGCCCATCCCTTCCCCGCCGTAACCCTCGCCTACTTCCTTCGATACTCGTCCCCTACCATTAATCCTTTTGCCGGCCATGTCCTCAGCACCGACACCATTTCGAGCGAGGTCGATTCCAAGACCGGTCGCCTACACATGACCCGCATCCACCTCAAGAAGTCGAGGATGCCCTCTGCCATCTTCAAGCTTCTCCCCGCCGGTGTCACGGGCGGAAAATCAGCCGAGAAGGCAAGCTATATCCTCGAAACGAGCGTAGTCGACATACGCGAAGGCTGGATGCGCACGGAGAGCCGAAACCTCAACTTTGCCGGCGTTCTCAGCGTCATTGAACAACAAACATACAAGATACCCGACGCTTCCAGAGCCCCAACCAAGATTGGAAGCGAATCTAGCACCGAGGTTTCCACCACGGTCATTTTCCGGTCTCGACTTGGAGAAAAATCAGGGGCCACCTCCAGGATGTCCGGGAGGACCGCTGGCTCTCGGGCTGGATGGGTCGGAGAATTCGTGGCAGCATCGAGAAGATGGCCTCTACCAAAACTGTCGACCAGCTTGGCAAGAGCCGCGAGGGCATGAGGGTCGTCCTTGAGACGATCCGCCACTCTGGTGTCATGGGCGTTCTGGAGATGGTTCGGAGAGAGAGGCAAACTCGCATGGCCTAATCAAGTCGTATGGCCTGCGCGTCTACAGGGGACTTTTACGAACCCTTTGTGTCCCCCGAATACCTGCTCGTCTCCGTCACCGACGCCATCCACCTACCAACACTTCTCTACCAACGTGCCCGAGGCTGGCTAGATCTTTTGGTTACGTTTCTTCCACCCCGGCTCCAAGACGTTGGCTTGACGTCCATGGCCTTTGGCTGCGATTTTTACCCTTGTTGTACATTATTCCATGTTTCTTCTATCTGTGTTATATCGGTTCTAGCGTGGCGCCCTGAAATTTTCCCCGGCTGCGAGGGTGCTTTAGCCTGCCTTGCTCGCCCTCCGCTCTTTTGTATCTGCTACTTGTACTATCTTGTACTTCGACATGATATATAACCAAAATGAAATATGATTTTGAGGTTCTTCACTTTTTTGGTCATTGATTGACCGAGAATTTTACTTCATCTGTGCACCCACGGCCACGGCCGCCAACATCTCCTTGTATGTACCATCGACAACTTATCAAGCTCATATCCGTGAACCTTTTGCCATGTCAGTTTCGATCGCAAGCACTAGTAGTGATGGGCTGGAGCCTGGCGAGTATCACCCGCTGACTAATCACCCGCGTAAAGTGGGTGGCTCCCCCATATTCACGACAAGTCGCCCACCGGGGGTAGCGTTCGGGAATAACCAAATCGCAAAAAGAAGGGCCTGTGATTCGATATGCAGTGCAAGATTTTGAAATGGTCTCCGAATCGAAGAACCAGGTCATTGTCATAGATGATCTGTCGACGGCCTCCGAGTCCGAGTGGGACTTTGGACCGGCCCCCACCGACGCGTCGAAAGACGCGACGGCGACAAACTGCCCGCGCCCAGGGCGGCGCCCCAAGAGCAAGAAATTGAAGCCAAGGTTCTGTGGACGGATGACTCGGACGACGGAAAGGATTTAAAGGGGAAAAGGAAGCGCCGTTCGGTACATGGGGCCGCGAAAAAGGCCACCCGGGGGCGGCCGGCCAAGAAGAACAAGGCCGCCCAACAGGAACCGCCACCAGGAGACGAGCTCGAGGAGGCCGGGGTACCGGATTACATACGGCAGCGGCGCAAAGTCTTTGACGAGAACAAGAAGATTCTCGAGACTGCGGGGCTGAGGTTACCTCCACAATACCACAATGTCGACCTCGGAGAGGAGGGAAGGCTGGAAGAATTGCAGGAGCGACCGCTGTTTGACGCAGCGAGCGGTATACGGCCGCACCGGGCATACAAAGATGTCGAACTCGAGCGATCTGGCGGCCTCATCCCGGCTTCGATTGCCCAATACCTTCGTGATTACCAAATCACGGGTGTCCAGTTTCTCCATCGCTTGTTTGTGAACCAGGAGGGCGGGATCCTGGGCGATGACATGGGCCTGGGGAAGACGGTGCAGGTGGTGGCGTTCCTCACGGCCGCCTTTGGCAAAACTGGCGACGAGAGGGACAGGAAGCGGATGCGCGCGATGCGGCGAAACCCCGGACTTGGTATCCCAGGGTTCTCGTCGTGTGCCCGGGCACTCTGATCAAGAACTGGAAAAACGAGCTGGACCGGTGGGGGTGGTGGCATGTCGACGTTTGCCACGGCGTATCGAAAGAGGACGCGGTGATGACGGCAAGGTCGGGTCTGCTGGAAGTCATGATTACCACCTACCAGACGTACAAGCAGAACAAGAGCAGCATCAACGGCGTGGAGTGGGACGCGGTTGTGGCGGACGAGTGCCACGTCCTCAAAGACCGACGCTCGGAAACCACCAAGGCCATGGACGAGGTGAACTCCCTTTGCCGCATCGGCCTCACGGGCACCGCGATACAAAATTCCTACGACGAGCTCTGGACGCTGCTCAACTGGACCAACCCCGCGCAGTTTGGGTCGCTCGCCGAGTGGACGAGGACCATTTCGCGGCCCCTCACGATCGGGCAGTCCCACGACGCGACGCTCAAGCAGCTGAGCATTGCCCGAAAGCGGGCGAAGCAGCTGGTCCAGAACCTCCTGCCCCGGTTCTTCTTGCGGCGCATGAAGACGCTCATCGCGGACCAGCTGCCCAAGAAGAGCGACAAGGTGGTGTTTTGCCCGCTCACCGACGTGCAAAAGGAGGCGTACGAGAACTTTCTCGACAGCGAAATGGTGACCTTGCTGCGCACCCTCGGGGACCCTTGCGACTGTGGTAAGATGAGCGAAAGGGGGTGCGGGCGAAAAAGGGTGGTGCTGCTACAAGCTCCTGCCCGACGGGCGAGCGTGGCAGTCCAAGATTTTCCCCTGCATGATGGCGCTGCAAAAGATGTCGAACCACGTCACGCTCATGGTCCCCTCGTCGCTCGACTTGGCCGACAAGCAAGCGTCGGAGCTCAAGATGCTGCAGCTCGCGTTGCCGGACACGTGGCGAACGCTTTACGAGAAGAGGGACTCGATGGTGAACCTCGCCAACCCGGAATTCTGTGGCAAGTGGAAGATTTTGAAGAAGCTCCTGCGATTCTGGCACGGAAACGGGGACAAGGTGCTTGTGTTTTCCCATAGCGTCAAGCTTCTCCGAATCCTGCAGTATCTTTTTAGCAACACGAGTTACTCGGTCAGCTACTTGGACGGGTCACTGAGCTACGACGAGCGGCAAAGGGTGGTGGACGACTTCAACTCGGACCCGAGCCAGTTTGTCTTTTTGATCTCGACCAAGGCGGGAGGGGTTGGCCTCAACATCACATCCGCGAACAAGGTTGTCATTATAGACCCTCACTGGAACCCCTCGTACGATCTACAAGCGCAGGACAGAGCCTACCGTATCGGCCAAACGCGAGACGTGGACGTCTTCCGGCTCATCTCGGCCGGCACGGTGGAGGAGATTGTATACGCGCGACAGATTTACAAGCAGCAGCAGGCCAACATTGGCTATAACGCGTCGGAAGAGAGGCGGTACTTCAAGGGCGTGCAGAAAGACGAGGAGCGGAAGGGAGAGATTTTTGGACTGTCCAACATCTTCAACTACCATGGTGACCAGCTCGTGTTGCGCGAGATTGTCAACAAGACCAACATTGCGGAAGCGCGAGCCGGCATCAGCCTCGTTGATGTGGACATTGATAAGGCGATTAAAGACGAGGAAATGACAGCTGCGGTGAAGAAGGAGGGCCCGGACGATGATGGGGGCATGAGCCAGCTGGCCGTCCTCGTCGCTGCTGAGGACAAGGAGGAGTTACTCGGGCCCAAGAAGAACGAGAAGCCGAAGAGCGACGCGATACAAGCCATCCTGGCGTCCGTGGGCGTGGAATACACGCACGAGAATTCGGAAGTGGTGGGGTCCTCCAAGGTCGAGCAGCAGCTGTCGCGTCGCGCCGAGCTGGCTGGAGATTCAGACGCGGACCTCGATGATGATAGCGCTCTTTTCGCGGCAGACCCTCTCTTCGAAAGCACCGAACTAGGAGCGACCGGTGCGCATATTTACAATCCGCCAGAGGAGGCTATGAGGCGGCAGTTTTGCTCCATGGCGACAGAGTTTGGGTTTCCGAGCGCGACGGAATTCGCCCTCGTGGTGGAGAGTATGACGCAAGAGGAGCGGAGAAACTGCCTCGACAAGTTTTATAAGCGGCGCGCCTTGAGGCTGGAACGGGGGTCGACGGCGTCCCTGGACACGAGGGCGACTGGGACTCCGCGCCCCGGAGAGCAAGGGAGCGTCAAGGCCGAAGCAAATAGAGATAAGCTACATGGGATGAAGAGGGAACCGGCGGCTAGGGTAGTCAAGGCGGAGACAAGCCCGCAACAACCTACGAGCATCACAAAGGCGGAGAGAGTGCACGATACACCGGTAAAAAGGAGGAGGATGGAGAAGCCGCGGAAGGAGCGGCAAAGTTGAAGAGCAAGCCCGAGCTCCTACCAAAGTCGGAAGGTGCAGCTCGGGTGTCAGTCTTTATTCTCGATCACAGCGATGACGATGACGAGCTATGAAGCGGTTTTCTATGCCCTCATCTTCCGCCCTTGTTACCGAGATCACGAAACCCCGCGTGGCTTAGCATCCACCTCAGCCTTCCTTCTCTTTTCAATTTCTTTTTGGATTCTCCTTGTTTACTATTCATCGTTCGTGGGAGGAGTGTAGACGGAATGATACCCAAGAAACGGCGTTTGGAGAAAATCACGGCAGCCTCCCTCCTTGGAAAGAGGGACAAGTAATCAATAAGGGGCCACTACTTAGAAGCTTAGATATTGCTACCGAAATGCGATTTATGAATGTCGATTGTATCCGTTATCCATGGACTAAATCGGCGCAGATAGTTGCCCGACGCCCGACGCCCCCTCGCCCTCGTTTTGGGAACAAACAAAAGCGCAACAGTGCGTTCGAGTGGCGGCCTCGAGACAGGGATAGCTAACCAATCGGTTGGGTCAAGTGGCACCTGTGATGATCAACTTATCGGTGCTCAAAAGGCAATGGGTGTCATTGACTGATGCTCCGTCAAACTACTTCCAATAGGATTCATCTGACTGGACACAAAATGAGAAAGAGAGAAAAGAAAAAGCGCTAGAAAGTACTTGGTCGGGGAGAGCATGAAGAGGAGTTACATCATCAGTCATCAATGAATGATCAATGTTATTATGCTCTGCACGCACTTGGTCAACTAAACCCACCAGACCCGATTTGACACAGGCTCAATCAATGGATCCCATGGAGCAGCCCTGCGTTTCCCCAAGTGCATGCTGAATTGTCAGCCCAAATCTACCTGTTCTCAGAGGGTGCGTGCCCCGCTTCGCTTCGCCAGTCAGGACGAACCGGCACAACCTGCCGCCAGAGCGACGCCAAACTTCTTCTCTGGATCACGAAAACGAAAAAATCTTTTGCGCCCCTCCCTTCCATCGTAACCAGCACCTGTGAGATCCGAGTGCTATTTCGACAGAACTCTCCAACATGGCGGCTCAAACGGCCTCCGAGGCCCTGAAGAAGCTAAGCGGTTAGTGATCGATTTACTTGGCCTTGTTTCCCTCCATCACCCCCGCCTCTTGTCGTCTCGAGCCCGAATTGTACACACTTTTTAGCTATGACCCCTCCACCCCGGCATGTTGAAGATGGATGGGGAGGGATGAGCCAGCAGCAGTAGTGCTCTGCGCAGGGGAGTACAAACGGCGTCATAGGGTGCCTTTTCCCCTCCCTTCCTGATAGTCCGCGGTGTCAAACAATAACTATTTTACGAACGTCGAGACGGAGGGGCGGAATAGTCACACAAGGACCCCACCAAGATATGGGATCAGAGACATGTGGGAAGAGGGGCGAAGATGAGAGAAACAGAGAGAAAGAGAAAAAATTCCGGCTGACACTTCTGGGGGCCTTGTTGCACCCCATCGGCGGATATAGTCAACGACGCCGCACCTGGTGCGACCGACAAGGCCGCCAACGGCACGACGAACGGCAACGACGCCGAGCACGAAGAAGACTCGGACGACGATGCCGATGAGGCGACGGGACCGGGAGGTGTCGGCGGCGAGGCCGGCGCAGCCAAAAAGAAGAAGAAGAAGAAGAAGCCCAAGTCGAAGAAGAAGAAGGCGACAGCCCAGTCCGATCCTCCCCGGGTGTTGATATCCCAGCTGTTCCCCAACAACAGCTATCCTCATGGCGAGGAGGTTGAGTACAAGGACGAGAACCGATACAGGACCACCAACGAGGAGAAGAGGCACCTCGACAACATCAACAACGACAAGACGACCGACTTCCGCCACGCCGCCGAGGTGCATCGTCAGGTGAGGCAGTGGGCGCAAAAGAACATCAAGCCCGGCCAGACCCTCACCGAGATCGCCGAGGGTATTGAGGACAGCGTGCGTGGGCTTACCGGCCACTGGGGCCTCGAGGAGGGCGATGCCCTCAAGGCCGGTATGGGTTTCCCCACCGGCCTGAGCATCAACCATTGCGCGGCGCACTATACCCCAACGCCGGAAACAAGATGGTGCTGCAGCAGGGTGACGTCATGAAGGTCGATTTCGGCGTGCACGTCAACGGAAGCATCGTCGACAGCGCCTTCACCATGGCCTTTGAGCCCCAGTTCGACAACCTCCTCGCTGCCGTCAAGGACGCCACCAACGCCGGCGTGCGCGAGGCCGGTATCGACGTGCGCGTAGGTGACGTCGGCGCCGCCATCCAAGAGGTCATGGAGAGCTACGAGGTGGAAATCAACGGCACGACGTATCCCGTCAAGTCCATCCGCAACCTCAACGGCCACACCATCCTCCCCTACTCCATCCACGGCACCAAGAGCGTGCCCATCGTCAAGAGCAACGACATGACCAAGATGGAGGAGGGCGACGTCTTCGCCGTCGAGACCTTTGGCAGCACCGGAAACGGCTACGTTCACGACGACTTGGAGACTTCGCACTACGCTCGCCGTGCCGATGCCCCCAACGTCGCTCTACGTCTGAGTTCGGCGAAGCAGTTGCTCAACGTCATCAACAAGAACTTTGGCACTATACCATTCTGCCGACGGTACTTGGATCGGTTGGGCCAGGATAAGTATCTTTTGGGCGTAAGTGTCTCTTTTCGATGGCGGCGGATAGAAGCCGCCGTCATGCCCTTGGCCGCGTTCGCCTTTCGCTTAGGGTGTCTGGGTTTGCTAATGTTTCTTTTCTTTCGCACTCTTGTAGTTGAACAACTTGGTCTCGAGCGGTATCGTCGAAGCCTATCCCCTCTCTGCGATAAGAAGGGCTCGTACACTGCCCAATTCGAGCACGTAAGTAGAGGAATGGCCTGGAGCCATGAACACCACTCCGTGCCCTATATCACCTCCACCTCGACGCTAACCATTCTCCTGCGATAGACTATTCTCCTCCGCCCGACAGTCAAGGAGGTCATTAGCCGCGGAGACGACTACTAGTTCCGTGAAATCCATAACCGCACGCGGCTGGCCTTGTATCTTCCCAGACCGTTATCTCAAAGGCAAGGGTATATATATATGTAGATATATATCCTTACTGTAGATATCCTAGAGTAGCCGGGCAGGAGGAGCGCAAGGAGGTTTGTTTCAAAGTCACAAACACTCCATTCTCCTTGCGCACGAGACAGCTCTCCTGAACACCTTAGCAGCGAGGGTCGCTCGAGCTCACGATTATTCACTCTGCATTAACTTGATCTGGTGGAATGGTCGATGTTCTGGTTACTTGGTCCATTGGCCGGCGGAGCTTAGGTGATGAGACTGGACATGATGGGAATAAAACAATATTGAAATACGCTTTCTCCTAGCCACTGGCTATCTTCTTGCACGCCTTGGGTTGGCTGAACCTCTCTTTTCAGTAGTCCTTACCTAGACTACTTCGTGACAACTTCGTAGCAATATACGAGGTCGGAGTCCCGCTTGAACAATAGCGTTCTGTAGAAGTCGAGACAGGGGAGGGGGTTGTAAGCAGAGAGACAGAGGCAGAGGCAAATATATTAAGAGAAGAAGGGAAAAGGAGAAGAAAAAAAGGATTCAAGGAGCAAAAGGAAAAATTAAGTGATTCGGCCCGGGCTCGATCCGGGGACCTCTTGTGTCCAGCATCATTTGATGTTAGACAAGCGTGATAACCAACTACACCACCGAACCAATTATGGGTATTTTTGATGCGAGTCGGTCCGCTAGAAGCCCCAATGTAGCGTCCCAGCTCCGTATGTGCCCGACAGGTAGCGCTACTTGTCGAGCCGGCTCCACCGAGGGCAGTACTATACATACTCAGTGCCCGTTCTACAAACCTCCAATGACCTAGCATATAGTGACCTAGCAGGCCATGAGCGAAGCAAGCAGCACCAGATTATGTAAAGAGCAGCGGGAAAGGAGCCTACCGGTTCCGTTCCCAATGCCTTGTGGTAAGGGTGTTTTCCGAACAGACTTGTAAGGTCAAACAGCATTGACTCCGGGCTCCATCCAAGTGTCGACCGAGGCGGGTCAGGGGTCAGGGGAACAAGACGCCAGCAGCGCGAGAGTAGGACTTTTGGTGGCTCACAGCTTCAAGTTCGAGATTTGCATCTGGTGTAGTTGTGGGGGCGGGCGTAAGTGCAAGTGCCCTGAAGGGAATGGGGAGAAAAAAGTGGATTGGTGCCTCGGTCCAAGGCAGGCTGGCTATTGTACCGGTCTCAGGCCCCAAACGGAGGCGCCGTCGCTCTCGCCTCTTGTCCCCACATCCGCCGAGCGAGCAAAGGAATGGAGAACTTTGCGGGGTGCAAGCGGGAGGAATGTACCATGTCCTCCTTTGTTTAGAGCGCCTGACAGCACTAGAATTCCCCACCAGCAAAGCTACAAAGGCTAAGAAGTTTATGGTCATGAGGCACGCGTATATGCCCGCCTTGAACTTGAACTCTTGGGCTTGGGTTTCCCTGTCTTTTTCTTTTTTAAAAAATAGAGTAAACATAATATTGGGCCAAGGGCGGGAAAAAACGTATGGCTGCAAGCCTCGCAGAGAAAAGAGACAGTCACTTGTCGGATAGCAAGCGTTATCTCCCGGTCTCGAGTCGGGGAGGCCCCCACGGGGGCGCCTAATTCCTAATTCCGAATCTCTCCTTCCCTTATCCTCCGGGGCAAGCTCGGAGTTGGGGGAAGAGGAGCGAGACCAACTCGGGAGAAGTCGACAGTAGCCTATGGCCCAATGGGTTGGCCAAGGGCGGACGGGCGGATGACTGGTGAATACATCAGACAACGGCACTCGTCGTAGGTGCGCGGTCACATCGACGCCTTTCTGAACGAGTTGCAGACTCGAAGCGTTGTCACTCTCCCCGGTGGTGGCCATGGAGGCCGAGTCTACTTCTCCATCATATTGGGTTATCGATTGCGGAGACGAGCTAATGATGACTTGGGTCAAGCTCAAGCTTGACGATGGTGACGTTCAAGGCGTGCACGTTGGGAAGAGATTCCGTGTTCCGCCGATCCGATCCGATCTTGATCCCCTCCTTTCCCCTTCCCCGCAAGTGCATCACATCGGGGTCTATTGCCACTTGACAAAAATTAAGATCCCTTCGTTGTTCTGTGTCCTTCGATCTCCCAGTACCCACGCCCCCGCCCCCAGAAATGCTGACATGGGCAAGCGGTAAAGTTTTTGTCTCCATGTCGCGTGCCTGATCTCATCGTCTCCGCTTGAGAATTGGAGGGTTCGGTACCAGCGAGATCGGCGGTGGCGGGGTATAGCGGAAGGGGTTGCGAAACGGAGTCTTTTTCTTTTTCTTTTTCTTTTCTCACTTTGGAAAAACAGATTGAGGCTTAAGCTTGGCGCGTCATAGCGTTCAGGGTCGCTGTTCCCGGAGAATCTTCGAGGCTAGTCCTTATTGGGCAAAATAGATACTTTGGCTGTGGCTCACAGCCAATGAGACAACGTGTATATGCTGAGTCACAAAGGAAAGAGAGCAAAAACAAATCTAAGAAAGTATGTGGCGGGCTTTGCCACAAAGCGACAGGGACCTGGAGGCACTACACCAGTATCTTGTGAGTGGCTGACAAAAAAGAAGAAAAAAACTCCGATAATCTGACTCGACCCGAAAAAATTCGCGGCACATAATAATCCTTGACCTTCCCCTTCGCTGCACACTTTTCTTTTGCCAGAAAGGCCTCAATCAATCCAACTTTCCCTCGTCCATCCAACACGACCTTAGCATTTGATATATCTTTTTCCGACTCTTTACACACTCCAGATACCCAACCCAAGATTCAAGCGTCATCTTCTTTGGCTTTTGTTTTATTTTCTCCGCCTCATCTTTCCTGAAATCTGCCTGCCTTTGGCCTGATAAGGAACGTGTGAGCACATCATTCGCCTACAGATCACGAACGAACAACCCAACTCCGGCATCGTCGATCCGAAACTATTTACCTACATACCTTGCGTGGCTATAAACACCACCGATAGCAAACTTACTATCGGTTTCTGTCTTGGAGCGCGTTTCTCTTTCGCAATCTCGACTGAGCTGACTCCGTGACCTTCACGTGCCAGCGTCGAGTCCGGGTCCGTGCCTGAGGAGAGAAGAAACAAACGAACAAAAAGAAAAAGGAAGGAAATAAATTTATTCTCCATCCGCAACCTCCGACCCTCATCTTCCATCCCATCCATCCCCAAACCTTCGCATCCACACATCCATCAAACACAATGAGGTGGCTTTCGAACAACGTCACTTTCAACTACTCCTGGGAGGAGGTGTCCATCGCCAACTGGCAAAAGTATGGCCCCTGGAACAACAACTCGACACACGTCATCGCCGTCGATACCCTATCGCGAAGCGTTGATGAGAAGACGGGCATCCTCCGCACCGAACGCCTCATCACCTGCAAACAGACCGCGCCCGAGTGGCTCAAGGGCCTGATGGGAAACAATATGGAAATTTCCCACGTCTACGAGGCCTCCTACGTCAACCCCGAGGATCGCACCGTCACCATGGTCTCGCAAAACCTGACGTGGTCTAACCTCGTCAGTGTCCAGGAGACCGTGGTTTACAAGCCGCTCTGCGATAAGAAGACCTCCTTTGAGCAGACTGCCAAGATCACCGCTCTCTGTGGCGGCTGGCAGAGGATCAAGAACAGCATCGAGGATTCCCTCGTCAAGCGCTTCATGGAGAATGCCCACAAGGGCCGCGAAGGCTTCGAGGCTGTCCTTGAGATGAGCAGGCGAGCCTTTGCCGAGGAACGCGAAAAGGAGAAGATGAAGATGCAACTCCGGCTTCCTATGGCCGCGTAATGGCCATCCAAATCAATCGACCAACTCCTGCGAGCATCCGATATAATCTCACCCAACCACGAACAATATTTCCCCCTTCTTTCCGACGCGTCTTTCTCTCGATGCAAATCATTTCAGCCTAGCGATTCTTCTCTTACCTCTTTTTATTAGACATTTACGCCTTTTATCGTTTTTTTCTTGTTTAAACGGCGTTTAAAACAAACAAAAGGGAGACTTGGGAAAAGACAAGGGAAAGACAAAAGTTTATTCTTTCACGCAATAACTGTTTCCCAGGACTCATCTTTTTCCACACCCAACTCTGGCGTTCAAGGATATAACTAGCATGGCATGCGTTGCATTCCTCTTCTTTTTTTTCTTCAACGGGACAAGGAAGGCGGCCAAAAGGGTCAGCAAGTCTAGACCAGGCCTCTGCATGTAATATTTTTGTCACTCGATCATCCTACCCAGCGTCGGGCAAACCTATTCACGGTTGCTTGCTTCTCGAGTCTAGTCAGACGGACTCGGAAGGGAGAGGTTGAAGGGAAAGCCTTTGATTCTTCTTCATGCTGTGGCTCTACGGTATTCTGCCGCTGTACATACTAGCAACCTATGGAATCCTCTTTATAGATGAAAATATTGACGCTCCTCTCCTCCGCGTATATCTACGCTGTGCCCTTCAGCCAGCTGCTCATACAAACCTCTACGTATGGCCCTTGCGTGACTCTTCCGTGAAGTTGTGTCCTGATTCTGCCCCCTCGAGCTACCCCCTCATTTTTCTTCCCCTCTCACCATTTAGCTGAGACTAGGGCCTGGCTCGCTCCTTCTACCAACACCGCCATCTCCTTTCCTTCACTCTTGCCTCCCCAGGCCACTCCGTTTTTCTTCCCTCCCAGCATGGACGATCAACAAGCAGCATTGCTGCTGGGCATTGACCTGTCTGACTCCGACAACGCGGAAACGGAGGCTCCCGCCGAGTCCGAAGCCAACAAGCCAGAGTCGCGTATGGTACAGTCCGCGGAAACCTTTGAGGAAGTACGAAGGACGTATAGGCCCAAAGTTGAAAACGGAGAGGTAATATGTTCCTTAGCCTCTTTTCTTTCTTTTTTTTTTTCCTTGAAGTCTCCTAGAGGCGATTTCTTCCCTAGCCTTGTTACACCCACTCGTCCACCCACATTCCTACCATTCCCTTCTTGCCCCAAAGTAAGCTCGTTGTGCAACCTCTTTCTCACACGATAGATTTAGATTTGGAAAACACTACAATTGGGCCCGGCAGGGGTACCCGCCACCAAGGCGCAGGGCCAGGCCGTCATGCACGCGGTGGAGGAACTGTACTTTCTCCGACGGTACGCTGAGGCCCGGGAGTTCTTGAAAACGGCACTGGGGCGAGGTGACGGCGGCATTGGCGGGGAGCTCCGTGCCGTTCTGGAGGGCTATGAGAAGAGGTGCGAGGAGAGGCTGGCGGAGCAGGTGGGTGGGAAGGAGTGCTAATGCCTGGTACGACGGGACGAAGTCGTTGATATTGAAATGGTGTGATAGATCTCGCGTCAGGATATGAGAAGGCCAGGAGGTCTTTGTTTGAACAAGTTAAAAAAATACCTCGATTGTGGTCCTTTTAAAAATACCAAAGTAGCTATATAGAGCATATGACGCCGAATCGCTTCTCCCCCTCTCGCTCCTGTCCATTCACTTTCCCTTTACCTTCTTCACCCGCGCACGTACACGCGCACCACAAACCTCCACCCTCACTTCGTCAAGGTTCCCATGATGTGAGGTAGGCACTGGTGCCAGGGCTCGTCGGCGCGTCTGTCCAAGTCCACGTCGGACCACGGTCCCGCCTCGAGAAGCCAATCCCTGGTAGGTCGCGTCAACTGGCATCCGCCGATGCAGAAGGGCCAGAACAGATTGAGGAAACCTGTGACAGTTTGCCCATGGTCAGCTAGCTGCTAGGTTTTCAAAAGGGGCGGGCAAAAAAAAAAAAAAAACAATGCCTTTGCCTTGGGAAGCAAGATGCGAATAAAAGGCCGGAGCGCACATGAAAAGAAAGAAAGAAAAGGAATCAAACTTACCCTGATAGAGCCTTATCCACCACCCGACCCCATCAGCTCGCACATGCTCGTACACGTACCAACGGCCCCCTCCCTCAAATATCCGTAGACCTCCTCCGCGACTTTTCGCGGCTCCGGCACGCTACACATGCACAGGATAGTAACCACGCAATCCACGCTCCCCTTCTCCACGCGGTGCCCATCCCACTCCCCGCGCGCCACGTCCTCGACGCCCGCCGGCACGACAACGTATTTATCCCCCAAGCCCGCCTCCGCCACCCTCTTCCTCAGCACCGCCAGGCTCTCCGGGTTCGGCTCCACGCCAAACACACGCTCGACGCCGGGGATCTCGCGCGCGAGCAAACTCGACCACAAGCCCGTGCCCGCCCCGATCTCGAGCACCGTGCCGCTGAGGGACGGGTGTGCGGCGGGCCTTGCTCCGATGTGACGGCGCCTTCGCGGACTCGCCCGCGCAACAGCGCCGTCACCATCTCGCCGCCTCCGGCGCGGATATCGCGGCTCACTGTGCTCCAGAAATCAAAGAACCATGCGTCCCGGAGCGCGGAGAGCCGGAAGAGGGCGAGCAGGCCGTCGGTGCGGGCCGCGCGTGCAATTGTGCCGGGGAGGTGCCAGAGGGCGAGCAGCATGAAGAGCCACGGGCCAATGTGGCTGGCTATCACTTCGGAGATGCCCATCGTGTGAGGAAGGCTTTGGGGCGGAGGGTTTCGGAGACTTTTTTTTCCTAACACACTTGTCCCGCTTTCCGGCCGAGCTCGAGAAGGGCTGGACAAACACGGCAATCGAAACTTTTCAGGGAAGGAATCCAAAGATGCGAAGAAAAAGAAACGGAGGAAATAAGGCGGAAGGGGAAAAAGAAAAGAGCTGGTATAGGAGGGGTGGGCTAAGACAAGGAAGGGGGAGGAGGGTGTTGGAGGGTGTAAGTTCATCTATGCGCGGGACAGCTATTTATACCTATACGCCCAAGGGCTCCCACACCCACAACACACACCAGCGCGGCGTCCGGTGCACTAGTGCCTTTCGATGACAAATTCCGGGCCCTGTCCGCTACTCGGCGCAGACCAAACCCATGCTCATGCTTCAATGCTACCGGGGCCCTTCCGTATTACGTGCTTCACTATTTGTATGTGTCTTGCTGGGTGGATGTAGCGTATTCATCGGTCCAAGTCAATGTTGGCGCACAATCGCATGTAGATGTTCTCTCTCATCATTAATTCGTATCCCGTCCTAGGATCTCATGGATCCCGGTCTCGTACAGTGTATTGGAAAATACATTCTTTCTTCTATCATGTTGTTATACAAAAGCCTGAGCTTCAGATCCCGTTCCCATCTCCAAAGAGAGTGGGCTAGCCTCATCGAAGAGGGGAGGAGGGTAATGGAAGGACAAAGGGTGTAATATCCTTCCCATCCCTCCCCATTTTCCCGACTTAATCCCTCGCCACGTGCCGACCACTCTTCATCCTCTTCTCCTCCAGCGCCTCCACGTCCTTCTTCTTGTGGAAATGTGGCGCCAGCTCCGCCAACCACTTAGCCTCGATCGGAAGACAGCTCCGCATGTATTCCTTGGTTGTCTGCACCAGCTCAAAGTAGATAACCATCCGGGGCGGCGGGTCCATGCCCGCCACCACGGAGCTCGGGTGTACCCATACCGTCGTGTTGGTCTTGACCGTCCGGTACCCGTCGCCCCCGCGCTGCATGCGCGCTGCGTTGGGGAAGAAGCCTGCTGTCAGCGCCCGTTTGATTGGCATCTGGTCGTTCTCCCCGCACGACGAGAGCGTCACCTCCACCCGGTCGCAGAGCTGCGCCAGCTGGTCGCGCACGTCGCGCGCCCGTGTCAGCGATCTCTGCTGCAAAAGTTCTCCCGTGACCAGATGGGCGAGAAGTCACTCTCTAGCCACTGGTTCCAGATGTTGAGGAGCGTGAGGTGGTCCCCGCCGTCCTTGACCGTAAATCGCGCTCGCGCGCTATCCGCGTGGATCTTCTTATCCTTGGGTCGGAAAAAGAGTGCCGACGCCTCCGCGAGCATCGACACAATCGACAGCACCTCCTGCACGCAACCCTCTTTGTCCGCCGCCAAGATGGCTTTGGCAAGCATGGGGTCCGTTGGGAACTCAGCCATCTGCCGCCCCACCTTGGTCAACTCTCCTTTGTGGTTGAACGCCTGGAGGGCGTATAGCAGGTTCAGCGCCGAGATGAGCGATTCAAATGGCGGCGGGTCCAGAAAGTCGAAGTTGACCAAGTCCTGGATACCAAGCGCCGAAAGCTGCAAAACTACGCCCGTCAGGTTGGTGCGCTGGATCTCGGGCGTCGTGGACTCGTCCATCTCGTTCATGTACGCGTACTTGGTGTATAGCCTGAAGCATTTGCCGGGGCCCACACGACCCGCACGACCGCTCCGCTGGTTAGCGGAGGCGCGGGAGCACGGCACCACCACGAGGTTGGACATGCCTGTCGCCGGATTATACACGTTTTCCTTCACGAATCCCGGATCAATAACGTACACGATGCCATCAATCGTCAAACTCGTCTCCGCAATGTTGGTTGCCAGAACCACCTTTCTCGCCCCTTCCGGAGTCGGCTCGAAAATCTTGGCCTGAAGCTCCGACGGCAAGTTGGCGTAGATGGGGCAAATGATGAGCTCCTTGATTCGATTCCCCAACTTGCGCGCCGTGTCCGTCAGTTGCTGCTCTGCCGCTTCGATCTCGTCCTGACCCGTCAGGAAGACCAAAATGTCGCCCTTGTCCTGCGTGGTGTGGATTTGAAATACGGTCGTGATGGCTGCCGTGAGGTAGTTGGCCTCTGGCTGCGACGCGTAAAAGATGTCCACGGGGTACCGTCGGCCTGGAATGTTGTAAATGGGAGCGTCGTCAAAGTACTCGGCAAACTTTTGGGCATTCATTGTTGCCGAAGAGATAAGCAGCTTAAGCTCCGGACGCTCCCTTGCCAAGTCTTTGACGAGCGCGAGGAGGATGTCGCTGTGTACGGTGCGTTCGTGGGCCTCGTCAATCATGAGTGCCGAGTACCCCGCTAGGTCAGGCTCCGTCATGAACTCTCGCAGGAGCATACCGTCCGTCATGTACTTTAGCACGGTCTTGTCGCTCGTACAGTCCTCGAAACGCACCGAGTAGCCAACTTCGTAGCCCACCTTCACCCCGACTTCCTCGGCCACACGCGCCGCCACGCTCATGGCCGCCACTCGACGGGGCTGCGTGCAGCCAACCTTCATACCGTCCTTCGTGTAGCCCGCCTCGTGGAGGTACTGTGGTAGCTGGGTTGTCTTTCCGCTGCCCGTCTCTCCCACAATCACGAGGATTTGGTGTTGTTCCATCGCCGCTAGGAAATCGTCGCGGTAGTGGTATATGGGGAGACTCTTTCTCGTTTCCTGGATGGACATTGCCTTCTGCTCCGCCGCGTCGATCTGCGCGGCCAGGAACCTCTGCTCCTTGCTCAAAAGCTTGCCCTCGCCCGCTAGCTGCGAGTCGATATTCCATTTGATGTATTGGTCCTCGTCCATGACGTACGAATACTTGCCGTCATTGACCATTTCGGGTCTCTGGATCTGCGCCTTGGCTTTGGCCGCTTGGTCCCGTTCCCACTCGTCATGCTCCGTCACAAATCTCTCGCGCCCGTACTCATCCCGGTCAACATACCGTTTGTAGAGCGCCTCCGATTTCTTCTTCTTATCAATCTTGCCCTTCTCCGTAATATAGTCCTCGGGCATGACGTAGCCGTCGGTATGGTCGTCGACACGTGCGAGTTCCTCCGCAAGCCGCAGAACCTCCCTGTTGCGCGCGAACTGGGCCTTTTCCTCTCTCGTCAACTTGACCCCGCTCTCCAGCTCCTCCGTCTCTTCGGCGACTTGTTTGCGCAAGAGCGCCAACTGCTCGGGATTGCGCTTCTCAAGGTACTTTTGCCGCGACATCAGGCGCAAATCCGACATGCTGGCTAGCGCATCCTCCCGTCTTCGGATTGCCTCCTTAGACTCGGCTTTGGACCCTTTGTCGTCCCTTTTCTTTAATCTCTCGGCGAGCGCATCTCGCTCTGCAATATCTTTTCGCCGTTCCCGCTCCTCCTCTTCCTCGGGAGAAGGCTGCCGAGGTGCGCGTTGGTTGTCGTGATTGTCATCGTTGTTTCGGTGACTCGTTTTCGCCCGCTTCGGCGAGTGACGGGCTTCGTCCTCTTCCGCCTCCTCTGAGACGTATTCTTCGTCGCCCCACCGATCCTCGTAATCGTCATCTCTTCTCCGCCGCCTCGACGACGTTGACTTCTTTGGCGACCTTGACCTGGACCTTTTTCGATGTGAGGAAGGCCGTGTCGGCGATCTTGAGGTTCGCCTGTGTCGACTCTTTGGCTTCTTATCCTTCTTGACGACGCGCTCCGGTTCGATCGCGTCATCGTCCATAGAGACGAACGCGTACTTTTGGAGCTCATGATGGCGGATCTGGAGACAAGAACGGTGAAAGCAGAAAATCGCAAGGGGCAGTGTCCCCAGGTTCCGATCCCAGTGTCCCAGTGCGTTCCAAATGCGTGAAAAAGGGGGCCGGGCGGATATTCGGTTGTTAATGGCGAGATTCAGTGGAAACAACCCAGTTGCAGTCGAGCACCAGATGTTCTCTACGCAAGGCCAAGCTCACGATTGGTGAGCAATTGAGACGGCCCAGGCAAGGAGGGAAAAAAATAGGGTCACGTGGTATTCATACCTCCCAGTCTTATCGATAACAACAGACCATGGGCAAAATTCAGGGACAGAGCTGTGGTGGGGCTTTACAATGGGCCCCCACCTTGAACGGTGAAAGCTCCCCTCCCCTCCAGCTACCTCTAAAAGGAACGCCTTCCCAACGAGAGCACCAAGACAGGATAGATAGTAAGGGAATGGTGCTATCAAATAATATTACCCTGACTAAACCTGCTTCCTACCTATTACGCAAGAGTATGGAAGCTCGCGCTGGTATCACGCGAGGCTTGGTCCCTAACCGAGTCTCTATCAACCTATGTTTGGGCCTCAACAACGAGCTAAGTCACGGAAATCGTCTTTGTCCTACGCTCAAGGTACCCAAGGCTTGTATTCTCATATAGCTATTCACGAATGCATGTACAAAATTTATCTACTGCTCCTAGTCCTACTTTTCTTCTCCAAAACCAGGTTTATACTGGTGCTGCCGAACATCAACTTGTCAGCCCAAGGAGCTTCTTCAGCTCGGGGATTTCGGTGTGGTCCCTAGTTGACTTCATTCGGTGACACCAGGTGATTGATTTCTCTTCAGAACTATACTCGTTCTCCTTCTTCTCTTCATTCGGTGTAGGAATGGGTGAGGTGATTTCAGCGGGCTCGAAAAGGAACTCCCCTCCAACCTGACGCTGGTCGCCAGCTTTCGTGGCTAAACCAGACTTGACCTGCTTCAGGCCCTGAAGCACACCGGTGACAACAGTCGAGGCCATATGTTTCCGCGTGTATTGCGGGCGCTGTCCTAATTGTAGGGTTTTGATCATGCCCAGGGTATCAAACAGCTTCCTACTTGGGTCTGTATAGACTGGGAAGACACAGTTTGTCGCATCTGTATACATACTGATCAAGGCTGGGTCGCCACAGCCGATCACAACAATCGATGTGCTGACCGGTAGGCTTATAAGGGCTTCGGGAGTAATGGCCTCTGAAAGGGCTAGTAGGTAATCCTGGCAGTTCTATATCAAGCAGCAAGACACAGCGGAAATAAGCGTGAACGCGTTAGCCGGGGCACAGCAAGCAGGGACAAGGCGATAAGAGGCTACGATACGAGCCGCTCGAGCTACGTACACCGCAGAAAAAGTGGCGCACAAAGATGACGAGAACTCGCCGGGCTGAATTCCTTCCATTGTATAAACTCCGAAAAGTGTGTGTCTTTCCCTCCCGATCTAGCACCAGGTAGTCGTCGAGCTGTCGTACAAGATCGTTGAGAGGGGGTACATCGTTCGTAACTACTTCGCCGTCGAAATCTTGCGGTTTACTAATATCTAACTTGGGAAGTGATGGCGCAGGAGATGCTCCCTCTCGGCAGAGGTTCGCTGCGAACCCGGTGTCGTAGTGGACGCGGTAGGGGCAGGCGCTGCCTTCGCTTTTCCCTATCCCGTCAGCTATCGTTTATTCACCTACGCAGTAGACACGGCGAGCTGCGTCGCCAGTCTTTGAACCTCAGACACATCGTCGATGACATCACTCAAGTGTAGTAAGTGAAAAGACGGTGCATACTCACCCTCTGCGGCGGGGGCTGTAACCTCAGTCATCAGGATCAAAGACAGGACGGCTTGGCAGGCGAGAATGCCAAAGGTCGCGAGAAACAAGGGGGCAGATGGGGCGCAAGAATAGTGCACTGGAAATCCAACTCGCTTTGGTGCCTGCAATATTATGGCAATGGGGGATTTGGGCCTGCGATATTTTAATATCCTGCGTTACTCGGGGTTGCCCTTGATTTTATCCTGGTTAGGCTCGACTGGTTATGAGAAGGACTGGGCAACTAATAAAGGAGTCAAGTTTGGCTCGGCACCCCATTTAAACTCGCTGAGACAGTTCAAGGCAGGCAGGTGACCCCTCAAAGCTACCCCCAATCCGGGGCTGGCGCGACCATGAATTTGAACTGGTGCCGGATACGGATGCGGGGCACTTTTTGTCTGGTTGCTTTTGCCGCCCCTGGTCCTATCACCATTGGGCTTCAAGTGCTGAGTCGATCGAGAGATTCCGGCGACTTGTGCAGGGGTATTGTCAAGGAGAATCCGGAGCCCGTGTATTATTGTGCCATCGAATCTTTCTCGGCTCTCATGAGCTTCAGTCCCATTCCGCGTCGCTAAACAATTTACAAACACTCCTTCTTTAGGGAAACTAGCCTGCGGTTTCCCGGATGATATACGCCCAAAAGGCCAAGTCCGGCCTTGCCTTCTGTCACAGCGATCTCTTCAATCTGAAGCACGCCCTGGAGTGAGGTGCTCCTCTAGTTCAAAGGAGGGATCAGATGGATCCATGGATCAAACCCAGTGCTTGAAATTCAGACACGGACGTCATCACGCCTCTGCGCGCCTTTTACGCACCCTGCCAGACCTGCATCCATAGGTGTACTTTCCAGGGGTCAAAATCTTTGGCCCTCTTCATTGTCGGAAGGCCGAGATCACAGCACTGATGTGTGGCAGACGGAAAGCCTCGCCCGCCGCAGGCGGGGCTAAAACTCCACCATCCAAAGCCCGCACGTATTATCAGCAAAGCCAACTTTCAAGCTGATATTGCCTTGCACCTCATTCGATCGCTGGGCCGATCCCTTCAAGCACAACCAACATGAACCTCTTCGATCGGGAAGCCTGGCTACTCGAGATGCAGCCATCCACTCACACCCAACATTGAACCCTTCAATGCTCCCATCCGGTCCTTCGCTCCTTCCGCCGAAAATGAACGAGCAGAGGAAAGGGACAAGAGGTCGGGAGGCCGAAGAGATGCTATATACTGCATACAGCAGAATCAATTCCTTAAATGCCTCAATGCCTTGTGTTTTTTATGTAAACGGTAAAGGAAGTCCTCTCCCTTCCCTTGGACGTGCGGATCGGCTAAGGTTGTGCCTTGCTGTGTTTCAATGACACACAAAAACCCCCGAGCTCTAGGCAAAGCTACCGACATTGCTGGAGCCTCCATCCCTCGGTCTTGTCTCCGAACCTGTTAACAAGGAATGTTGGATGGGCCCCCGCCCCCATTTGTAAAAGAAAGTAGTCCTCCCCGCCCCTATAACTGGTGCTGGATAATAAGATGGCTGAGGAAGAAGGGGCGAAACTTGAGAGACGAAAGGAATCGAGGAAGGTGGGAAGAAGGAAGGCGATAACAATCAACCTTCTCCACACCAGGGGCCTGACTGACCTTCCAACGCCACACCATTTGCACACCCGGACAGCTAATGAGAGGCCCCTCTTGGTCCTTTCGGCACCATGGAAGCCGAATGCACCTCGTCGAGCTGCGTGAAGATCATTCGTAGATCGGCATCCCTCGTCCGTACTATCGGTTGTTCTTTCCACCTTTTTCTCACTCGCACGATCAACAAGGTGGCTCCTCGTCTAAAATTTGATGCACAAACAGGAGAGTCTAAAGGCCTTGTTACTTGGAAAGCACTTTGGTTACGGCCCTCCCGGAAGCGACGATGCCTTCGTTAGGATTCTTCTAGCATTTTCTTCCTGAAACCTATTTTTATCTAGTCTGAGATGCGAGGCCTCGTCCCCTGTTTTGCCCGCCCTGAGCTGGACTCCAAGATTCCAAAAATATCACCCACTTGAGTGCCTTGGCCATGATTTCTACTATTATATGTAGGCGAAGAGTTGAGGCCGAGAAACAGAGCCCTGAACTCTACCGCCAATCTCAAGCGGTGGAGGCGCGTTGTATGTCTTTGGGCCATGAGTTATCTCCCCTATCGTCTTCTCTTTCTCTCTTCCCTGTACCACTTACTACTTCCTCTGTCTGACTGTCACTCGGGTTTGAGAGGGAGGGAAGAAAAGCGAGAGAACAAGGGAGAGAGAACACCATGGGTATGTATGTATCAGTGTATGTCTGCTACTCGATAATACGAGCCTAACTATAAGAAAAGTCCAACTATGGTGTAAGTTCAGCGACACTCCCTAGTCCCTGATTCGTACTCCAATGCATGTACAACGGCGCAAGGCTGATGCGACTGAGACGGCCCCCTTGACCTCGCAAACCTCACTTTGGCATTCCTCGAGGCCATCCTAGATCAGGAGCAGACTGAAAGTGCAAGGAAGAAAGAGGTTCTGGGTAGAGTTCATCAGGTTAAAGATAAAGGGCCACCTAGAAAGGACAAAAGAATCTTACTCCCTTCCTCTTCATAGAGCCCCCTCCACATACTAACCACAGCATAGATGAGGTCAAACCACTCTTATAACACCGTAGCTGAAAGGGAGAATGAGAAGTCAAGGGCGCACACTAACCCCTCTTGGTGATCGCGAAATATAGTCATCTATAAAGTCAAAAGGCCTGCTTAGAAAAATGACCTGGTCTTCCTCTCCTCTCCCACTCCCTCCCATCTCCATGGTTACTTCACCTCACATCATATAGTATCCCACCTCCATGTCCAAGACAGCATCCCAGAGCTTTCTTGGTATCACAAAGAGATCCCTTTAGGGCTCTACCTTCCTAATTGATGTGAGTTTAATACTATGGTTTGAAAATCGAAAGTTCTGGAATCACTAAGTGGCCAGTATCAGCCCCTAAGGTGCGCCTTCCTTCAACCGCAGGAGAATGTTCTGGATAATCTGTCGACTCCTCTTCTTTCTGAGTGCCATTCCTTTTCACCAGCCCCCATTTTGGTAAATATTGGCCTCCTTGAACTGAAAATCACCCTTGAGCTCCCTGGCCTCCAACAGAACGGTATAATCCTTCCCCGAGTCAATATTCAGCCTTCTATCGCCATTGGCAACATAATGAGTGCCAAGCCACTGCTCGAGCGCTTGCTAAGCCTCCAAGAGGACTCTGCCGCCAGGCAGTCCAATGTGCCTTCGCAAGCCACCACAAACCCCCAAGTCGGCCTCTTGAGCCCGGAGGAGAAGAAGATGACAGAAATAGGCACTATGCTCAAGGATAGGGCCACAATCACCGTCAAAGATCCAGACAATGGGAATCTCAAGATGATAGGTAAGTGCCTTGGGGATGCAAACCCGAAATTATTTCTCCTTCCCTCCCCTCGCACGCATTAAAATTCACATTCTTGATCTTCTGGTCCGCCCAAGTACATTTTTCTTCTAACTGACGAGACTTAAAGCCACGTTTAGCGCCTGGGGAGGTAACCTATTTGCCGAAGCTAAGGAGAAGCTCAAAGCCTGCCAGAAAGATCTCGATGCCAAGGTCGAGCTTCTTGCATCCCAGGAGAAACAAACCATTGCTGAGATGACAGATGCCGAAAAGGCCATTGACTACCCCCTTGGGGATTCGCTCGTTCAGGACAATCATATTGCAACAGATGAGCCCATTTCTCATACGCAGAGATCGCTTGCCGATGCCGTTCAGGCTGCCTCGGTTCGGTTGAAGACTGTCAACGACGAGCTCAACGCCCTCTAGAAGAGTTGGCGTCGAGCCGAATCTCGAGCTGTAACCGTTCTTGGTATGTTTCAACTGAGAGAGGCGATTATGAAAGAAAAGAGAGGAGATTCATCTTCTCAAGAGTTCAAAGCCGATGTCAAGGAAGCGCTTGATTCCTTTGATCAAGAGGGCAGTGAACTTAAGAAGCGAATGGAAAAGATTCAGAAGGTGAGTTTCCCTGACCCTTGAATGCAAGTAGTTTTCTGGTTTCTAACTACGAAATGATGACAGGAATATCAGGAAGACCTGCGAGCTCAGATCGCAAAGTACTTTGAGACCATTGCCGACCTCTAAAGCGCCCAACGGCTTGTTAGATAGGGGAGGTCGTTGGAAGATAAGGACGAGAATAGGTCTAGAACGTGCGGGAAGGGGTGTGAAGGGTTATAAAACCATGCACTGATCGATCGTGCCTATACGCTGCTACTGCTACTGCTACTGCTACTGCTGCATCCCTCTCCGGGCTATTGTGTAGATGAGATGCGTATTTTAATATAAGACCTTGAGATTTGAAGGGGTTTCACACCATCTGATTCAAAGTTTAAAGAGAAACAGCCCTACCGTTGCCGGAAGGAAAGACAGGGAGTTTGGGCCATGTCTCATGCACTCCCGAGCTAGTCTAGCTCCCTTTTCCCATGCCGACCTTGGGGATTCGTAATCCGATATCTCCACATCCCGTGGCGCGATCGGATATGACCAAATATTGCCATCACACAATGCGAAAAGTTTGCACGGGGTTCAAGTTGGAAAAAAACAAAATAAACAAGAATCAAAAATGGAGCAAATAGACCGGAAAGGCTTCATGAATCATGGCGATCGTGGATAATGAGACCTTGGGTTGAGATGGCCACGATGGCCAAGGAAAGGGTTACCAGTTGAAGTTCCGGGTTCCGATCGATGGCTTCGGCAAATGGCGTCATATAGACGATGGAAGCGAAGCCTCGACTAGACCCCACAAGTGAAGGGGAGGAAGAAAAAAAGTTTGGAATTTTGCGCGCGCCCCTAACCCCAAGCCAAGACGATGAGGCCACACTAGCGCTCGAACGAGTATCATGGAGGACCTAAGACCGATGGGTCAACCCCGTTATCCTACCAACCGGAAGTGGAGGAAGAGGCATCTCCTCCCCTCCCACAGTCCATTGTCGCACTTATCGGGAGGAGGACATCACGTCAATGCTACCAGAACACTTTTAGTAGCCGTTTTCTAGTGTCTTGTAGTGTATATAGATTGGGTGACTCCCGGCTCATTCGAGCTGTGAATCGTTGGTGACCTCGTTCAAAGGGAGGGGAAAAAACCCTCACAGCAGATTTGCATCCACGCCGTTCGGTCCTTGCACAGTCCCAATCGCTTCCCAAGGCAGTACGAGCCATTGGATCTGTGTCTTTACTTTTCCGGACCAAAGCTCGTTGGCAAAGTGTTTCTACACTGGTAGAAACTTGGTTTATACACAAAATCAGGCACCTGGTGATACCCCCGCACGATGATTTCCAAGGCCGAGGGCTCCGTCAGTAGCTTTGATGGCGATAGCGACGAAGGCCAGAACCTAGGCAAGGGTAAGTAGTAGCCTCCTTCCCTGACGATGCTACTCCGGACGCAGAGACACAAGCATAACCGCGCGGAAATGGTCTGCACAAAGGCTAACGTCTCTCTCCTCTCTCTCTTGCTAGTCTGGGCAACATTGATAACGAGAGAATCTTACCTTTCCGGGCTCTTGACACTCGACTATTCCCTCCGCAAGTCGCATTCCGCGTACCCACTCGTCGCATTTTACACGGATACCGTGCCCGGGTGGTGCCTCAACGCCATCCAGGCGCGGAATATCATTACTCGCCGTGTCGAGCACATCAGGCCGTCCTCCGAGCGCGAGCACGACGAGGACCCCCGGTTCGCCGACACATGGACGAAGCTCGCCGTCTTCTCGCTGACCGAGTACAAGCGCATCGTCCTACTCGACTCGGACATGCTCGTGTTGCGTAACATGGATGAGCTTATGGAGCTCGATCTCGACGAGCCCGCGCTTGCCGCGCGTGGGGGCAAGGCGTCTCGAAGGGTGTACGCCGCCGGGCATGCATGCGTGTGCAACCCTTTGAAAAAAGCACTACCCGGCCGACTGGGTGCGGGAGAACTGCGCCTTCACAAAACAGCACGGAAACCCGGACAAGGCCCAGGTCTCGGGGGAAGCTGTGATTTGAGCCCCTTGGGCAACATAAATAGCGGTCTTCTGGTTATCAACCCGTCAGAGGAGGTGTTTTCCCAGATAGTCGAGTACATGGAGGAGCACGGGTCGCGGATGATCTTCCCGGATCAGAGTGTCCTGTCGGAGCTATTCCAGGGCCGGTGGGTTGCTTTGCCATACATCTACAACGCTTTGAAGACACTGCGGAAACCGGAGACGCATGGCGCCATTTGGAGGAAGAACAGGGTGAAGAATGTGCACTACATCCTAGCGCCTAAGCCTTGGGAGGAGCTCGACGAGAACGGGGACTGGACCGGGACGGACGAGAGCCACCGCTGGTGGATAGAGGAGAACCGGGAGAGGATTGAAGTTGAGAGGCGGATAGAGATTGCCGATGGATTCTAGGACGCCCGAGGCTTTGGTCTCATGCTATTGGGCAGCGTCACACCCTCCTGCGAATCCTTCTCCTTACTGTCTTGGTGGCACCTGTGTTCTGCATGTTGGGTCTTGGGGATATTCTGGATTCCCCATTTTCAAAATTCGGTATCTTATTTTAGATATAACGGAGGCGTGACATGGTATACTTTTGACAATGCTACTTTAATAATCGGCTCTCTTCGATTGGCAAAGCTTTGTGGCTTCGCAATATCCGCATCCGCATGGACTTGCTCCCATGTCTTCAGTGGAAGCTTGAATCGGAGGGAACGGACCAGAAACTGGACTGAACATCTGTGCATCAACTAGCAACCCCCGCTCTCCATTCTTGTCTCTCTTTATCCCCCTTTGCGGGTCAATCGCATCCGAGGCTGCAGAAAGCGCAGCATGCTCGCTATCTAATATCTTTTGTCTTTTTCTCTCTCTGTCGAAGTTGAAGGGCTCGTGTGCTTGCGCAATGGCCAAATTAGGTTGTGGTGCGATCGATCCCCTGGCCTGCGATTTCTTTGCACACTCGTGCGTCAACAGTGCCAGTCATTCTAAGGAGGCGGGGTTCCTTCTATTTTGGTGTGTTCCGTCTAATAGAGGAAGCGTCAAATAAACTCCCCATGCACTGTGAGGGGGAACGTTATTATCATCAATCCCGACGAGAGACTAGTTCAGGGGAGCATGATGGCGGTGAACGGCCACGAGGTGAGGGTTGAAATTCTAACTGGGCCTGGCTAGGCCCCTGATACGGTGATAGGGTCCTCAGAAACCGTTACTGCAAAGCAATAGTCTGAGGTGCCCCTTTGACGACAGCCTGGGGGTTGTGCATGGAGCCTTCGCACCAGGATGCGACGAAGTAGTTTCTGGTACTGAATGGAGCAAGGGTGGTCACTGGACTGAACCGCAATTTGAGGGGAGACCTGGTTCACGCATCTATAGTGTAATAACATCGTCTTCGAGGCAAATTGATGGACCCGTCATAGTGGCTACGGTTGATTCAGCTCAACATTACTTGGTCCAAGCTCCTCAACATTCCCGCCACCCGCCTTGCCAAATCCTGCTCAACATCATTGGAGGTTGAGACACCAGACCAGGGCTAGATGGCCTGGGAAGAGGTGGGTGTTGGAAACGGAGAGGCCTGGCCTCATTCAGGCAGCTTGAACTGCGACAGCCGTATTTCTCAAGGCACAAGACAGTCCCGTATTTACAAGGCGCACCGTGGACAGATGGGTGGGAAGGTGCTGACGCGAGAGTTGATGCATGAGACATCGAGACTGCCTTTCGCAACTCCCACCGGCAAGCAAGCACACCACCAAATCACACCTATGGATATATCCGTGTGCGAAGTTAGGCCGCCGCCTCTTGGGGAAAAGAGGTGCATGGCGCTGTGCGCCCGGTGAAGACGAGGGAGGGGTCTCTACGATCCTCGGTTTCCTCGGGAGAAAGCGAGGAAAGGGCCAAGGAGTGGGGCATGTCAGATTTGTCTCATGGGCTGACCAATATTATTGAGGGTGATGGTGAAGCTTTGAGGGAGCAAGATATTAGAGAATATTAATAATAACAAGGAGCTCAAGAAAAAAAAAAATATGGAAGGGAGACCATGCCCCTGCGTCTCAACACCCGTCCCTGCGAATTGTTGCCGACGCGGCATGGCCCCGCTCTTTCCCCAACTCCGCAGCTCCCACACCATCTCTGGTAAGGTGTGACCTTCCGTGTCCCAGCTCAGGCCGGGATATCGAAGGGTGGACGACTCTTTCGCCCTCTCAAACAAGCCATCTTTCTTCGCCGACGCGACTGCTTTGGCGCAAAAATGGATTGGCATTTGCGCCATCACGCGGGCGAGGGAATATAGTTTGCTGTGAGTGTGGCGAAGTGAGGGAAGACGAAGGAAAGAGTGAGGGAAGTGGGAAGGGAAAAAGATGAGGAAAGAGGGAGAACGGGCCAAAATGCGAGCTCATGAGCAAGCCTCAGAACTTGCACAGTTAGCATCATACGGAGTACCCAGCTTCCCCACAGCTAGTGGATGGCTTGTGGATGAACCCACGACTGTAGCGGGCACGGAGACAGGGGGAAATATTGACGGTCTGGTACTTTCTTCCGTCAATTTCTATTATATCCTTAATAGCGGCGCGGGTGGTACTCCGTGCTTGTCTGTCCATGGGCGCATGCCGACCTGCGAGGCGATGCATTCGGTCTCGTTTGACCGAGCCAGAGACGACTCCATAAAGTGATGGTCATACCATCCATTTCCTCTATCCGGGTGGGTGTGACTCGTTTGTCTTCTTCCTAGGCTCTTCTCCTTTGCGACTACATACATAGCTGCTCGTCCGTGTCTCCGAGTTCCTGTCCTGAACCCCCATCATCTGATCCAAGCCAATTGTCCGTCTCCCCGCCCCTCCGTATTCTGAGTCTCCTGTGGCCCGACCCTTGCTTCCTTTTTTCTTTTCTTCTTTCTTTTTCAAAAGGCAGTCTTATCCTCCATACTTATCCTCAGACGATATCTTCCTTTTGCCTCTCGTCAGTGGCTTGAACTTTGTCGACGCGGATCTCTGTCCTCTATCTCTGACCTCTCCGGCCCAGCACGCTTAACAGTCATCAGACTCACCACTATCCTTTCCGAATCGAGCTCTCTGAGAAACCATCACAACCCCGTCTATTTATTCTCTTTCTCTTTCCCTCGATCCTCCTTATCCTCTACATCAATCTCTTTGCTCGTTGCATCTCATCATCACATCGCATTCACCATGTCGAGAGTCGGTAATCCCGTTTCGAAGATCAGCCGGTCTATTGGGTCCGTGGCGAGTCGTTCCGCTGTCGAAGCTCCGCATGCATCCTTGGCTCCTAAATATGCCGAACTCCTCCGCAACCGCCGGCCTCGCATTCCCGACGCCCAGTCTGATGTAAGTTGAGGAAAAAAAAAGAACCAAAAAAGGGCCAAGCGAAAAATGGCACTTCCCCAGATTCCTAATTACACACTGGTAATCGATTGCACCCGACGGCGCCGCATCGGTGTCGCATCGGCAATTGCCATTCCCTCGGCTTCTTCAAACAGCCTCCCTAGGCGCTCATCACCTCGGAGGAGGGCCCGCTTCAGCTTCGAACTAACTGGTTATTCCTTTTCTCCCCGATCTAGGCCCATTCCCACACTCGTCACCTTATGACAAAACATGTGCCCGCCCCACACCAGCCGAACCTCGTCACCTTCCCTAGCCATGCTCCCAATGCCTCGGTCGAGCGCCGTACGCCCGTCCCCATTCTCTTCAACCCTCAGAAGGCTGCCCAGCAGCAGGCTCCGGCGCCGGCGCGGGGATTTTCTACTGTCACACCCGAGGTCCACTTCGTCGCGGGCGACCTCAAGAACTCGGAGCCCTCGACTGCTCGCCTCGAGCAGCTCGATGTCGACGAGGTCGCACGCACCGCTGCGGCTGCCTAGTTGCGTTGACGCGACTAGGGCGTGCGTTTTTAAAGAACTGATGAGCTATGACTGGTTTGAAGCGCCGAGGGAAGTTTTAATCGGGAGGGTTTGAGTCTTTCTCTGGCCTGGGTGAATAATGCAGAGAAGTGGAGCCTTGGTTTTTTCTCCTTCTTGTGCGGAGGAATCATGGGATGCAATGGATCAATGCTTCCAAGAAACCTGCCTGCTACGATCCTGCGCCTGCGCTATATCCTCTCCGGCAATGAGCGTGGGATTGCAGTCGCTGTGGGCAGCACAAGGGGGAAAGAGCTGATATGGTGGAAAATTTCAACCCAAAAAAGGGGATTCGGAACGGCACACTGGAACGGACAGGAAATTATTGTTTCTTCTTGTAATTTCTCTTTATTTTATATTTTATTCTTCTCTACCTTTGGCAAGTGACCCGAAGAGGTCCGCCTACGAGAGCTATCCTAAATTCCAGGGCCAAATTATGAGCGGTCAAATTAACGTTTGATTGGTATTTTGTCCTTCATGAGCCAACCTATCGTCCCCTCTGCGCTCACTGTAGGCAGGCTCTAAGGGTGAGACACAGCCCTCTTGAACTCTGACGAGGCATCGTTCCCTTGCCGTCATTCTTCTAAAGTTGGCTGTACACGCTCTGTCTAACTGGCCCTGGCGCACCGAGTATCGGGTACCCGGGTTTGATGCCCGGCGGTTGTCCTCTCTGCGACCTGACCTGAACCCGAACCCGGCTCCCTTCTCAACGGCGCGGAAGACAAAATGGAGAAAGAAAAGAGAAGAAAAAAAAAAGGGAGGAGGTTGCCCAACGCCGAGAAACAGACGAGATCAAGAAAAGGGAAAAGGAAAAAAAAAAAAAAGAACCGAAGAATACCATGCTGTCCACCTCCTTCCAGCCCCCGCTCGCCTGCCCTTTTGTTTCCAAGCACTTGATAGCGCCACCCCTCCGTAGTGCCCGGAATCCATCTCCTTCACCTCCTTTATCCTCTCACCTCTTCTTCACAGCCGGCCTAGGCTTGCACTCGTCGGCATCGACGGGGTGAAGCATGACCTTGATGGGAGACTGCGTTGTGTTGTGTTGGTAGCCTTTGCTCCAGTCGTAAGAAACAGCATAGGCGAAAATGTTGCCCGTCTTGCTAAATGTGGTAGAAACGATGCTGCCGCCGACATTAGGATAGCCCTTTAGGCGGTGCTTGGCGTCCTTGTCCCAAAAGTGGAAGGTGCCGTCGGAGCCAGCGGTGCTGAACGTGCCGTAAACGGGGTGGAAGGAGATATCGTTTACGGCGTGGACGCTGACGACGTTGTTTTGGGCAGGGTCGCGATGGCACTTGAAGGAAAAGTTGGATCTAGAGTAAAGTTTCACGTCAGCGCATTCTCGGTGAGGCGAGGCGGCGCCTGGGAGGCATGGAAAAGCCGCGGGTGCCGCAAGCAAGGAGTGCGAGCAAGGCCGGGGCGGGGAGGAAGGGAATCAAAACATACCCGCTATCCTTGTCCTCCACGTACTGAATGGCGCAGCGGCCTTCGATACTACCAATGGCAAAACCGGCTGAGTCGGTGAAGCAGCTGACCACCTTGGTCTGCCACTTGAGGGGGCTCTGGAGCGTCTTGTAAAACTTGGTCGGATTCTTTAGGTCGATAACGTTGATGTAGCGGTCGGCGGTGCCGAGTACGAGCAGGTTATCCTTGACATCCATGGTGTAGACACGCTCCTGGCACTGGATCTGGGCGGCGGGCTGTTGCTGCCTCAAGTCCCAGTACTTGACGGTCTTGTCCCAAGAGCCGGAGACGACCATAGGACCGCCGCCCGACTCGAAAAAGCGCACGCAGCGCACCGGCTGGTCGTGGGCGCCGACTTGGGCGGTCTGCGTGCTGCCTAAATCACAGACCTTGACCTGGTTATCGGCGCCTCCCGAGACGATTTTGGTGCCGTCCTTGGAGAAGTCAACGTTGAAGACGGGCCCTCCGTGCTCGTACACATGGCGACCTTCGCTCTGACCGTTACTAGCAATCTCGTAAATGCGGACCTTCTTATCCCAGCTAGAAACGGCGAGGAAGTCGGTATTACCCTGAGCGGGGAGAAGGCGAGGTCGGAAACGCTGTCCTCGGGGGTTGGATAAGGCAATATCCTTGGAGAGGTCGCCTAGCGTCTGATTCGGTGCTGTGCTCGCGGTGGCGGCAGCGCCAAAGAGACCTGCCATGTTGAGCTGTGTTGGAGAGTGAGGATGTGGGATCGATATCTATTTTCCGCTGTCGTGTCGAGGGCGCGCCGAAAACCGTACTCGCGGGAGCTCGAGCTGGAGGGGGAAAAGAAAAATTGATTGGTTGGGCTCGAACGATGTGCGCACAAGGTGGTCTGAAGGCGGGCAAAAGAAGAAAGAATCAAGGTATCTCGGTATAGTCGAGCTCACCTTGGTTTGCGGTGAAATCAATTCGACAAGCCCGGACTCTGAGGAACACGTAGGCCGTATATAAAGGGCGACGGGGTGGAAGGTTTGATGATATGGGCGGCGGCGATTCGAGGTGGACATTTGTGGTTTGGTCCTCCTGCTCCAGGCAAGAAGGCTGGCGTCGAAGGAAACGCATAGTTCATCTGTGATTGGTCAGCTGAAGAGCTCCAAGCTGAAGCTGTCCAATGGCTCTGCCTGTTCTGTTGGCAGCCCGCTACCTAACTAATTGAACTGCCCACTCAGCACACGCCCAAGGCCACCCACCCGCCCCACCCAGAATTTGAACCGTTTAAAAAAATTCGAGCCGTGGCTTCCTCGCCCTTTCTTTTTCCTTCTTTCTCCTCATCGCTTCAAACTCCCCTCGCCCAACAAATCGCTATCGAAGCTCACACACAGAGACAAATTGCACCTTTCGGGGTCTATTCGTCTCCTCCATTTGAAGATATGCTTTGGGAGAAAGTCCCCGGACAATACCCGGATCCTCTTCTAGGGGTGACGGGACGGCGGTAACGCGCCGCCATCGAAGCACTGCGGCTGACCTCTGCGAGGATACCTGTTTCTTTGTCTGGCGTTTTTTTCCTGGCCCCGGACCATCGCTACATCGTTGAGCTTTCTCGTCTCTCTCGTCGTTTGGACTTCGGGCTCGAGAAGCGGTCGTGGCGCACTTTTGGGGGCGAAGATATGAGCCCCTGTGTCGCACCGTTTTTGGGCCTGCTTTGCGGCGGGTTAGTCTGGGAGAATCTTCGGTGATGGACCGGACGTGCAGGGCGCCTGGTGCTGGGAACGCATGGGTATCACGCTCGGAGGACCTGTTGTCGAGGTTGAATAGGTATGCGGTTGCCCGGACATCCTTGTGGTGCCGGGTTACTCGATGGGGCTTATTCTTGGTGCGAGGGGGTTTGAAGCGATCACAATTTTTTTCCTTGTCTCTTTGCCCTCTTTACCCCCTGCCGGACAGTTGTGGACTCTCGGAGCATGTGGTGTCGTGTTCCCTGGCCTGCTTATGGACAAACCTACACTCTGAAGCCTCGTGGGAGGCTTTCCCCTCATGTCCTGCTGCATGTCAGGGTGCGATCGCTCTCTGCTCCGTTATCCACGGCTTGACTGCTCGCATGTTCGATGATGATCAATTCATAGAGTCAAGCACTGAGGCACTCCAAAGGAGGCCCAATGACGACCTTGTGTTACACAGTATCTGATGAACTGCGAAGCCTTTCGTATGTACATGTAGCAAGCCATGATAGAGGCGGAAGCACATTTACAATGAGCGAGCTCACATCCAGGAGAACCTGGGGGTGCCTAGTTTCTCTTCCTAGAAAATGTATATGCTTCAATGAGTGCTGATTGATGATCAACCGAAATAATATACAAGTAAAAATATCTGAAGAATGAAGACGAAAAACCAGTCATCTTAGCTCCGGCCTTGGTCATGTTCCCTTGTAGTCGCGCTCTCCCGAACAAAAACAGCGAGACGAAATCTTGGGGCACACGCCCGGCCTGTCCTGCCATGTCCGCTAAGTGATCTTGGATCAGGAACTCTTGCCGAGTTCCACCACTGTATCTAGGAGCCCACCATCTATGTGCAAAAGAAGAAAGAATATAAAAGATAAAGGGGTAGTAGGGGAGTTCCCACAAGGTATCTGCGCGTCGAGTCGTGACAAGTTAAAAGAAAGTACAGTTGTAAAAGGGGAGGGAAACAAAATTCTCTTGCGCCGCATCCAATCTCGTCGGGACGTGAACCAAAGAAGAGGAATTTAACGAAAAAGGGAGCCCGTTGCACCTAGTTCCATAACTCCCAGAGTAATGGTTAATGGTTCTTCATTCTCCGTACCATATTTCCGTTGCGTGTCTCCCTTTCATTTTGACGCCCTTGGCTAGCCACGATCGGCCAACTACATTAGTCCGCCTAGAACAACTTTCGTGATGTTGGCTAGTTCCATCTTGACGTGCATCTTGCTGTTCTCTTCAAACTCCTTGACGGCGCCTTGGATGATGAGCTTCCGCACCTTGGTATCCACCTTGGCGAACTGTTCTGCTACGGGTGTAGAGAACTCTCTCGGCGTCGGTAGAAGGCTCAGGACCCTCTTGTAGCAGTCAATGAGGGCATCGCAGAGCGTTGCAAACGTCTCGTGGAAGTCGGGGTCGAAAGGGAGTGCTGGTGTCAGCAGATAGGTATACGTTTCGCCGGGGAGGAGCTCGGCCTCAGACCCGGCAAAGTTGACGAGGCTTGAGGGCGTCGCGGCCGCGTTAACGCCTCCATCCGTGTCAGCAGGGTATAGGGAGGAGTCCGCGGCGCTGGTGCGGCGCCCTTGCTGCCGGTTCCACGACGAAACATTTGCGGGAGCCGGGCACGGGACAGGAGCCGCTGCTGCCAGCCTCACCATGGAGCTGTTGGAAAGAGTCGAACTCGGACAAGAGAGCGTTGAAGCTACGAAGGAACTCGAGCGGGGTGGAAGAATTAAGATCTATGACGTTAGGGAGGGAGAGGCCGAGGAGGAGATAGTTTGTAGCTCGTCGTGCGAGTCGTTGAGCCTGGAGCGCCGACATGCGGGTTTGGTTTGGTCGGTCGAACATATAGGTGTTAAACCAGAATACCTGGCCTTCGTGTCTAAAGGAAGCGTCATGTTAGTTGAACGCTCGGATCTCATACTTGTTCTCTAGCTGTGCGGGAAAGTTGATTCCCACGATAAGAGAAGGGGGAGGGAAAAGGGAACAAAGGAAGAAGTGGACACACGCTTTCCGGAGGTAGTCCAAGGTGTACATCCTTTTCCTCGCGATCTCCCTCATGTTTCTGTGCATAACCGCGCCCTCGCCTTGCCACTGCTGTCCTGGGGGCGGTACTGGCGTTAGGCCGCCAGTGTTGAACCCCGCCGACGTTGGCGCCGTCCTCCCTAATATCCTCGAAAAGTTATCTCCCGTCCCAGGCGTCATGGCGATGGCTTCCGTCTCCCTGCTCAGCTTGGCGGCGGCGGCGAGGGCGAAATCTGGCAAGGCGGGCGGCGCTGCGCTGTCTGTTACGAAGCTACCGCCGACGCCTGGTCTTGCGCCGGCACTACTCGAGGAGGCGGATCGCTTTTTGATTTCGTGGGACTCGAAAAGGACGTCTTTCGAGGAAAGGAATTCTTGCGGTCCTTGGTGAGGACGGCGGCTTGCTGGATGTTGAGGCCGTTGAGCTGCTGCAGCGGGGGCTGCTGGATAGACTCGCCGGAAGAGGTGCCAGGGCGAGACTTGGAGGCGGATGAGCTGAAGAAGGAAAACGCACTCTGGGTCGCCGAGGCAGATTTGGGCATCATGCTTTCGAGATTTGGGGGTGGGACTATGCGCAGCGCGCTCAAAAGTCAAGTCGACTCGCAAGGGAGGGTTAAGATTAGGTTGCGTCGTCGACGGAGTCGGACACGCGGGCACGTCAGAAGCAGAAGCGTCGTATCGACTAAAGGGGAGAGCGATCAAGGAGGCCCGCAGCTTGGGGAAATCTAGCGACCACCAATCGTCGAGCCCCTTTAGGGCTTTGGCGCGCCGGCGGGGGCGTCCTCTATTTATTGTTGTTTTTCCTTTCTTTTTCCGCTATTTCCCTCGTTCCCTTGCTCGTTCTTCTCGCGTGGCTTTTTTCTTCTTCTTCTTGGTCTTGTTAGGGTATCGGTGAGAAGGGTTGCTTTTTCACGGTTTCGAGTGTCGCGCCTCGCGGTCAGCTCGCGGGGAGTAAAATTCGAAAGTCTTGGAGGGGTCTTGGAATTGTTCGTCGGGCTGCGGCAAAGAAGCGGGATCAATCCGTGTGGGAGAGTTTTCCAGCCCGTCTCGCTTCTATCGAAGAAACGTTCCACACCTTCTTCGTTCCAGGGCCGGCCAAATGCGCGAATGGGGACGAGAGTTGCAGACAAGATGCTGGGAAGCAAGGGTACTCGTAGGGAGGGAAAAAAGAGATATCGGACTTGTTGGGAATGTAAAAGAAGGCAGCGAGGTGCCGGCAAGCTAGGGAGGTACCAAGTATCACCGTGCTTGAGATCCAATATCATCGGTCTGTCCGAGAGAGTGATAGAGAGGTTGATGCGAGGTCAAGGTCCTCGCGAAATCGCGTTTTCTTTGGACGATGAGATAGACGGAAGAAACAATCTCATACATGCAAGGGAGCCAGACAGGACAGGGGGAAAGGAATGGGCGGCGTTAACTTGGTTGGAATAATAATGTGGAGAAGGTGATGGAAAATGAGGATAATTTTAGTTTGCCAGCAGCGCGAAGAGCCCCTCCCCGAAAAGGAAGAAGGCCCTTGTCACAAATGCCACACTCTCGGGAGGAATCAATTGTTATCTTTGGCCCCAGCGAACGAAATTCGGAGAGGAGAGTGATTTCCGGTTGATGGGATGTGAGGAAAACGCTTGAAGAGGGAAGTAGAGCGTCGTCGCACAGAGAGAGAGAGAGAGAAAGAGAGAGGGAGAATGGAGCGTCTATCGTCGAGATCTTGCCCTCCCGTGTCGGTGAACGCCTTTGACCAAGGAGGCGATTCTTCCGAGAGCATTCAGCGTTGTGGGCGAACACTGGTTCCTAGTCGCATTGGGCGTGGTCTACGAGGGTCTTCCTAGTTCTGAGAACTAATTGGCCTCTAGCATTCTAGTAACATCGATGGTCCGGCCCCAAAAGAGTGTTTGAGAGGGCAGACTTTTGCACCAGGCCGATCTCAAGGGCGCTACACCATCCGTGGACCCATAGGTGCTGCAAGGATTAAATGGAAGAAATGTCAAACGCCCAAACGGGCCACAGGGAGAAGGAGGCTCCGGGAAATAAGCTCGACCGTCGTCATCCCAAGTTCTTGAACACCATGTCTGTTTTGGTGAGGTTCCAAGGGGGCAAGGAAAGGGCTGGATCGATCCATCCATGGATCCATGGATCATTCAATTCTTTCCACACATCCAACTTGATGGAGGGGTGGACACTCCGTTGAGTGGCTGCTGGGTGATCAGTTCGGTGCTCCTGTTGGTCAAAGTCAACAGGGCATCGGCCAAGTCCCTTCCCCTGAAGTTGGATGGCGAGTTCTGACTGGACCGCCCCTTTTCGAGAGACCCTTGCTTGGCCACAAACACTCACATTTGATCCCTTCGGAACTCCATCTTGTCCATGTACGAAGTACCAACGGGGCCGATCAATTGAATGCGGGTGTTGCAGGTAATACTGAAATCTTCAACCGCATGCGCGTCCATTCATTGGCGCCCGCCTGCTCGCCATTGTTCTCGACCAATGCGTTGGACGAGAGCCGCCTCGAGTATCGTGGTGCCCATCGCCGTCACGAATCATTCTTCTTTGTTCGGAGACTACACTAACAAGAAATATTTTCGTTTCCGTTTCCACTGACCAGAAAAGGCCACGAGACCCCGCGCAAGGGGCGGGGGAGCCTTGGTGCACAAGAAGGGCGGCTCTGCTTGAGGACATCGCCTAGATTGGTCTGACGGGAGATGACCTCCCCTCTCTACGCAGTGGCCTGCAAAGCCGGCTCACCAATATCGCCCTGACATATGAATGCCGGTACTGATGCCCACCACGCGAGTCTGCCTAGACCAGTGCTCCCTATACGGATTGATGCTGATCGCTGGACAACTTGGGGTTGATGACAACTTGAATGGGGGTTGATCAATTGTCGCCCGCTTCTCCTATGCAAACTGACCCGCGAGAACACGATACATACCCCTTTTCCAGGACATGGGCCTCTTTTTCCCCCTACCTGTGGGAACCGGCTATTAGTTTCAAGTGAAGGCTAGAACATTTCAACCGTCGACGACGGCGCAACAGGAAAAGGCGTGGAAGAAAGCGGGGCTCGACCCAGTCTACTGGTGCAACACAACCAAACAGCCGGCAAGGGAATGCACGTTTAACCTGTCTCGAACCAGACCTTCACCTGCATCCCCTCCGTTGGCTTCTCTACGAGGCCAAAAGGAGAGGTTAGTATGACAGTCGCAGGGCACTTGGACTTGATTGAATCCTCTTTATTATCATGATTGTAATCCTCTTTACTTGATATTACCCTCCAGCCCGTCGATAAGCGCCCGCCTACCATTATCCACTGCAGGTTTGCGCATCTGCGGTCCCTCCGGTGAGAAGGTATTGATAGATAGAATGAGGATAGAACACAAAAAAAACACGAGGCAAGGTAGTAGTACCTTGAGCAACGAGTGTCAAAATCATGCTCGGTATTTGTCGTAGTGTATTTGCGACCGGGGCACGGACAGCCCAGCAGCGAGCCCAGGGTCCGCGGCGCCGGCTCGACGATCCCCGCTATGATGAGCACGGGAGGTCTGAGCCGTCACACTCCCTCGGTGGCAGGTGGATAGCCCCTTGCCACCGTCGGATTCTTTTTCGCGTGAGCGCAATTGCCAAGTCAAGCTGCCTCACCATCTCCGTTACTTTGGGAAGGCTGATATGTCCGACTAGCAATGATCGACCTCCGACTCCCACTACTGCCGGCGCCTGCGACCTTATACCGTCGCATTTTCTTTCAAACACGCGAACTTGGACGTGATGCTACCGAACTGCGCGAACCAGAGGACTGGTTCAGTCGTCCACAAATCTTCGCATCGCAACGGCCATTCTGCCCACCTCTAGACCCGCCGCTGTTCAAATCCTCCTAAGTAACCTTCCATTATCAATGGCCTCTCAGACACGCCGCCCCTCGCTTATGGGCAAATTTGTTCTCGGCCCTCGAGTTTTGCGTGGGCCACGTTGCCTTGGCATGCCTCGGGGAGCATGTCGAAACTCTGGCGCCGCTTGGGCCCAGAGCGAGATCTTTCGGTACCACAAGTAATACGTCCTCACATACCAAGGAGTTGTTGATAGAGACCCCTCCATGCAAGTTGATAATGACAGTCACGGCAAAGAGGAAACCAAAAGACGAGCCTCTCCTCTCCGAGACAGGCGAGCATCTAGCGCTAGACGCAAGCGGAAATCCACTCGCCTTGGGCGCCATATCAGATCCCGTCTCCGGAAGTAGGCAAGCTGCAGCCGCTTGTCTATCTGTCACCTGGTCTGATGCATCTAGGCGACCGGTCGAGTGTGCTTTGGTCACAGCCGCTGCACACACATAGTAGATGCATTTTACACGTCGTACCAGGCTGCATGTACGGTATCACGAAGTGATGAATCTATCTTTATTGCAGGAAGGATTCCGTGACTCGGATGCATTTGAGGAATTGATACCACGGGCGTGGCCACAGGTTAACTCCCTCCTCTACCAAAGACCCAAAGCCACATACACCAGAAGACGTATAAAATGAATTTAAAAATCAATCTTTTGAATCGAGCCAGGTGCTACATGACAATTGAACGGAATTGCAAAAGTGAAACTTCCTCTCGAAACGAGCAATTCCCATATTCTCTCGCCAGGGCGCGACACACGTCGTCCAGCCAACGTCACAAGTCTTGGAAAAGGCTCGCAAAACTTCCACTTTGTCCAAATCGCTCAGATGTCGTGTTCCGGAAATATACACTTCGGAGGAGACTGGATGGCGGCGCAAAAGGAGAGGGTAGACAACAAAATTAAGGCTAGGACGGCGAAAGTTCAATGGTTGCTCTGGTCCAAATCCATCGATGTACTGTCGTCCCTCGCTCACACCGGGTTTGGTTCGTTCAGGATCGAACACAACTTGAATGCAAGCCAGCTCGGGGCGTTTCTTCCGCCGATTCCCCAGCTTACATCACCACCTCCAATGAATTTCTGGTGCCGATGTCTAGCACAGATGCGCCGCGCAAAGTGGCTAGCCAAGCATCTAGAAATTAATCTCAAACATATGTATCAAAGAGAAAAGAGGGAAGGAGGGCCAAGACAAATCAAACAGACAGAGTTTTCTGAGGTCTTGAACCACAGATGGCCTCAATCTCGCGAAGAAAAAAGAGCACCGGCCCTGGCGGGCACAATAGCTCAAGCTCCCTCAAAACTTGGGCGACACCACAGGCCACGCCCGGCTTTCAGTGGGAGTGTTTGTTCGGACTTTAAGTTAGGCCGAAAGTCTGATGAAGTGCCTTTGTTGGATGAACAGGCTGAGCGTTCGTCTCGGAAGGATTTAACGATATCCAGGGCAAGAGGTCAGCCTCCAAGATCAAGGTCGCTGGTTCGTTCATTCCCTTGTGCTTTCCTGCGCGTCCTCCCGTGTTGGTCCACTGGATGGTGACGCAACAGGAGCGTTGGTGCATGTACCTTCCCTTATTTTCCTTTTAGCGTGGGGGAGGGGCAGTCGTGTGGGGAAGGAAGGCACAGCACGGCGAGTTGATGGCATCATAAACATCCGAAGTAGCTGGGAGAACATCTCATCCGTCCCTCGACCAAGCAGTCAGAACTCTCCGCGAGAGTGACAAACTCGCTGATCGGCGTCAAGAACATCCCCTTTTAGAAGAGTAGATGGCCAATGATAGGGCTATCGAACCTGCACCATGTGAAATTGCGCCATAGCTCTCGGTGACGACGTGTTTACCGCCCTCAATCCTTTGCTACAAATCTTCCCCGGTCCACCAGGCTTCCCTTGAGCTTTGGAATTGGCTCCGGGATTATATATCAGAAAAATGCCCACAAGGCCGATCCTGTTGTACCCATCACCTTAAAATTTATTGCAAGCACGTGTTAGCCTGCCGGTTGAACGACACTCTCAACGACCACCTCGAGTTTGGCTGAACCCTTGCTTTTTGCTTGCTACTCTCGGGAAAAGTGGGAAAAGTGCCCGGCGCATTGTGCCAGAGTGGGGATCATCGGCCTTTTCTTGGGTGTCAATCTTGCGACGATGCCTGACGACGTCGAAGCTGTAAAGGCGACCGGGCCGACAGGGGATGAGAAGCTGTCCCCGAGCAGCGACAATGCCTCGGAGGAAGCCACGATCATTCCCCAAGGCGCCTTAGACCCCGTATACGAAGCCAAGGCACGGGTTCTTAACCGCGCGGTATGTTAATATCACCGCGACCCATTCTCACCAACTCCACTTTGACGCGAATAGAATCTCTAATTTTGTGCTAAACATGGGTGGAGGGACGAAGAGGGGGTTTCCCTTCCGATCCCGAGATCCTGTTTATCTTGCAACTTCAACATACAGATTCAAGATATTGGTATGGGATGGTACCAATGGCAGTTGTTCATCGTAGTCGGCTTCGGCTGGGCGAGCGATAACCTCTGGCCCATAGTCACATCGCTTATCTTCACACCCATCGCCAACGAGTTCTCCCCTCACGTCCGCCGCTCCTCACGCTAGCGCAGAATATTGGCTTGCTTGCGGGCGCCATGTTTTGGGGATTTGGTTGCGATATCTTTGGCCGCAAGTGGGCCTTCAACTTAACCCTAGGCCTAACAGCCCTCTGGGGTACCGTGGCGGCCAGCGCACCCAACTTCGCGGCCATCGGAGTGTTCGCGGCCCTGTGGTCGTTTGGAGTGGGGAAACCTCCCCGTGGACTCTGCCATCTTCCTCGAGTTCCTTCCAGCGTCACACCAGTACCTGCTTACCGTACTCTCTATTGACTGGGCGCTCGCGCAGGTCGTGGCGACCTTGATTGCCTGGCCTCTGCTAGGAAATCTAACGTGTCAGCAGGAGGAGGAAAACTGCACGAGGAGCAAGAACGCGGGGTGGAGATGGTTCGTCATCACCGTAGGCGGGCTCACACTTCTCATGTTCTTTATTCGGTTCCTTCTCTTCAGCATCTATGAATCGCCCAAGTACCTGATGGGTAAAGGTCGGGATGAGCAAGCGGTTCTCATCGTGCACGAGGTGGCCCGGCGGAACGGCAAGACGACGAACCTCACGATCGAAGATCTCAGGGCGTGCGAACCACCGGGCTACGTCGCCAAAACAGACGCATCAACAGCAGTAAAGCGGCACTTGGAGAAGCTCAGTTTTAGCCACGTGCGTGCCCTCTTCTCGTCCCGCCGCCTGGCTCTGAGCACCGGTCTTATTATGGTGGTGTGGGCACTTATCGGGCTGGGGTATCCGCTCTACAATGCCTTCCTCCCTTTCATCCAGGCCACAAGAGGTGCCGACTTTGGCGATGGCAGCACGTACCTTACGTACCGGAACAGTCTAATTATTGCCGTCCTCGGAGTACCGGGAGCTCTTCTCGGCGGGTGGCTCATCGAGCTACCCCGGATGGGACGCAAAGGCACCCTTTCCCTCAGTACTGTGCTGACCGGGGTCTTCCTGTACTGCTCGACAACGGCACTGAATAGCGCGGCGCTTCTGGGATGGAACTGCGCGTTTAGCTTCACGAGTAACGTCATGTATGCGGTTCTCTACGGGTTCACACCAGAGCTCTTCCCGACTCCGCAGCGGGGACCGGGAATGCTTTAGCGGCAACGTGTAATCGGGTGTTTGGCATCATGGCGGTTAGTTGATCTCTTCTGCTCCTCCTCCACTCATCGTTCTTTCGGCCATGGACTGACACACAGGCTACAGCCCATTATTGCCATGTTTGCTAATCTCGAGACGGCCGCGCCTGTTTACACGAGCGGAGCGCTCTTCATCGCTGCAGGGCTTCTTGTGCTCGCGATGCCGTTCGAGTCACGAGGAAAGGCGGCGATGTAATGGCATGTAGTTTCGTAATATGTTTGCTGGGTACCTTGGTGAAGCCGCGCGTTGGCTCAAACGTCGTTTCTCTTTTTGATTTATCTTTTTCATAACCCTTACGCTTGGTCGCTGAGGATATTCTTCTCTCGGCTTCCAGTCAGATTCTTAATACCCATATCTTGAGAAAACAAAAAATGTTCCAGGACCTTATATTCTAGAGTCGACAAGACAATGAACCCCAGCAGCTTATCTCCATCCAGGCCGCCGAGTGATTGTTGATGAGGGTATGGGAGTCTGAAAAGACATAGAGAATAACCTAATTGCTTCTGGTTTCGATCCCGCCAGTATCGAGTAAATAGTACTTGATGGAGAATTCTCAGTAGCCTCCGCTGAAAATCGCGGTTATTACATGTATATATTGACATCTATCGTGGATTGGAGATGGATCAAGCATCACCAATTCCTCCTCCTCTCTGGGGGCAGGTGGGGACATTGAACCAATCCCGTCTCACTGATCAATCAAATCCCACTACTCAACCCCACGAAGATGCAGATGAACAGACGGCCGAACTGGGCCGACCGGCTCTCAGAGAAGGAGCTCTCATACAAACTTGAATTACGAGTACATGCGCTTTTCTCGTCTCTGCCCCACGACCGCAACGGACCAACGACGCGGGGTCTAGTGTGCATGTGTGGAGGGGCTAATTTTCCACAACGTTGAGCCTCAACCATCAACGTTGCCAGATTCATCCTTTTTTAGAAGAAGAAGAAGAAGAAGAAGAAGAAAGGACTACCGCTCTAGGATAAACTTCCAGAATATATTTTCCGAGGCTAGAGCAAGATGACAGCGACAGATCCCGTACAGCCGCCTGGTGAGGCCGCGCCCGAAATTTTGGAGGGGCGCATTTGGGTCGATGGCTGCTTCGACTTCTTCCATCACGGTAGGTGCCTTGCTTTGCATCATCCATCATCCACAGATTATTATTTTCTTTCCTTTCGCGGAGTCTTCCCCCCCAACCAAGTGCTAATCTTTACCTCTTGGACTTTTTTGCAGGCCATGCGGGAGCCATTGTTCAGGCACGGCAGTTGGGAGATGAGCTTTACGTGGGGGTTCATTCGGATGAGGCTATTCTAGAGAACAAGGGACCTACCGTCATGACTCTTGATGAACGGTGAGTGAATTCTTTCCTGCCTCTGTTTGGGAGTTTGAGCGCCTACGTGAAACGGAGAAGAGAGAGAGAGAGAGAGAGAGAGAGAGAGAAAATGTTAGACTAACCGGGATACATTAGTATGGCCGCCGTTGATGCGTGCAGGTGGGTGACGCAATCCGTCAGCCGCGCACCCTACGTGACGGACCTCGGCTGGATCAGCCATTACGGATGCAAATACGTGGTCCACGGCGACGACATCACCTCGGACAGCAGCGGCGAGGACTGCTACCGGTTCGTCAAGGAGGCGGGGCGATTCCGCGTGGTTAAGCGCACGCCGAGCATCTCGACGACGGACCTGGTCGGGCGCATGCTGCTCTGCACGCGCACCCACTTTATCCGCAGCCTCGAAAAGGCCCTCGCCGGCCTCGAGGGCAGCGGCACGGCCGAGGAGAAGAAGGAGGCCGGCGAGGCCATGACGGAGCGCATGCGGCTCTACGCGACGGATGCGTCGGCCAAGCGGCCCGGCGCCGACGTGTACTTTTGGGCCGCCTCGCAGGAGGCCAAGGCGACCGACTCGGAGGAGGAGAGGGGCTCGTTCCGACAGCTGTTTGACGGGCCCGGGCCCAAGCCGGGCCAGAGGATCGTCTACGTGGATGGGGGTTCGATCTCTTCTCGAGCGGGCACATTGAGTTCCTCCGGCGCGTGGTGCAGGCCGAGGAGGAGGCTGCGCGGGGCCGCGGGTGGTATGAGGAGAAGGCGGTGGCCGGGCGGGTCTCGCTGGCCGGCGTTGATTACGCTCCGGCTTTTGTCGTGGCTGGGGTGCATGACGACGATGTGATTAATCAGTGGAAGGGCGTCAACTACCCGATCATGAACATATACGAACGCGGTCTCTGCGTGCTACAGTGCAAGGTAAGGCACCCTTTATTGGGCATCTTTCTATTCCCCTCTTTGCACACTGCACATCTCTTAGCCACCTTCTGTCTTCTCCCTCTCCCCCATGATTCCTCTGTTTCCTCTTCTTTTAGGCCCCTTTTGCTCTTGAGCCACTGTGGTTCTCCCGACCTCTTGCTAATGACTGATTGCGTGAGGCGAATAGTACGTGAGCTCGGTCGTTTTCGGCGCACCATTCTCGCCTACCAAGCTATACCTGACAGGCCTCCCTCGGGAACACCCGACGTCGTCTACCACGGCCCGACATCCTTTATGCCCCTCACGTACGACCCTTACACGGCGCCCAAGGAGATGGGCATCTACCAGGAGATTGGGGCGCACAGCTACGAGGACGTCAACGCGGGCACCATTGTTCAGCGCATCATGAAGAGCCGAGACGTGTATGAGGCGCGGCAGAGGGCCAAGGGCGTCAAGGCCGAGGTAGAAGCGGCTCACCGGGAAAGAGAGCTGTTAGAACAGGAGCAGTTGAGGAAAGAAGCGGAGAGGGGGGCGCGTAGTACCGCGTCTCGTCTCGGAAATGAGGAGAGGAAGGAGATGCAGGAAAGATGAACAAAAGAAAAGGGGTGTATACAAGGCTCACGTAGGCAAAGAAGAGGAGAGGCAAGGACCGAAGTCGGATGTCGGGCGGGAAGGAAAGCAAACCAGAATCCAGGAAAAGGGGAGCGGCGCGGGTGGGGCCGGGGTAGACTCTGGGAGTCATCTCGCCCTCCCTTGGAGTCACGAAGTAGAGTCACAAAGTCGGACCCCTTGGGGGACGGGAAAATTGACGTGGGTCCCCGGGTTCGGGGTGAAGGAGGGGCAGGAAGATGATGTGCATGGTGGGTGCACCAATTTAAACCAATACGATCCATATGATACGTGTTGACACTTTCAACCCCACGGAAAAGGGCGGGCAGGCCAGCCATATTACTTAGAGACGGACAGAGCACGAAGGGGAAGGGGGCAGCATGTTGGTACGTCACAGGTTGATGTATGTGGATGTGTTTATCAGCCAGTCGCCAAGTGTTCCCAGTGTGCCGCCGTGCCTTCAACAGGACGCCATGAATCCATTTTAGAATGAATGAAACAAGAGACTTGAGAGGAGTACCGATTTTGCTTGAGCCGAGCTGATGGAATGATGGGTGTTGCAAAAAGGACAAAAGAAATAAGTCGGAACGGGGAGGGCTTGATCCCTGTTTCTCACGCAAACTGTATCAAACCCCCATATGACGCTTTGTTGAGAACTCGTGACCCCGATTCGGTCCAAGACTAGGTCTGCTGCTAGGGAGTTTGATTTCACGATGACGCCCGGGGCTCTCGCAAGCGCGCCCATCCCGGTGGATGGCGAACCTTGGCATCACGCACCCAATTGTTCTCAATGGCATTGTGTTCCCAGGCATTTTCTCGAGCTCAAAAGTGGCAGGCATCAACCATCAATACTGGCCGTGGGTGAATACTTTTGATTCTTTTAGACGTCTTCCTTGAGGCGCGAGAGAGGCCCTACTCTGCTGGCTCCCAGCACCAACCTTCCCTTTGAACTTCACTTCTTTGGGGGAGGAAACTAAGAGAGTGATGAATCTAGAATCGGCGACGCATAACGCCGGCTAGTGGCGGGTAGCGGCTAACTTTCCGTCAGCGCGGTACTCCTTCCAGTTTCGGAGGATGAAATGGGGCATGACTGCCAATTCGCCAATCCCCGTTCTTACGCCGTCAGAGGCCGACTCTACACGTGTATTCTGTGTCGAAAGAAGCCTCTGCCTGCCTCGGTGACGCACCGGCATTCGGCATAGTGGCCTTCTTCCCCTTCCCCAATTTTTTTCTTCTTCCAACATCTGCCCCGCTATTCCGCTCAGTGCTGGCTGTGTACCTTTTTTGGTTCTTCTTCCGCCCTTGGTGACTCTTCCCGCCCCTCTACTCTATTCTCCGATCCAAACCTTTGAAGACTCAATGGGTAAATTGGATCTCCAAAGGCTTGGTTCCCTTCTAGAATCGTAGTATCGTAGCCACCGGGGCGTCTGGCGTCCGGTGTCGCAGAGATTCCTTCTCCGCATCGTCCAAGTTGTCGACTCACTCTTCCGATCATGGCCCACCGCCCTCTTAGGACTTTCCGAGTGTCGGAGCCGGGGTGGAGACCACGATGCAACGAACTGTTCCAATTCGACCGTGTTTCGTTCGGCCCCAAGGAGAAATCCATAGATAGTGATAACCCACCTTTGCGTTCCCCGTCTGACCAATACGTTGCCTTCTACAGGTTCGCGCAAGGTACAAAGAGACAGGAAGAGAAGGCGATTGTGGTTTACACCAAGCGGGTGAGTGGGGAGCAAGATGCGGGTCCGTCTTTCCCCAAATATTTTTTTCTTTTCGCCCTTTCATCATCCGGTGACACCGAGGGGGCGCCGTCCGTTGGTCTTTCCTTGCCGGTGATTCCTATCCTCTCTCTGACTTTTTTTCTTCTTCTTCCTTTCCTTCGTATCTACATATATGCAATATTTTCATTGAGTAGTAAAGAGCGTCAAGAAACAAAATAAGGGAACAGCTTGAAAGCTTCGAGATAGATAACTCGGCTCTGGACTACGAAAGCAGCGGCGGGTCACGGGTCACTAGTGAGGGCCCCTAGTAAGAGCCCCCTTCCTTCCCTTGTGCCCACTTTTTCGTCTTGGCTACGGGTTTCTCTGGCTAGGGCCGGCTCCGGAAGATGGAGACCAAGTTTTCCCTCCTCCTCCCCCAAAAGGCGCCAAGAGCAAAGTTTGTGGCTCGGTATAGCCGCGCCGCATCCGGCGCCGATTGGGACTCCAAAAAACCCCCACCGCTCCCTGCTCTGTCCCTGCTCCCTACACCCCCAGCACTCCCAATGCGCTTGTGCTGCTGCGTCGGCGCGCGCAGGGAAAGGGTACTTGAACAAAGGAATCATTCTCTCTCTGTGTGTGCTGGCACGGTTGAGGTTGATACACACACCCCTTGCCTCTTCCGCCCATCTCTTCCCCTTCTTTTCCCCCTTGGGAAGCTTGGTTGTCATTCCATTGCGCCCTTCCCTTTAGTGCCGCCATGTCATTGAAGGGGCAAGTGGAGGGATATGGATGAAGAGGGGCGAGCGAATCCGTGAGACAAGTATTAACAAGGACTCGGGAGCCCTTCTTTTCCTTCTAGTTTTAGTTTTATCTTTAGTCCCTTTCCCCTCTCTAGTCTGTTGTCCTCTTTTCTTCATCTTTCCCCCATCTTCATCTCCTCCCCAACCCACGAACTTGAAGCAACTCCAGACTCCCAAGAGGTGTGAGTCAACCCTGAGAGCGCGCCCCTCCCCTTTTAACCACCACAACCCCCGAATCCGTTTCTCCAACATCTCGAGACGGCCGATCAGTCTTGGTTCCTTCTCTTCCTACTATCTCTTCCTTCCTTCTCCCCCTTCCTCCTTCATCTTCCCACACAATGGCTCCCTCCGCCCTCTCCACCGCCGCTGCCGCCGCTGCCGGTGCCGCGACGACTCCCTCCAACGGCGTTACCAAGGGTGCGCCCGCCTACGCCGAGCTCGATGCCTCCAAGCTCACCTACGAACGCGTCTCTTCCCCCGCGCTGTCCCCTCCATCGAGGCCGCCAATGCCGGCACCGAGACCATTTGCACCGACCACATGATCACGGCCAACTGGTCTGCCGACGCCGGTTGGGCCGCCCCTAAGCTCCATCCCTACGGACCCCTCTCCCTCATGCCTACCGCCTCCGTCCTCCACTATGCCACCGAGTGCTTCGAGGGCCTCAAAGTCTATCGCGGCTTCGACGGCCGCCTCCGCCTCTTCCGCCCCGACTGCAACGCCAGGCGCATGGTCATGTCCTCCACCCGCATTTCTCTCCCCGGCTTCCCCCGCCGAGCTCGAGAAGCTCATGATCGCCCTCCTCGCCGTGGACGGAGCTCGCTGGATCCCCAAATCCCGCCCTGGCACCTTCCTCTACCTCCGCCCCACCATGATCGGCACCCAGTCCCAGCTCGGCGTCATGGCCTCCCGCGAGGCCATGCTCTACATCATTTGCAGCTTCATGCCCATCATGGACTCGCCCCCGGCGGCCTCCGCCTCCGCACCTCCCCGAGGACATGGTCCGTGCTTGGTCCGGTGGTTTCGGCTACGCCAAGGTCGGCGCCAACTACGGCCCTTCCCTCCTCGCCACCAGGGACGCTCGCGACGCGGGCTTCCACCAGATCCTCTGGCTCTACGGCCCCGAAGCCCTCTGCACCGAGGCTGGCGCCAGCAACTTCTTCGTTCTGTGGAAGCCCAAGGAAGGTGGTAAGCCTCAGCTGGTCACCGCCCCTTGGACGACAAGATTATCCTCGACGGCGTCACTAGGAGGAGCGTCCTCGAGCTCGTGAGGAAAGGTGCCCCGAGATCGATGTTGTAGAGAGGAAATACACCATTCGTGAGCTCGAGGAGGCCTATGACGAGGGCAGGATCATTGAGAGCTTCGCTGCCGGTACTGCTGTAAGTTGTTCAACCAGACCCACTTCCCCTTGCTCCAACTGGCGAGAAGCAGTAAAAAATGTCCGAACCAAAACGCTAACATCTCGTTTCCCCTATGTCTTAGTTCTTCATCTGCCCCATCTCCGTCGTCAACCACCGCGGCAAGAACCTCGAGGCGTCTATGGGCGCTTCCGGCGAGGGCGGCGACTACACTCTCAAGGTTAGGCAATGGCTCAAGGACATCATGTACGGCGCCGAGCCCGACCATAAATGGGCCGTCGTCATCACCGAGGAAGGCGAAGAGTAAAAAGTCGAAGAAAGTCGAAGAGAAGAAACCAAAAAGAGGAGGTGAGCAAGTAAAAGACGAAAAGGAAAACAAAGAAGACAAGGCAGGGGAAATGGATTGGGCAAGCTGCCCCAGAATTCCGACAGACTCTCCCTCATTTTCATCCGGTTCATATTGGGATTGCATGTGCGCAAGGATACAGGCGCAATGTTGGAATCATTGATTGTAATGGCGCAGAAGATCTAGCGGCTTTCGAGATACCAGGATTTTATTATCACTTGGTATCAACAAATAATACATATATATATCTTCCTAAAACCAAGAGTGGTGATTGTCCACAGCGTGCCGTAGACCCTGGCGTTGAAACTACATTACACCTTCAAGGCCTGGGCGCCGCGGATTGGTGAAGAGACACTGGACTCGGAAGAAAAATAGATTTTGTCAAATACATCCAGTAATCACAAGCCTCTGTCCTGCCAACATCGTTGGTATAACGAGCCATCAGTCTTCTAGATAGAGGAGAAGAAGGAAAAGAGAAGGAAATCACGGCACAAGGAGAACGCTGTGTTTGTTCCAAGTATGGAAATAAGAGACCTGCCAGTGAGTTACCGTGTTACAACTAGGACAACAAATGACAGGAAATTGGAAAGATAAGAAAACCCTCCTGTTGGGCACTGATGTAAATGAGTGGGCCAGCGCCGCGCTTTCGCAATCTATGATGCATACTTTCCCAATGATTCGTTCCATGTGTCATGCGCCATGTAACAAGAACGAGGCGCCGTGGGTATGTCTGCCAGCATGAAATGAAAAAAAAAAAATCCAAACTGTCCTGGTAAAATGCACAGGGGGCGAAACCATGCCCAAAGTCTGGTAAAGGCCCGTCTATTTCTTGCCTCGGCTCCATATGATGGTACGTATGTGTGTATGGCTAGGACGAGCGAGGATACGGGAAAGGGGAAGGGGATGGGGGTTGGTTGTGTGTATATCATGTCGTGTCGTGTTATTATGCTATTTTGTGTGCATGTGTGTGCGTGGATGCGCGTGTGCGTGTGCGTGTCGGCGTGCGGGCGCCCGCGTTCACGAGCTCGAGGAAGCCTTGGCTCATCGCTTCTTATATTTCTACACGAGGAGGACGTGTTAGCAAAGCACCGCATCTCAATAATATGGTACCGGGAGACCGTAGCAAGGGCGGAGGGAGAAAAGAAAGGACAGCGGAGGAAAGGGCGGGGACTTCAGTTTCATACTTACCTCTTCAACCCTCCGTTTATTGTGAGGATCTAGGGAATTCGTCGCCCCCAGCAGCGTCTGGCCAAGCGCCTTGGTCGCCCCGATAGCCGGTCGGAATATAATGGTCGGCGCCTTCTTCAAAACTGCCCGGGCAGCCCCTGCGCATTTTGGCTTTCCATCACCGCTCCAGGCACCGCAATGATGGCATCTCTCGCCAGATTCAGGTCCCGGGACAGGCTTGCGTATCCGCCCCGCAGTCCCTGAATGACGTTGATAGGTTGGTCTGCGTACAGACTAATCTGTCGCGGCTCCTCCGAGTCAGTCGCATCCTGCTCCCAGGCCTCCGCCTCGGGCCGCTCAGCGAGCATGCCTTCCGCCCCTGAAGGGCATACTGCGTTCCGACAGCGACCTTGGCCCCGAGCTTGATGATCTCTGTGCCTGTCGTGCGGACAAAGGCACTCGCGCCTTTAGAGATGCTACGGACAATTCTGCCATCCTTCTTGTACTCCTTGATTGGTATCTCGATCAAGTTTTTGATCCCGCTGCCAACATTCACGATGGAGCGCACGGGCGCGAGGCCAGCTAGCACACCGGGAAGCTGGTTCTTCTTCACATCGGGCATCCAGATGTCGTTGAGCGTCTTGCCGAGCCTCTCAAATCCAGACACTCCGTATATGATAGTGTGACGAAGCACCATGCGAGCTTCGTCTAAGATGACAAAATTCATAAACTCGGTCGTACGCCCCGACCTCAATCCCGCATAGTCTACCCGCTTGGGCTTGAAGTCTAGCTTGACAGGGATGTCGTTGACCTCCGCCCTTTGTAGGAATGGCATGTCCGTCGGGGACGGTGCAACAACAGGCGCGTCGTCGTCCTTGAACTCGAAAAACGCGTGATGAAATCAAGCGCATCTTGGTCGACGTGAAGCCGCAGTGGTAAAAGCGTAGCTCTCATGACAATCTCCGAGGCTGCCAGCTCGGGAAGAGGCCGAACATTCAAAAGCTCGATATGCACCATGTTCGATCCCATCTCCCTCTCGCCCGCATCTTGGTCGTAGGTCGCAAATTTCTTCCACGTAGACGTTGGCACATGATCGAAAACGTCTAGGTTCTTGATACGAACGTCAATCGAGCTTTCCGTTTCACCCGAGTGGGGTGGGAAGACAATGAGATCTACGTCGACGCCTTGCAATTCAAACGTGATCTTGTGACGCTTGCTGCGGTTGAGTTTCAGCTTCGGTCCCGATCTCGGTGCGCCACCAGGTCGCGCCGTGCTTGTTGTATAGGCCGTCGTAGCGATCGACTCCGTCTCCGTGGCATTGTCGTTCAGGTCATGGTTGATAGCCCTCGCGAGGTCCCGGGCATCCCGGTTCGCCGGAATGCCAATGTAGATAGAATTGAATAAGAAGTCTCCAATGACAGCCTCCTCGTCTTCCAAATCTTCTTCGTACACGCCCAAGCCGTCATTTCGGGCACGGCGCTCGTTGGCCTTGCTTTGCACCTCATAGACGGCTTTTGTGATGACGTCACGCGTGTGTGCCCAGTCATATCCGTCGAATAGATTCCAGATTACGTGGACATCCCGTACCGCAACCTTGAGCGGACTTCGCTTCACCAACTCTGGAGGGGCCCGGTCATATGAGTTGCGGGCCGAGTTCCATACCTGCGCCGTACCCTTGTCCGAAGTGTCAGTCGCGAACCAGTCATCGTGGACAACAAGGTGAGGATCATCCAGGTCACTATCCACGCTCGCCTTACTGTTGAAGTTGTGAGGGTCGCTTGCGTGCGTGTCTTGAGACCCTGGCAGAGACCCGATGGATGATGCGGTGGCATCAAAGAGCTTCTCGGCCACGTCTACCTCGCCATAGTAGTCATCGTGAAACTCTAACTGGCTCAGATCACTAGCGGCATCGTCTTCAAGATCGCCGGCAAGCTCCTGTGCTATGGCGAAATCTTTGTCAAAGTCGTAGTCCCCCTCAGGATTTCCAAACGCTTCCGCGGAGATTGAAGATAGGAGGTCTTCGACCGGCATTACATTGGTCCTGTACTTGATCTCCTTGCTCGGTGGCGTGGGTGGCTTCAGTCCATTGGCTAGCGAAATAAGAGTCTGCGTCGAGTCGGCACACGTTTCCAGGACCAAAGGTCGTCTCGGAAGGAAACGTCAACTTGCTTCTCCCCGTCGTCGTTCGACGTTACCGCCACAACAGCTTTAGCTGAGGAGATGAAACAGATCTCGACAAAGCCTTGAGTGCACAGCTCCGTTACTTGCTGGGATGGCACATTCGTGACGCGTGCTCGAGCAGCGGGACGCCCGTCGTGCAAGGCTGTAGCATCGTCAATCAGTAGGATGGCGGCCTTTCTTAACTCAAACTCGGCGCGGGCGTTGTCCTCTTTGGGAAGCATGATTTCCAATCGCGAGTCCGTAAGCGCAAGTGTCAGCTTGGACTTGAGTCCAAGGGGGTTGAGTCCCACAAGGCAGTCCCGGAAGACGACGTCGACACCTAGAGGTTTGGGGGCGGGTTGCTTGTCCTTGCTAGTCCTGGACGGGGCCGGGGAACGGGCTTGCTGCCGGAGAAGCGCTGCGTGCGCGTGCTCCCCCAGGTTCGCGACGGAAGCGGCGAGTTCAGCCTCAAAGTCTTGCGGGGTAGCCTCTTTTCCGAGGCCCATGAGATCCATCAAAGTCGGAACTCTATATTCAAAAGCAAGGCCCTGGAGCCTAAGCCTGAATACCGGCTCAATCTCATCGCCAATCATACGAGCAATCAGAACTAGCTCTTGCATGGTGGTGGATGATTTGGGCGAGGTAATGAGCTCCTCGCTCTCGTTTCGGGTCACCACTAGCGAATCAAGACCGACAGCGACCAGGGATGGTAATGTTATATGAGCCAGCTCGAACTCCTTCAAGGATGCCTTAAGCAACCCGATCTGGCCACCAAGTTCCGCCGAGAAGGAAAGATTTTTGATCCTCCCTAAAGTGAGTAGGCCTGGCCGGTCGTCCTCTGGTAGATATTTGGCTACGGTCGCGAGCCGGGCAATCTCGTCGCCCAGGCCAGGTAAGCAGGTGAGCTTTTCCATATCCCGAACCCGCGTTCGAACGGAATCCAACGTGAGTCGAAGAACGGGACCCTTTCTCCTCTGGCGTAAAGGGTATCAACCATGATCTCGTCATCCCGCAAATCGGACTGCACCTTGGAGGGCGTGATGAGCTTCAACAGACGCTCTAGATCCCCGTCTTGCGGATAAGCAAGGAATTCGAGTCTGGTCCCCTCAACCTCGACTGTGATGGGCGGGCGGGCATCTGAATCCCGTATATACGGCCCTGATAGACTAATCGCGCTCAAGGCAATGCCGATGCCCTCATTGCGCTTGACCATCTTCACCGCACTTGTCTCAAGGCTGACCTGGCACTCCTTGCCTACGAGACTGAGGTAAAACCCGGCTGTCCTTAGATCGACTTTGTTGTCAGCCGCTACTGAGCGGTCGTTCGGGTTGATTGGTGTGTCAAACCGGACTCCTCTAGTGACCGGTGTCGGAGGTGCCACCGTATGAACTGAGGTGGGTGCAGCAGAAGATACGCTACCTCCCATATTAAGGAAACTGCTGAGACCTCCAAACCAGCTAAAGGTTTCGTCCAACCTTTGCAGATCGAGATTCACAACCAGGGCCAAGGTCGTCACTTCGGTTCTAGTCGTGCTGCCAGTGCGCACGAGCTTCACGGAGACGTCGGCGCCTGAGGGCGGAAACACGTCGCGGACTGAAGCCCCTAATTTGAGCGTGCGATCAAAGGATACGACGTCGCTGTCGGCGTATCCGAACCGGAACTTGCCGAGGTTGATGACCGTGGTTGATGCCGCAGCGGCGCTCTTCATATTTACGGAGATCTGCTCGAGATCGCAGCGGAGGAGGGTGACATGGTCAAAATCAAAAACCCTCGGGTTAAAGTGCCTTTCGGGGTGTCCGCAACACCTAAAAGGTGATGTAGGAAATTAATCGAAATGCGCTCGAAGGCGACATTAACATCGGGTAGAGAGGCGATGTTATTTTCTCCAGTCTGCTGCTGAGAGGAGGGAGTTGATGGAGTGGCCGATTGCTGGGCGCCGCTGCCGCTGCTGAATATGTCGAGAAGTTTAGAAACGACCGTGGCTAATAGAAATCCTAGAGAGGCATCGAAGCGAATGTCAATCGGCGAGAAGGAGATGTCGAGGCTTTCGTCCCGCTCAGTTTGAGGCGTCTGGGGAGGTGGCGGACGGGCTTCACGGGTACTCATAAAGAGTCATGGCTCTGCGAGTATACCGAAAACGCCCCGGGAAGATGAGGGGAAGCAGACTTCTTGGCGGAGTAACTGGGTTCATCGTCGGAACTGCCCGAATTCTGCTGCACATGAATATGTTTGTGGCGTAGCGGAACGTGGATGGATATTTTATCGAGAGAAATCAGCTCTTTCACTATTCGAGTCGGACCCCGTGGCGTCTGGTCTTGAGGCGGGGTGGCGGAGCGTCCATCCGCATCCGGATCAGCATCCGCATCTAGGCCCGTATTCAAATCTTCGAGCTGCGGTGCCTCTTCCACGGATGATGCATCCGAGTGCCGTGATGAATAAAGGCTTTGCCGAATCAAGGAACTCTCCAAGTCTTCATCTTCACCATGCTGGCTCTCGTCATCATATCTCGCATCATTAGCAGGGATAGTCTCTGAGAGATCATCCTGTAGCTTGTGAATACTCTGGCCAAGTCTATGCTCGGCCTCAATAACTTCACCCGTGACATGCGGCTGCTCGGCATTGGGGCGTGTTGCCCTCATCAAGGGGCTTTCGGGATCCACAAAAGCTTCGTCCTCACCATCCAACTCGTGGTCTTCTGCTGGAGGCTGGGTCTGCTTTGGGGGCTGGGGCGGTGAGTCGGATGGATTTGAATAGTCGTCCCAGGCGCCAGGCATTGATCGTGAGGGTTGGGATGGGAGTTCCGAAAACGCGCTAGCATACATGCTTTCCGCCTCCTCGTGAGAGAAAATATGAGATTTGCTGAGATCCTCTTCAACCTCCTGTTCACGGTCCGACCCGTCACTATCCGACACCTGTTGGTCTCTCTCTGGGGTCTGGGGCCGTTCCAAGGGTGCCGTTTCATAAAGGTGCAGGTTTTCAAGCGCGGGGGTAGACTCGGTGTTGCGATGCATGCTAGCCCAGGGCAGAGGCGACGTCTCCATTATATTAGTTGATTGCGATACGCCGGTAGGAGGCTCCCAAGACACAAATTCCGGGTGCGCAGAGGCCCGGGGTGTTGGGGGACTGTCGTCATCCTCAACGTCGTCATCAAAGTCATAGGGTATGTCGAGCGCTAATTCGCTATCTCGAAGAGGATAATCATCCATACCAAAGGCGGTCGAGTCAGCGAGATAGTCGTTGGCGATTTGGTGAGATGCTGATAAAGAACTGGAAAGCGGCGAGCTCGGCTCCCGACTGAGGCTGCGGTGCATGCTGCCGTAGTGAGACACGACCGGGGATTGTGGTATGGCAGGCGAGGCGATGGAAGGAGAGCGTGCGAACGCAGAGAAGACGTTCGCCTCGGACACGAGGTAAGCTCGAATATTTGATAGTGAGACGTGCCGCTTTCCTTCCTTGTGGATGAAGGCAGGCATTCCGTTCTCGTCAAGATCTGGAGCGGTGACTCCTCAACGTCAATCCCTTCGAGGGCGATTTGGAAAGTCACTGTGTCAAAACTTTCTGTCGTCGTCGCCTCAATCGGAACCTCGATATCGAGCTGGAACGTGACGCCCTTTATTCGGACTTGGGTCCTATCAACTATGCCTTGCAAAAGTCGGCCATGAAGGCTGGTAGCGAGAGAGCTTGCCCCGTGCCGTAGGAGGACTCGTCCTCGCTTCCGTCATCGCTCACGGTGACGGACGCGCCCAAGTCCTGGGTTTCGGCCGCAAGGGCTTCTTCGAGCCTCTTCTTTTCGGCTTCGGGTTGATCCTCGAGGAATGACTGGGCCAGGTCTGTGGTGTTTGGGACAACGTCCGAGGTCGTCGGTTCCCGGTGGACTGTGGCCTCGCGGTTCGCCACTCGTATCCTAACGTCGACGCCATCAACCTCAACTATTATGGGGCTCGTGTAGAAGTCGACCGGAATCGTGATTCGTAGCAGGAGAACCTTGGCCTTCAGAAGCTCAAACGATGAGGGGAGCTTGAGTATCTGTTCGAGTTTCTACGGATGGTACGCGGGATCAGGCCCCCTTGAGGTTAGCACATTATAAACAACCAACTTGAGTGAGTTCGAAGGGGCACGGTACCTTTAGCTTTATGCCGACGTCCCGAAACTCGAAAACGGTATTCCTGCCGATGGCTAGATCTAGGTTGTCCATGTTCAAGGCATCGGCATCCAGGAGCTCCAGGCGGGAGAGTGCGAATTTTAGCAGCCTCTTGGGCATGCTAGAACTCCGCAACGACTGGAACATGGTCGCCATGATGGGCGGGGAAGGCCGCTTCTCGGCGCCTCCTTCGCTCTCGTGCCACGGGCTAGATCGGCTGGTGTTGGAACTGTTGGATATTCGTCAACTCTCTATGCCCGACTTCGACGCCAAGCGGTGGAAGCGCACCGTGGGCGATTCGAGCGGCACCCTCGTCAAAAGATTCACAGAGAATACAGGCCGGTGCGGGCTTAGGCGGGCATAGTACTCGGTTCAGAAGGGTGCTCGGAGTGATGACGCTGAAGGAGGGAGGCGAGGGTAGGAGGGGGATGTAGGGGAAAACGTGTAGATGGCTTCGTGAGATGAGATCGCAACGTATCACGGCCTCCTCGGTTGGGCCAAAATAGCTCCCATGTCGGTTTGGATCTGTGATGGGGAGTCCTTTGTCTCGTGGTGCGTGCTGGTGGCGTTGGTGGTACGGTCCAGTATAATAGGGAGTGGGCTGGGCTGGAGTATGACGGGTGGTTCATTGAATGTTGTCAGAGGACATGAACGGTCCAGGCTGCCTGCCCCAACTCAAAGCACGGGTGATAAGGAGGGGCAATGGCGTTCACTGTTAACCGCCATGTACATGTAGTCGTGCACTGTACCGTGCCTGTACCACCGGTCCCCACCACCTGCCCAGCAAAAGCCGGCAGCTTCTCGTGGTCACCCGTCCAACTCTCCAGTCAATGACGGACCGGCTCAGGCAAAGCACAGGTACATAAAGAGGTACCCGTGACCTCGATATCCTTCCACTTTCGGGCGCTAGAGGCCTGAGGGGACCCACCACGCTTGCATGCCCGCCCCCGACGCATCCATTGTCCAGCGGGACCGTCAGTTGACAAGGCCCACAACAGCCCGGCAATTGCAACTGGCGGAGCTTCCCTACTGGCCAGGCCTCGCTCGCTCCGCTCAAACGGGGCAAGTCCGCTGTTGATATTCGGAATGCATTCATTCCATTAATGGACTGGATCAATCAATCTGGGGCTCCATTGATCTACACATAAGCCGCCATTCCCACCAACCCATCGCATCCATCCCTTTGGGTTCTGGAGAACAGCCCGCGAGGAACCTCTTCATCAGGGACTTTGACTCCTTGGCGTGCAAGGCGTGTTAGGCACAGCGAGCACGGAAGGATAAAACGTTCCGAGCAAACTTCGTGCAACCTGTCACTTCGGTAGGGCAGTAATACGCCACCATAATTATGGGCCATAATATTTGGACAGGAGGGAAAGGGACATCGGAAAGTTACAAATGGAGAGAGCAAGCATACCTTGTCCTGACGACGACCAAGGGATAGATGTCCTCCGAGGATCGCGGTGTTGCCTTTTTCTTTCTTTTTCGGTTCATGTACAAGGCATCAATCAATTTAATGGAGCCGTGAAGAGGTCTTCCCAGCCCCTTCACCCCTCATTGGTATCCGCCTCAGACTCAGGCAGCACCGAGACCTTTCAGCCATGCAGCCACGCTTTGTGGGCCTCGTTTGCATCCAGATCGGATGAAGACGTATAACAAACCGAAAACGCCCTCGTCCGTGTTCACGTACTAGGATATATATATATACATCTATCCTCGGTACACTAGATATACATTGGTACACGTACGGATATGTTTATTTCATCACGCTATCAAGAGGGTTTAAAGTTGAGCTGGGGGGCCTACAATATTAGATGCCTTGACCAGAGGCTACACGGGAATCCCAAGAGCACATGCAAGCCTAACATGGTGCTCGAGTGTTTGCTACCAAAAGGGTTAATGTGTTGGGGTCAGGTCAAATTATTCGAGGCGTTTTGCCCTGGTTATATCAATCAAACTGTCACGTTCTTCGCCCAACCGACTGAGGCATGAGACAGCAAGGCCCCAGCATTTGGCTTTGGCAAGTGAAACAGAGTCTGACGACCCGGGCAGTTTATCATGACGCCCAAAGAGGAAGAAGAAAAAGAAAATCTTCCGATTCAGGATGTGAAGTGCAATTTCTAATGAGGTGAAAGAACGAGAAATGCCTTTAATAACAATAAATTCATGATATCACGGATTCATAGTTTAGAATCCGAATGAAATGTAGACCGACCAAACCAAATTCTCACGAGTTGCTCTCGCCTGCCAGGCCATATCTCTCGGCTACCATTCTCCCGACCACTTCACCACTCCAAAAGCGCCTGTAGCCGTGCCTAGGGCTACAAATGGCGCTGTGTGCTCGCCAGCAATCCACAACCCCACATCTGGCAGTCCGGCTCGTAGAGTCGTAACATCCGTATCCCCGTCCTCCAAACCCACCTGGAAGTTGGTGTAGCTGCCGTTTCCCGAAAGATCGTCCTTCAACCAGTCCGTAGCTAAACAACCTGTCGGCTGGCATTCCGGAGATGAGTCGGAGTAGTTGGGCAATCGCGAATAGTAAGGTTTGAAGAAATCGGTCAGAAACGCGTCTTTCTTTTCTTGCGATTCCAGTCTGGATGCCTCCTCGACAAGATATTGGGAGGCGTCGCCAAATGTATAAAAGAGAAGGGTTGGGTGATTCCAGGGCGGTGGAAGCGATGCAAGGTCAACGACTTCTTGATTCCACCCGTGAGGGTTATTCGGGGCATACTGCGGGGATAGCCATTGGCAGAAACCCTCAATACTCCGGCCCGATCCGTCCGTTTCGAGCCAGAACGGTGAAGGGAAACTAATGTAAGTCTATCGGTAGTATGAGCATGCGATCAAGCGTAACCAGCTGCTAGGATCAGAGGACGGGATGATTGTACGTTACCGTACCTTTTCTAAGCAACCGAAACCAAGAGAGTTGATGGCTTGGGTCATACGAGGCGGCAAGGCTGGTTCAAATGCGTCGAGGTTTCTTTTTAGCCAGCCAAGGGGCGCCGTCACGACAACATCATCGAATTCGAAGGCCCTCCCTTGCTTTGTGCCTACCATAACTTTGCCTCCAGGGCCATCTCGAGTTCGTATGTGGCTCACAATCGTACCAAATTGGATGTCGGCTTTATCGAGAGCCGGCTTGGCAACATGTTCCAAGATCTTGTGGTATGTGCTGGCGCAGAACAGGTTCCCTACTGGTTGGTTAGCATGCTTATCCTCGAGACTATATCACTTGCATGTTGGACGTAGTACCCCCTTCGATACATTCTTCTAGCCAAAAGAACTTGAGACTCTGCGTTTCGACAGCATTCCCTACAAAGGCGCCCCACATCTCAGCTACTTGGAGAATGAGGCCGCGGGACCTCTCGTAACCTTCTTCCGTTTCCGGTACCCGCTTGATGACTTCAGACTTGAAGAAGTCCAGCAAACTTTTGCTAGGGTCCGTTTCATCACCACTTGTATTCGAGTGTAGGAAGGCGTCTTGAATGATATCCCACATCAAAGTTGAGTAGCGCTCGCTCTCTTCCCGGGGAGTAGCTTCCCTAAGGAGTCAAACATGTAGGACGACTCATCCCACTTGCCCGTTTCCGTGCCCGTCTCCTTTGCGATATCGTGAATAGGGTTATCATCGGTTCCGTGGATCCAGTTGGGGCCCATATCGACGAGTTGGCCATTAGGTAGCTTTTCCTGGTGTACTCGACCACCTATTCGGTTTCGTCCTTCTAGTATTGTGACTTGGAAGCCATGTTCAAGGAGGACATCGGCACAACGGAGGCCAGAGAAGCCAGCACCTATAACGCCCACATGCGGACGCATATTGCGGCTCTCGACCATCTTCTGCTTCGATACCCATTGCCATGTAAGTGAGAATTTCCTCTTCCTTGCTCGGAACAATAGATTTCCTCACATCAACTAACCTCTTGGAAGATACCGCCGCTAGAGAATGTATGAAACAGCCTGCTTTGGCTAGCGTTCTTGAGACTCGCAAGGTGTATGGGCTTGAGGTCTCGATAAATCCTCGACGGGGTACAAGGTGAAGCGCCTCTGTAGGTAACCGAGTGAGCATCCATGATTGTTAACTATGATGTCGACTTATAAAGCAGTTCGGAAGATGGAAAAGTGGGCGGGGAGAAGGGAAGGGTCGCTATGGGTCCGCACACGACTGGTATGAGGTCTACCCCGTGCTTCGCCGAGAGTGATTTCAACGTGGATGATGGGAGAGTGAGGTAAGCAACGGATGGGGGAAGGAATCACAAAGTGAATTCACGATGGAGTAAATGCCAGAGAATTGTAGACGGCAGGCAGCTCTAGGATAGGCAAGCAAAAGAGCATAGATGATATGGCATGGATCGGGTCTGGGAAACTACGGAGTTGTTGAGGGCGCCTCGGGGAAGGGAAGGCGCGAAGAGGGACAAGTACGAGCTCGCCTCACGACCAAAATAGAAGCGAGAATTGATCGGTGTGAGATGCGGAGGAGCTCAAGAAAAGTAAGGCGAACTCCTCGCTGGCTACTCTCTGCCCCGGAGCCGGCTCTGGTAGTTTAAACGTAACCGATAAGGAGCGAGAACAGGCTAGGGATGAGAGGAATGGGAGGAGGTGTGGTTGTACGAGGTGCTGGGTTCGATGGTAAAGCCAACGCAGCATCGAGCTCACCTGGATACTCTCCAGGTAGTTGACCAGAAGCATGTACAACCGTCAGACGAATGATCGACCCCAACTCCTCCGTGTTCAGGGGACGTCCGGGAGCACAAGGTTGATAAGCATAGCAGAAGGGGACTATCAACCTCGAAAATGCCCCGCGACGATATCGCTGAACACACGGGAAGAGGCAAGGCCAATCATTGCCACGCGCGGGCCACGGATGGGGCAATAAAGGGGCGCGCGGAAAATGGGCGCAACGGGCGCTCATGCTAGTGAGCTGAAGGGTAACGTTGGAGAACAAGGCACGCGTTTAGGGGCTATGGATGATAGATAGAGTAGTTTCGGGGAGGCTCGGAAACTGGCTGGTGCACAGTACCGTTCGAGGCACTTACTTTAAAGAATAATAAGGATCATGCACGACGACTCGCGAGTGCACACGGAAATATCTAGACTAAGGGCCGATGCTGTGCGATCAGATAGTTGTTTCCAGCGCACCCGCCAAACCAATACTCGATGATAATATCGCTGAAATGGTTTTGGCTGGGGCGCAAGGGGAGAATCCCTGGCAGTCACCACGTTCCAAAACTCTTCGATATGATTGCTGATTCTAGAGACACCCAGCGTTTCCCCACAGCGCATGCAGCACAAATGACGCAGGGTCTCCACTAGTTCTCGTCGCTCAGAACAGAAAACTCTTGCGTCTCTTTTCCCCTCCCCACCCCTTTGCCCTTTGCCCTTAGCCCACAAGAACCATGGCAGCACTTGGACAGCCAGCGAAGGGCAATCTTTGCGCCCTGGCGATTGATCAGTCATCATCAATCCTTTCTTTTGCTTCGGGAACCGCTAATAATAGGGCCTTCGAACTAAGCTTGGTTGGTGTCTGTTGCCTGAGGATCAGCTAATAGTAATGCACGCCAGCGAAGCCCTGGATGATGCTCCACTATTCTTGGGAAGTGAAATGGACTTTTTCTGGCCGAATCACGTCCGGCCAGAGAGAGACATGTTAGCCAGAAGCCAGAGAGAAGCATCAAGCACAGTCGCCCGTCCACTATGTGGCCGAGTGACTAAATATTCCTCCTTCCCTTCCAGGTCGCCATCGACAATCGTTGCGAATGGAAGGGGAAAGGGCAATGGCTTCCCGGAGGGCAACCGTGTACTATTTGATTTGATACAATGAAAACAATAGATCTATACAACCAGAACGGGTCTTCTTCCCATTTCCTTAGCCTCGACGTGCATTCAACCCGGGCCTGTCGGGCAAATGATCACATGCTCAAGTCCCACGACTGAACTGGACTGGACTGGACCTGGTAACCTGCCCCGCCATCTCCATCATGCTTCGATGTGGAACTTGGGGTATGTCGGAAGCTGGCCAATCACAGGTGGCTTATTTCTTTCTGGCCACCACCCTCCCCGTTCAAGTTCTGCTCCAAACCACAAATGGACATGGCCGAGGTAGCCTCACGGACATTGTCTTCTGTGTTCCTCGGGAGCTTTGCTGATAGCGGTGGTATCCGCTGTCTCACAATATAGCCCCGGCTTCCTTCAAATTTCTACTTAACATCTATAAGAAAGCTTATAAAACAAGAGAGAAACAAAGATTCGTTGACCACTCCCTGTGTTTGCTGCCCTTTCGCCTCTCTTTCCCTCGCCTCTGCAATCGTACTTGCCGCCACGTTCTTTCTCCTGCGACTACATTTGCCAGCCGTAACACCGTGCTCTACGTCATCTCCTATCCTCCAAGGGGCCGACCCTTCCTTTTCACTCACACGCATAATGCCTTCCGCCAGCGAGGCGTTTACCCGCGACGAGGTCGCAAAACATAACACAGAGGACTCCCTTTGGTGCATCATTGATAGCGTGGTATATGATTTAACAGACTTTGTCGATGCGCACCCTGGCGGCGAATATGTCCTCCGTCAAGTCGCCGGCAGAGATGCCACCACCGAATTCTATAATCTTCACCGCCACGAAGTTCTCACTAAGTATGCCCGCTTCGCCGTTGGCACTATCGAAGGCGAAAAGCCAAAGGTCATCACCCCCAAGGCTGGCGACTTGAGTCCCCTTCCATACGGAGAGCCCACCTGGCTCTCGAAGCCCTTCCGGACTCCCTACTACACAGAGTCGCACCACCGTCTACAGAAAGCCATGAGGAAATTCGTTGACGAGGACCTCTACCCCGAGGCTCAGGAATGCGAGGCGACCGGCCGCCACGTGTCCCAGGAGATGATTGATCTGATGGCGCGCAAGGGGATCCTCCACATGCGACTAGGCCCTGGCAAGCACCTTCACGGCGTCGACCTTCTCGGAGGTGTTGTCAAGGGTGAAGAGTTTGATTATTTCCACGACTTGATTGTCAGCCAGGAGCTTGTGCGCGTCAACGCACGCGGCTTCCAGGACGGTAACATGGCTGGCATGACGATTGGCTTGACAGCTGTCCTAAACTTCGCCAAGGATCCCGTCTGGAAAAAGAAGATTGCGGACGAGGTTTTCAGTGGCCGCAAGAAGGCGTGTCTCGCCATTACTGAAGCTTTTGCTGGTTCTGATGTGGCAGGTCTCAAAACCACTGCCGAGAAGACCCCTGATGGCAAATATTATGTGAGTCCGCCGTCGTTCTAACATGTAGCCCCAACCCCTCTCCCCGGTGCTCGATGTCTTGCCTGCACTACTAACACCCACCCCTTCTCAACAAGATTGTCAACGGAACGAAGAAGTGGATCACAAACGGTGTCTTCTCAGATTACTTCATTACCGGTGTCAATACTGGCAAAGGCCTCAGCGTTATGCTGATTGAACGAGGCGAGGGGGTCGAGACCAGAGCCATCAAGACTTCCTACTCTCCGGCCGCAGGCACGGCCTACATCACCTTTGACAACGTCAAAGTCCCTGTAGAGAACCTCCTAGGCGAGGAGAACAAGGGCATTCATGTAATCCTCAGCAACTTCAACCACGAGCGATGGACCATGGTGTGGTACGTCCCTAGGCCCCACTCAGAGCCAGGCATCTCTGGCCCTTTTCACTAGATTTCACCATCTCGCTAACTCCGCCGTTTTAGTGCCACCGTGCGTGCTTGCCGCACCATTACAGAGGAGACGATGAAGTGGGCAAACCAGCGTCTTGTCTTTGGCAAGCGCCTGATTGACCAACCAGTCATTCGTCAAAAACTCGCAAAGATGATTGCCCTCGTTGAGGCTAACCAATCCTGGTTGGAAACCATTACCTACCAAATGTGCCACATGCCCTACTCCGAACAGGCCAAGCACCTCGCCGGTCCTATCGGTCTTCTCAAGATGAGCTCTACTCGTGCTGCTCACGAGATTGCCGACGAGGCTGTTCAAATTTGGGGTGGCCGTGCTTTGACGCAAACTGGTATGGGTCGTTTCATCGAGATGTTTAACAGGACTTACAAGTTTGATGCCATTCTCGGCGGTGCGGAGGAAATCCTGGGCGACCTCGGAGTAAGGCAAGCAATGAAGGGAATGCCAAAGGTCATGTTATAGTAGATGTGTCGAGCGCCCGTGGTTGATAAGATATTCTCAAACAAAAAGAAAGAATGAGATGGTCCTGAGAGAAAAACGCCGAGATAGCCGGTAGTGTAGTGCTCCAAGTCGTCGAGGCTATTTCCAGAATTTGAAGTTAGTATTAGAAAACGTTGTCGACATCTTTCTTAAGAAGGTGACCATCTTTAAATCTTCACACGGCACGTTGAGCACACAACAATCACCAGCATCTTCCATCCATTTGCAAAAGAAACAACAGATTTCTTGTCGGAAAGTGATCCTCTCTTGGTCCCCTAACTACCGTAAACCTCTAGGCATGACCGGGGTAAATCCCCAACGAGACAGCCATCCAACCATTTTTAGTTCCTTTACTTTTTGTGTTTTCTTCCTCTTTTCTTCGAGACAAAAGGGGGAGGGTGATGGGGAAATCAAGTTTCTAAAGTGATTCGAGAAACGCGTGCTTTTAGGGGTATATGGTCGACCATCAGAAGGCTTTGACCCTTCCACTCGTTTTCGCGTGAGTATCATGACACAAAGGGTGATCGAAAGAAGATGGGGCATGGACGCCCTGCCCCCACCAAGTTCATAATATACACGGGTGCCTGGGACCCAAGTCCCACGCGACCCCTGGGGCAAATGTTGGGCGTCATGAGTTCGAATGGTCAATAGCGAGCGCGCACAGTCACGCAGGGCAAATTAGCCAGTGGGGCAAGCAGACTGGATATGACCGGTCTGCTGGCACTTGTAGCAGATCTTCTCGCCACCAGTGTTCTCCTTGGGGCAGTCTCGGCTGAAGTGGCCGTTCTCGCCGCAGTTGTAGCACTTGGAGCCATTGGCGCAATCCCCTGTGATGCGCTGGTTAGCTTAGATTGCCCCGTACTGAGAGACGCGCTCTTGTGAAATGGTTACGTACGAGACATGTGGCCATAGCCGCCACAGCTGTAGCACTGCTTCTGCTGGCTTCCGTAGCCGCCCCCTGGTTGTACGACTGGTAGCCGCCGCCACCGCCGCCGCCGCCGCCGTAGGAGCTGTTACCGCCAGCTTCCATGCAGTTACGGGCGATGTGACCAAGCTTGCCGCACTATGATTGAAATGTTTAGTAAAATGCACGTGTGCGGTAGGTAGAAACACTATGTTTACCTTGTAGCATTCAACCTGAGCACCACCGGGCGCGCCGCCAGGCGCGGCACCTCCTGGGGGCAGTCACGGGAGATGTGGCCAGGCTGGTTGCAGCGGTAGCAGGTCTTGGAGTCCTTGGGACCGTCGGGGCAGTCACGGCCTAACATGACTTTAGCAAAACCGATCAAGAGAGACAAGCGATGTATCAAACAACTTACTCATGTGGCCCTCATCTTCATTGCCAAACCGTTAATTGGAGTTCTAAAATAGATAAAAAACGCTGGGATTCCAAGGTTTTGGAACTTACTTCCGCAGTTGTAGCTAAGAGTGGAGTGATGGTTAGCCTCAACTGAGCGTATGTGGGACTGACAGTGCTTCAAAGACTGGTGCTTACCACTTGGCTGGTCCCCTGTTTGGGCAGTCGCGGGCCTAACCAGGTTAGTACGCTAAAATCGAAACCACTTGCCACCCTCTAAGAGTACGAATTCCATACCTGGTGGTTAGTGGCACCGCCTGCAAAAAAATAAAAAATTGTTAGTCACCGTTAAAGGTAGCCAGCCACACAAGAGTGGATGATGGAAAAATGACGGCAAATGCGAGAAGTAGAAGCAAAAGGTTCGTCAAAGGTAGGCAAAGTTGAGAGGGACGTCGTGGCGTATACCAGAAATCCCTTCAAGACAAATACCAGGCCTCAGGTAAGTCGGATCAGAGCAATGCAGGGAGGAAAGAAAATGGTAGGGTCTGATGGTCCAAATGCTGGCTGTGGAGGGCAACCTTGCGACGATATCCATCGTGATTTGAGCGACTCAGATAGGCATGAAGAGGACGGACGAGGTTGAAAAAAAAAAAAAAATAGTAGAAGAAACAAAGAAACATAGCGGTGCCAGCGCACACAAAATGCTCTCTATGCTTAAGCTCTTCGCACTCTCAATGAAGGCAGATAGCTGCATCTTAAACTGAGTGAAGGGGACGACAAGCCCACGGGCAAGTGAGTGCTGAAAAGCCCCAAATCCAGGTCGCCACCATGGGAGATCTCACGAATGAGTAGAGCGGGGAAGCAGTTGTACGAGAAAAGCGACAAGAAAAATTGAGCAAGAGAAGAAGGAACACAAGTGCCCTTCAATCCCGTTTAACTTACAGGTGTAGCATGCTCGACCGCTGTAATCCATTTTGAAAGTTGAGAGACGGTTGTGTTGATAGTTGAAGAATGTTGACCTGTGGAAATATGTTGTTAGAAGTGGGAAAAAAATCTGTTTTTGCACCTGAACCGTAAGTGAAAGAGGGTTGGCTGTGGGAGAGCGGTCTCGCCAATCTCAGAGGGTGGGGCCTCAGGAAGGAAGGCTGGCCAATTCGCCCCTCAGAAAGCTCTGGTAAGCGAACATGGTCCAAAGTCCCCACCAGTCCGAATGTAGAACAGCAGCAGCAATAGCAGCAGAGGGAAAGGTGTGGCTTGAGACATACACTAACCGTGGGGCGGCGATCGGATTGTCGAGAAGATATCGAATCGATTATTGTGTGTTTGAGGGAAGGATTTTGTGTGAAGAGGAGTTTTCTGGTTGAATCAGAAGATTGGTTAGCTCCTGCAGCAGGACCGTGACTCCCCTTCTTAACTCGAAAGAAGAAGACAGAAAAATCAAAACAAGAAGAACAGAGAGTTGGGCCAGTCAGGATGGGCAAGGCTCGTCCGGCTCTCAGGAAGCGGATATGATTGCGAACTCGAAGAGAAAAAAATGGGCCACAAAACAAGGAAAAGGAAAAAAAAAAAAAAGAAAAAGAAAAAGAAATCAAGGCATGGGTGGCGTGGGGTGTCCATGGAGGGGCAGTCGGTACTCTCTCTTCTGAATGCCCACACCGGCGGTCATGGGGCATGACTTGCAACATACTGATTGCTTGGTTCGGCCACTAACTTCTGTAGCTCTCCCGTGATTGGGTGGTGATTTGAGGGGAAAAGGCGGTAATGGTGGGATGCTTGATATCAATCTAATAGCCCTGGGGGCCTTTTTCAGGATGCGGGCAAGAATTACAGCAGCTGAGAGGGACGAAGGGCTTGCTTCCGTACCCAATACCAACGGCGTAATTGTCAGAGCGGGTAAAGGGAATCTTATCCCCTCAGATACCGGATTAGGGAGGTGGAGAGAGGGGTAACGAAAATTGTTGACACCAGTTCAAGTAGGAAAAAAGCATAGAGTGTAGGTTTGGGCTGGTGGGAAGGCAGGGGAAGAGATGGCGGTGACTTTGCCCAGGTGTGTATGAAGGCTGCCGGACTGTGTGGACGGACGTGGGAGAGGACGGACAAGGCAAAGGCAGGGGAGGACAAGACCCGCGCATATGAAGCAAGAGCAACGCACTATCACATTTGCGAAATGTTGCAGGCTGCACCGCTGAAGGGAGAAGGAGCGTCTTGGTTCTGAAGAGAAGGCACCGCCGCCCAAAAAACGAAGAAAGGGAGCAAGCCAGGATGAATGGGACTGGACAGAAAGCCGGAGCGAGCAGAGGAGATGGGGGAAATAGGCGCGTGCTCGGAAACTATGTTGGCAAGAAAAGAAACAGCCGAATTCTGACTTACTGGCAATATGATGGCTCTCTCAAGGATTCTCGAAGAGGGCCTAGGGTTGGAAGTTGGATTAGTCCGGGGCTGACCGTGGAGATTGAACCGAAGAGGGAAGCGACTGGGTCTCCTGCCTACAACGGCGGGATATTTTGAGAGATGAAGGGTTGATGCAAGTGAGTTCTAGCTGGAGCTATGGGCGGCGGGTCTCCTAGCAGTACCTAACGGCAGTTCATACTTACACACTGAATTGGGGTGGATGGCTGTTCGATGAGACGGATTTATTCTCGGACTGTCGAGATCAGATGTCGGTGTCGTTGGTGTCGGCAGAAAGAGGCTGGTGCCATGGACGGTTTATATCCCTTTTGAGCTGATTACACCCGTCCCCTTGTACATTAGATCCATTCATCAAAGGGGCGACGGGCGACATTTGATGGACAAATTATCTGGCTTTGGAACCGGGAGTGTACCGAATCTGGAGCAGGATTTCATCGATGCCGACCACGTATGTTCGCTTACAGGTGCGAAAATCATCGGCTCGTCCGCAGGTGCCTTGCATCTGAAATGGTATCAGAGGCATCGATATCACCCTGGCGTGTGGGACTCCCGGATGCACACGTGTGGTGGTGTACATATGTGAGTATGTTTGTGGGAGCGGTCAATGTGCCCGTCCGGGACCGTATTTCCTTGCCTCTCTACGTTGATCGGTGCCGTTGTTACATGCCACGAAGGTCCTCCATGAGTATTGATCCTATGGGGTGGGAAATTGCCCAAGGATACTCAGGCCCCAAAAACACACCTGCCTCCTCAGTATTACAAGCAAGTGCTCAATCAATACTTTGACCAACTGGTCGCCCCCCCGCGCGCAGGCCCCGCGCGGGTCTTTTCTTGAGCCGTTACAACTTCCTCGATCCATTCGAGGCCCTTTTTCTCTTGGCCCGGTGGAGGCGGAGCGAGCGCCCTTGGCCGCAAGAGGGTCGTTCGAATATTGTCCGGCTTTCGAGCAAAACTACGTGCAAGGGGCTGATGTGTAACGAGCAGAGGATCTGAGGCTCGTCCTCTACTGTGGGATTCCGAGAGCCGGCCGAGTCTTGGAAACAACAGGGGCGTGGAAGTGGGGATCACAACAGATCGCGACACCCATGTACGGAGTAGAGCAGGACAAGGAAATTCTTCATTCCGATGACGACCCTTGCTGGGGTGGCATCAAACCCTCTCGAAGCATGTGCTTGGGACAGGCGCGCGAACAGCGACAAAAGAGGTTCTATCAGCGAGGATGGTGATGCCACGGCAGAAGAGAAGCGGGTAAGGATGATGAAAAGCCACCACCAGGAATACTTGTATATCAACAAAAAAGAAGAAGAAAAAGAAGAAAAAGAAAGAACTGCGCTGCTAAATCTCGTAGATTGACCCATATTTGTCATGTTTCAGCAAACAATCTCTCCATCTTTCCAACGGCCTTTTCTGCCATGACTTGATGGGATGATCAAAACAGGGCTGTCAAACAAAGATGGCCTCCTCTGCTCGAGCATCCCTTGCCTTTTTCTCTTTCCCATCTTCCTATCTTTTCCCTTTCTTCTCTTTGCTGTCCTTTTCTTATCATGTTCCGCATGGCCTACATGTAGCATTTATTGTAGGTATACATGTATCGCAAATGGAGCGCGCATTATTTTAATCAAACCACAAGTCGTCGTTTACACCTGTTGTAGCAAAGCGTGGGTTTGCGGGCTTATATGCGTCCCCAGCCGACCCTTCCAGCGCGTTGAATATCCACAAGCCATGCCAGGGTTCGGTTAGATGGCCTTATCGCTACCTCTTCCCTTTTTCTTCTCCCACTGCGCGACGGTTGCTCTATAATGAAGCAAGATTAACCATGACACGATCCCGTGCCTTATTCGGCGAGCGGCCTGGACCCAAAACGCTGTACCCAAAGCTAAAGCCTTCACTTCATATAATCATTATGCGCCTCCCACCACAGACGATAATGGATTAATTGCTCATTAGCTACCCGCCCTCTATTCATCTCCAGTTATTCTTCATAAGATTTCCCAAAACAGGAGACCTGGGTGGTTTGCTGCTGTGGTATCTGCGGCGTTCGCCGAAGGGAGGGACCCGAAGGAGGGTGCGATACGTGAAAACTCGAGGGTGGGCAGCGGCTGTGTCATTCTTAAACCGCGAGGAGGATCGACGAAGGGGTAGCTTACTCCACAGGTTGCCTGATGACTTGCTGGGGCAAAGTTTGTGACACGAAAAGGAAACAAACACGCCCCGTGTGGGAATCCGACTTCCATTCTGGCTGACTTTCGGTGTTCATCTCATGTTTGAAGAAATCGGGGTACTTGGGAAGCGAGTCGAGTTGCTACTAAGAGGAGGCCTATCGCGTGCCAGTCGTTCGGGGGAACCGGTTCTGATCGACCAACGCTGGAGTTTCCATGGCTCTTCTAGACGGAGATCGGACATCTTCTGGAAGGGAGCCGACATCAGACGAAAATCACCAGGAATGGCATAATCGCGGCCTAAATTACCTGGGTGCCTTGAAGGAGACATGTGGCCGGAGTGATGCGGCAGATGGTAGCTCCTGTTCGCTTTAACCGCTTCAATGGTTCTCTCTGTAAGGCGATCGGTGCATGAGGGGGCATTGAAGCATCAGACGAAAAAATGATGGACTTGTTCGATTCGTCACGCACCATGTCGATGTCCCAATTTTTGGTATTCTCACGGGGCAGAACTACATCAACCCCATCGTGAGGTCAAGGGGTTTGCTAAGAATAGAAAAGACAGGGCACAGCTGTCCCTGTAAGGGTCCTAGAGGAGAGTTTTGCCTTGGAACAGTCCTCAGGAGATGCCGGGAAGTTCCCCTTCCTCCCTTGCGACACGTTCTTGTCGTCGGGAGTCGCACGGTGCCCAGCTCTGTTCCCGGTGAGGCTGTAAGCAGGAGCCGTGAGCCGGGGCTGCCTCCGATGGTGAGCAGGGCATGCCCACGTTGTTCGCTTTGTTCGCTAGGGCCGGGGATTTAATATACTTGTAGATATTGATCCCACATCCAATTGGGGTTGGGCAACGGCTCCAATGTTGGGAAAGCGTGCTCCTCGAACAGACGAACCCCTTGACTTTGACTTCTATGTTGAACAGCCGCCATCATGCTTTGGCTTTTTCTTTTGTTTTCCTTTTCGAGACCCCTGAAGACTTCCTCAGCAATGACGAACGTGAGTTCACTTCGGGTGAACAGCGATGAAGGTCAAGAACGATTCGCTCCTCCCAGCTTCCAACCCCTTCTATTAGGAACCTTTGGCCCTTGTGACGATCCAGTCAGGTTTGGCTTTTCAGACTGATCTTGGTGCCCTTTGCCGTCATTTTGGGCCATGTGCTGGATTCCATCGCTGACATGTACCTTTTGGAGCAATGCTGGATTTAGCTGTGCTCTAAGAATAGGCCGTTTGATTGACCGCCGCACTAGTCTCGAGGTGGCCGAAGTGGAGTTTGTTGACGCTGAACTGCTGGCCTCCCTACATCTCGACACGTCGAATCAATCCATCAATTGATCCATGATCTAGCAATTGGGAACGGATCCATTCATTTCCATTTTTGTCCGGAGTGAATTGCCAGTGGGGAAACCTGGGACCCTGCATTAATACCCTGAACTCCGAACTGGTTTATTCCGTGGACCCCTGATTAATTCATTCGCGCAGTAAAATACTTCTTGACTTGATGGAGCTCTGACTAATTCGCTTCGTATATACCAGCGAATTTCGAGCCCGCTGCTGAGCCCGCTGTCTGGCCCTGTTCTTTGAGGGCGACGGGATTGAACGGGAGCTGTGCATGCAAATTATTACGGAGCACTTCAGAGTTCCACCGCAATCTCGTCCCGGCCACCTCTGGGTTGAAATGGGGTGCAGCAGGGAGGGTAATGCTAGGAATTGAAGCAAAAGACACCGTTTCTCTTCCTCTTCTCACTCCTAATCTGTCCGAGAAAATTATAACCGGAAATTCACTGGTCCTCTTGGCATATCTTGCAACATGTCGCCAAGGGACTTGTCTAGCGTGGGATCGACTCAATGTCCCGCCACCATGCTCTGACCTACAAGGGGGACGTTTAGGATGTTGAGATCATCGAAATATCAAACAGCGACAGATCCGTCCACATCGGAACTCGGCATTCCCGCCCGGAACGAGGCGTCGATTGATCCCGCGATCAATGAATCATGGATACTACTCGCCTGGGTGGGCTGGACAAGATTCTCGGGGAGGTAATAGGGTCTAGTTGGTGGGGCCGGCCGAACTACTAGTTAGACGAAATCAAATTGGCGCCCTCCACCCACATGACGCAGCGAAAGATGACCATATCAATTGATATTTCCCAGTCCGACGTCCGACGGCCAGTGTCGCACTCCTTGCAAGCAACAAGGTTCTTCGTGCCCTCACCTGCTGTTTTCGGCAGTGGTGGGATGCTCCTCTGACTGGTGATGGAGTCGGTTCTCTTGTAGCAGGCGCCTGGTCTTTCCAGGCCTGTCAAAGATTTAACACAAGAATAACACTGCTTCTGTTGGTGGCTCGCAGTCAACCCTCGGCAAAGCCCCTTATCGGGACTGTACATTCTCTTATTGATTTTCGTTCGACTTGCTCTTCCACCTCGAGGACCCGATCTCTCTGCCAGATTGATTCACCGTGGTATCCTGGATGTAGCTATAACTCGTAACCTCCGGTGGATTCAGGAGATTGGAAATGCCGAGTAGGGCCAATTGGCTGGAAGGTGTAGCAGGCCCAACAGCTCGGTTCGTCTTGCTTTCCTGAGAAGTGGAAAACCAGTTGGATCCATTAATTGATGGAATGGATCTGGGCCAGGTGTGTGTAATAATACCGAGGTGTTCTGAGTGTTCCGCCTTCAGCCTTTTTCCAGGGACCTTAGCGACCCCAGTGAGCCCCACCAAAAGCCCTTCCGACGCGGTTCACGGTCCCCAGTTGTTGTAGTCATGTGACGTGGCGTCGCTCAGGCGCGGTCGCGGGTTCAACGAGATTCGCGGGGTGGAAATGGAAAGCGACGCGAGCCGAGGTTTGCGTGTGTATCCGTCGAGAACGCAAACAAAGCCTTTTCAGGGGTTCTGACATCGATTTCTAACCTATTTTGACGAGGGTTAAGCTACGTGCTTATCAGCGAGTTAGCTCGGCTCTTGATGATGCGACGAGGCTGACCTCGCCCGACTTCACCATGGCTAATTGCTTTAGCGAAGGGCGCCGTGCCATCTTCGAGAGCCTGGCCGAGGTCTGCGACAGGATCGAGGAGGGTATGCGGGCAGGTAAGAGAGACCATAAATACGGGGGTTTTTCACCTGAGAGAAGCCCGTGGGTTGCTAACCTTTCTGGCTTTGGCGTTTAAAGAGCTTTCCCATGATCGACAGGAAATAGAACAGTTAAGAATTCGACTGCTCGATACCGAGAGGCTGGAACTAGAGAACAAGGAACTCAGGTCTCATATTCAAAGGCTCCAGCGAAAGTCCGTCGCCCCCGAAACACCTCAACCTAGCAAGACTACAGCTCCTCGCCTAAAAGTGGGAGGCTTGGATACGCTGCCCGACTCCAGTGATACAATTCTCCCACCCACTCCCGAATTAACTAGTGTTGATACCCGGACTAGCCTGCAAGGGCCTCGAGATGATATAGACTGGAAGTTGCAAGCCGCCCGAAACGCAGCAAAATACACCAGGCTACAAGTTGAGCTGAAGACTGCGATAGACATGCTCGCCAAGAGGAAAGAGGAACGGGACAAATGGAAGCATTTTGCCGAGCGACTCCAGAAACGGATCCAACTCCTGGAAGCCCGCCTTACTCAAGGGGACCTGCGAAAACTTGACTCCACTGCCTTGGCCGAGAAAACGGAAACCGAGTCTCTGGTACGCACCCACTCCCCTGGCCGATCTACGTCGAATCCGGCCGTATTGTCCGGTGACAGCGAAGGTATCCTTCGCACGCCGCGCTTGTCACGCGGAGTTAAGCAAGAGACCGAATCTTCATCTACAGAGTCGGCTGGGGAAACCTCGTCCTTTCCGAGTCCGCAGCTCCCTAAACTACCGGGAGAGTCTAGTCGTGAAACCGGCGTACAGATCAAGCAGGAACCCTCGTCCGATACCCCGCTAGTCGTATCGGAGAGAGTTATAAACAAAAGGAAAAGGGATGGGCCTACAGAAGAGCTTTGTACACGCTATGTCCGTGTGAAAGCTGAAGAAACATCGCAGATCGACCCCGTTGTTACTGCAGAGGTATGCGATTTTAGTCCCGCGACGAGTGTCGACCTAGATGAGCCGAGCATCAGATTCGATACACCACGGAAAAGCACGTCGCATGACTTTTATATCGCGAGGGAACGCCATGTCCGGCGCCGCAGATTCGTTCCGATGGAAATATGAGGAATGATCCCGCAGCTGGTGTGCCAGACCATATTCCTCGGGCTTTGCAGCCACGGAGCCCAAACGTACAGACGTCCCGGCCACAGCGCCGGTCGCGCAAAGGACTTGACGATGGTGTAGGCGCGCTCGCAGAGGATGGCGCAAATTACGGGCCATCACCTCCCAACCAAATCGCAACACCGAGGACCAACTGCGGCTCGAGCAGGCTCACAAGTCTCTTGAGCGGCGCCTCAAAACCGGTGGGATCCCCGGTTATCAAGCCGTCTTTCCAGAAGCCGGGTACGCCTCGATCCCTTCTCCAACCACCAACCGCTCCGCAACCGCGGACTACCCCGGATGCGGCACCGGCATGGCTTCAGACACCACAACCAAGAGAGTTGCCTTTTGACAGGATCACTGGGGAGAAAACAAAATCAACTCCAAAACAAACCCCTAGGAGAAAGGCAGGCCCCTCCTCCGCTATCGGGTCCAAGCCAGACGGGATCCCGCACACGGCCCAGAGTCGCATCCGTGCGAAGGCCCTCTCACTTTTACAACTAGACGACTTCAAGATTAATCCTGCCTTCAACGGCGGGCACGATTTCGCATATAGCGAAGTGGTGAGAAATAAAGAAGAGCGCGCAGGCCTTCCCGGCTGTGTAGATATGGATTGCTGCGGCAAAGGGTTCCGAGCTATGGCTCTTGCAGAGCGTGGAAACGGGCGCCGGACAGCGGAGCAGCTCGTGGAGGACAGGAAACTTCTCGAGCAGTTTCTAGGAGATGAACGTCATCGGCTATTCAGTATGACAAAGGAAGAACGGGTCGAGCTTTGGGTCAAGGCTAAGACACAGGAGCTTGCCAACAGGATCGGCACGCATCGTCATCGCTTTGGCCGGATGAAATCACCGCCAGGCTTTTGGAGGACGGATTTTCCCGAAACGCAAGAGCTGGAAGAAGATAGGGCTCAGGCTGCCAGACAAGAAAGGGAGATGATTCAAGAAAGATATCAAGAGGCAGTGCGTCCTGGAGGCAAGTGGATATTCCGCGATGAGTAAGTGGTTCAATGCGCCCGGGCAAGAAGTGCATATATATTTAATGACCAACCCTATTGCTCGGATAATCTCTCGAGGCACTTTCTCCTCGGGGCATACCGCACTTCCCTTCGCGTGAGCTCATGAGCTGGTGAAAGGAGGACCGAGCAAGGTTGACGGAGACAAGAAGAAGCCATTTTCACAAGGCAAGGCAGTAATGCCCAACCCAGCCATTTGAGCTCAAATCTTATGGCCAATTTCTTTGATTTATATGAAAAAAATAGAACAAAAGATATTACTGTATGATGATCGACCCAATCGTAGGTATGTCATTACAGTCTTTCGGTCCATTGTCCGACTGAGACAAGCTTGAAGACAAATGGCCCTTGAATCATTACGTTCGGATCCTGGCCCGAGTTAAAGAGCATTCGTGAATCCGAGTCTGGAGGCGGTTTCAAAAGACAAGTCACGTGGTTCGTAGGTGGCGGCCGATCCAGTCAACCGTTTGAGGACACTGGGGGCACATATTTACTGTGTTCCCTCAAAGTTACAAGATGGAGACTGTAGGACGCTTATTAGTAACACTAGGCATAAAGTCTAGTGCCGGGAGCAGGTAGTTGCATGGAAGTTCGGCTCATGCGTTTGTTGAAAAAAGAAAAACCTCTCGCAGGATGAGAGCTGCCATGTCGCAGCGTTGAGCTAACACGGTGTAGATTAGTCATCGCGGGTGGTCAAGGCGGCAAGGCCAAGCCAAGCTCCTTGCAGCCGCGAATAAACTCCGGCTTAAATTTTGCATTTTCTCAAGGCGCAGAAATGTCCTCGAATTGGGAGGCACCCACCATTCCAACATCATCCCAGCGCGCCAGTTTCCATTCGCAACGCGATCTATTCTTTGTCTTTTCCTCCATTTAGCGCTTCTTCCATTCCTTCATCTTCCCCCTTTTGTTACCTTTCTCTTCTTCTCCTTCCTTCACCTCTTCTACTTTTGCGGTTCCTCTCGTCCGTTTTTCCGTACCTACTACTATATCAGACCAGCGACGCAAAAACACGGGCGCCTTGCCGTCATCTCGACCAACGCGATCCGTGACCGGAGCCTCCAACCTCTTTGGTCGTAATTCGCCAAGCACATCGGACTCCATCTCTTTTTCCATCTCCTCATTGCTCGGAACTTCTTGATAGGCTCAAGAGACTATCCCGGCGTTGGAGGTTCAGCTGAAAGTGTCAGTCCAAACGGTGGACCGGCACTCTCACAACAAATTCCCAAGCCGGCAGGATGAACAACCGTCATCTGCCGGCTGGGCCAGCCATGCAGGGGCCGGGCGGACCTTCAATCACTGCAAACGGCGACATGCCGACAGGTCCGTCGCACGGCGGCGGTGGTGGTGGCGGTCGCGGCCGACGCGGACCCCAGCACTACCACCAGCACTACCATCAGCACCAGCCAATGCATTATTACCACAATCCCATCCCTCCTTATCAGGCCCCGTACTACCCGCCGATGCATCACCATGCCCAATACCAGAATGGCGCTATGCAGTCTCACGGGTATATGCCGTATCAGGCGGCACCACCCTACGGCCGCTCGCCTCCTCCAATGCATCAGTATGTGCCCATGATGGGCGTCAGTGTCCAACAGAACTACTCCTCAAGACAGTCGCAAAACTCGCCCGTCCTCTCGACGCCATATCAACCGCCCCCGATTCCCGCCCCGATCCCTTCCCATACTCCCTCCTCGACCCACTCTCCCCATGTCCCGCCCGCGCGCGACACGCCGACGACGACACATGTTGTTGAAGCCAAAGCTCAGCCAACCCCCTGAACAAGAACCAGAGCATCATACACCCGTTGTCGAAGAGAGGCCGCCATTCCGTGCTCCCGTAAGTTGAATTCATCTACCCTCGGCTCGCGAATCCAGAGCCGGTCGATAGCTGCTTTCAAACTAACTTTGCCTTTTACCATGGTTTTTAGATCCCGTGGCTCAGTCGGCCAGACGAGCCCTTTCCTAAGAGAACGTTGAAGAAGTCTCGGAGAAAACAGATGCAGCCTTTGGCCGGTGGAAGCAGTGTTGAGCTGCCCGTCGAGCAGCATGAAGGCGCTGCCAACGAGGCTGCGAGAGTTACAGCTGCAGACCTCGCCAAGTCGCAGGAGGCTGAAGCTGCCCAAGTAGCCAAGGACACCGCGGCGACGAAACCAGAACCGGTAATTTCCCAGGATCACCCGACCGACGCGGAGTCTACGATCCCATCTACACCCGCCTCCACACAGGCCGCCGCCACTGCCTCTCCTCAATCCGCAAAGTCAGCCACTCGACCTGCGGTCCCTGTTGTTCCTGTGCTCCCTAAAGTCGGGCCAAAGGAGACCAAGGCTTCAACGAGTGGCGTTAGTGATAATGCCCACACGGAACCCACCAAGCTAGCGTCAGACAGCGTTGAGGAGCAGGAGGTCACATCGGAGGAGGCCCCGGCCACTTCCGCTCCGGCCCCCAGAAGCCCAAGTCATGGGCTAGTCTTCTCTCCGGTTCCGCATCGGCAATGAAGTCATCTGGGGCTGCTGCCGCCGCCGCTGCCTCTGCTGCCTCGGCAGGCGCCGCAGCTGGTATGGCCGCGTTCCAAAACGGAGGCTTCAGTGGGCTTTCGAGGGCGGGTTCCGAGTCCCTAGCGGAGGCCCTCCGCGCGTATCGTGTCGGGGCCTCCTCCTCCGTTACCCAGATAGAGCCAAGAGGCCTAACCAACGGAGGAAACATGTGTTATATGAATTCTGTAAGCAACCCCACTGCGCCCGTCGTGCGCAAAGATCCTTCTTTCTAACACAGCATCTAGGTTTTGCAAGTCCTTCTTTTCTGTACACCATTCTACGACTTCCTCGATCAGGTCAGCAAAAATGCTGTCCATAGCTTCAAGAGTGAAACTCCTTTAATAGATGCCATGTGAGTCCCGCCACGCCGCTTGATGAACCGCCAAGCAGAATGGGTTACGTATGAATTGAAGATGAGTCGCTCACACCACGCTATAGGATTGTGTTTATGCGCGAATTCCGCGTCATCGCCTCTGCTTCCGCGGATCAGCTGCAGGAAGCTATCAAGGGCAAGGACAGGACCTACGGAGATCCTCTCACGCCCAATTTCTTGTATGATGAGATGAAGAGATCCAAATGGTTTGCTACTCTTGAGGTTAGCTTGATTCCCGTCCCGAGAAGTGTTTCGATATGTAGGGAAACCATCATTTTCAATGACTAACCGTGGTTTGCATTGTAATAGCAAGGACATCAACAGGATGCCGAAGAGTTCCTTGGTTGGCTTCTCCAAGCGCTAGACGACGAATGCTCCAAGGTCATGGGAGTTGGCACGCCAGCCAAGGCCCCGAGCACTAGCGGTGACTCGGCCACGGAGCAGGACGATGCGGTCTGGCTTGAAGTGGGCCCTCGTCAGAGATCGGTCATCACCCGCTCCTCGGGGTCTGCCTCGTCCTCGCCGATTAGCAAGATTTTTGGTGGATTGTTGCGATCAGAGCTGCGCGTTCCCGGACTCAAGCCCTCCATCACCACGGAACCCTATCAGCCCCTGCAGCTTGATATTGGCTCCCCGCATGTGCACACGATTACCGATGCGCTCAAGGGCTTGACTTCCCAGGAGAAGCTACAGGGCGACTTCAACTCTCTACGAGGCAAGAACGTGGAGGCTTATAAGCAGGTCCTCATCGACGAGCTTCCGCCTGTTCTCATTCTTCACCTCAAGAGGTTCCAGTTTGACGCCGCTGGGGGCACTCTCAAGATTGCCAAAAGGTAGGCTACCCGCTGGAGCTGGACATCCCCGGGAGGTTCTCTCCAGGCAGAAGGTGGCGAGCTTGGGGGCAAGTTGCCCCGCTATAAGCTCTTCGCCGTCGTCTACCATCACGGCAAGAATGCGAGCGTGGGCCATTACACGGCAGATGTGCGGCGTCAAGACGGCTCGCAGTGGATACGGATCGATGATACCAAGATTGAACCCGTCCGTGCCGAGGACGTGGCGCGAGGCGGAACCGAGGAGGAGGTGGCCAAGGAGACACGCAGGGACGGCAACGTCAACGGCGGTGCCGGTAATAGGTTTGGCGCCATGAATGATGAGGACACTGGCGACGATGAGGGTTGGAAGCAGGTTCCGTCGGGAGCCAATGGGGGACCGAAGCGATGGAGCAACGTTGTCAATGGAGGAGGCAAGGCAACGGCCAAGACCAAGTCTGGGCAAGACGGCAACAACGACAAGTCTGTTGCGTACATCCTTTTCTACCAGCGTATCTAAAAGCGATCTTAAGACACCCAACCATCTCGAACACTCTTCACCCAACTTCCTCCCCGCCTCCCCGCCTTGCCGACGTGTAGAACCAAAACCAACCCCAAAAGTACCAACTCTTCACTGAGAGCCGCCCGTCCCCATCACCATCAACCTACATACCTTAAAGCCGGGCTATACTTCCCGAAGCCGTCACCCCAGGGGGACGGGTCGCCTCCTTTTTTGATACTGAGTAACAAGGCTCCCTTGACAGCGCTCTCCCCATCTTGTCTAGCCATATATTGCGGTCTTGCTGTCGCCCAGTTTCTTGCTCTTCCCGCCCTCTCATCTACTCCACCCACTCATATCCGGGAAACACTAGACGCTAGGCCAACCAAGAGATGCCAAAGCGAAGCCGGGCCAAGGGAAGAAGAAAGGTCGCTAATTTTGACGGAGGGCTGAGCGTTTGACCGTCCTCCATCTCGTTGAACGTGAAAAGAGTGTCTGGATGGGGCTCAATTGGCTTTTCCACCTTGAGCGATCGATGTGTACAGCTGACATCTTGAGCCACTATTTTTTTATTACTTACCTGTATTTTCCTCCTACAGGGCTCTTCTTGTCCCTGCTGTATATTGTCATTAATTCAATGTTCCTAGTCTCTCTTTTACTTCTTTTCCCTCTCTCTTGACTGTCTTCGCTACATTGTGGCATCATCTCTTGCACCGTGCTCTCTCTTCCCCAAGCTTTCTTTTGCCACGAGCTTCATGGAAGCCCGGGGACAGGTGAAGAAGGGAAGACTGTCTACTTCAAGCGGCACTAAAAGCTACCTGTCAGAAACGCATCATTAAGAAGCAAAGTGAAGCGGAGGGCGTTCGATGCCTGAAAGAATAGCGCAACAGGAACGCGGGGCTATATAGCACGAAAATGCGCCCGCGTTTCCTTGGCCAGCACTTGAGGGCAAAAAGCCGCCGCAAGGACATCGTCGTGCAGTCCCGCACAGTTCGTTCCACAAGTACGAGATTCAAGAATGAGACGCGGTAAAAGATGATGTATTCCGAGCCCGGTCCGGCGGCGACGGCTTGCGGCCTTGCCCTTTTCCCCCAGCGACGGACGGTTACGCCGGTTACGTCAGCCCAGGACAAAGTTGCGTCTTGGATTGAGATCATGGACGGCTTGGCTTTGGCTCGACAAAGGAGGATTTGAACTGTTCTTTTGCCTTTCTCTTTGTCAATTTTTCTTTTGGCGAGCCCGTTTCAACATTGGCACGTTGTTCAAGCATCCCTTGATTGTCATCTTCCCTCCTCTGTAGAACTCTCCCACCTTGCCCCGAAAATAAGGGTCTCGTTTCCATCCCCGCCTTATCCCCCGCCATTTTACCTAGTGAGCACACACAAACCAAGATGTCGGCGCCGAACCCGCTCCCAAAGTATGTCTACAAGATCATCGACACCGAGCCCACGAGCCAGCTCTTAGACGAACTGCCCCTCTCCGATCTAGACTCCAAAGACGGATTCATCCACCTAAGTGTCGCGAAGCAGGTCCGTTTTGCCCCTCGCTTCTTTTCTTTTTTTTCCTTATTGAACATTCTCCCTACCCAATCGCTTGTACTTTTCCAAACAAGAAATAGAAAATGATGATCAAATGGCATGACAAGCCTAACCACGCCTTCTCCTCTCACCATGGTCCTCCGTATAGGTTCCCAACGTTGCAGGTCTTTTCTTCGAGGCCCACACCACCCTATGGGTCCTAAAGCTGCCCCTCGCCAGCCTAGGCCGCGTCGAGTGGGAGGGCAGCGATGACCAGGGCAGAGCTTTTCCTCACCTATATGGGCGGTTTGGCGGGCGGGAGGTAGTAGGCATCAAGGTGGTGCAGAGGTCTGCCAGCGAGGGGTGGAGGGGAATATTCGAAAGGGATGACTGGCTTGAGTAGAACGGGACGCGGGTCTTCGAGCATTTTGGTTCTGCAGAATGAGTCTCGTCCTTTTCTTGGCCCCTTCCTTTCGCCGAAGGACGGCGGTCTTTTGTTTTCGTACTAGAGAGATAGGCGTGGCGGTAACAAGTTCGAGGGCAAGACATCGCAAGGTCGGGCGAGAGATTGGATTGGGGAATAATATAAACCACCGACAGTGGGGGAAAAGAAGAAGAGGAACAAAAGAGAACAAGGAGAATTAAAGAGAGTCCTTGTGTCTTCCTGCTGACTTTCTACCAACTATAAAACGTACACACAACACAGGAGAGATCCAGCCTGGATTCTCGTAAATCTATGCTAACAGCCCGAAGCCACCATCCCTTTTCTTAGTTCTCTCTCTCTTTCTTTCTCAGAACAGCGCCACATTATCTGCATCTTGTAGCCACAGCCTCGCCAACTCCTTGGAAAGCCCTAACCTCAAAATCCTCAGTACTTCTTCCGCTGTCGAATTCGCCCTCAGACCTGCCCTCCAATCCCAGCCTCGCTTGGGAACACGCGCAAGCGAGCTTCCGCTGATACTCCGATGTAGCTGGCTCGCAAGCATGCTGCTGCCGCTGAGGACATAGCTGCCCCCAGGCCCCCGTTGCTGCTAGAGATGGACTTCATAAGGTCGGCCGGGGTGGAGCCCTTGAGGCCCTGGGCAGATGCTAGAACGAGACCGAAGAACTCATCACAGGCCGTGTATACCCGCGAGCCTACCGTCTCGAGATCCTCAATCGCTTTGAGAAGAACATCCATTTGCTCAAGGGAGAGCACCGGGGGCTGGTGGCCGACTAGTACCATCGCTTCGCCAAGGAGGGCGAGGAGGAAATCTTCGCTGACCACGGCGTCGCGCGTCTCGTCGTACAGACCCCGCGGATGTTGTCGTCCGAGCTAGCAATGGCCGCAACGAGGGCGGCGGCCGCCAACTTCTTATTCGCCACGCTCCGCGGCCCTGGGTTGGCTAAGCCGTTCGTGTCTTCCGAATCTCGAATTTCGTAGAACTTCCGTAACGTCGCGTATCCACTAAGAATCCGCCCAACGAGCTCGGCCGCCTCGATATCCAGATTGGCAAGGTCCTCCAACGTAGCACTGCGGGCCGTGAGGAGCCGGTGTAGGTGATCGTCGAGATCGCTCGGAGGGGGTACGCCGTAGACTGGAGGAGAGAGTAGGATATCAAGAGATTCAAAACCTCGCGCACCTTGGCCGGTTTATGCGCGAGCGCGTAGTACCAGATCGCCTCACCGTACCGGTGAGAATCCTTGCCCAACAAATCGGCGAACGCCTGCGGGTCATGTTAGCCAAAGATTCACCGAGCAGAGGAAACGAAAAGGAGCAAGGGGCTTTCGCTCTAGCCATACATACCTCGGCAGTTTCTTCGGCAAAGCTGACCATGCCTAGGTCGCTCAGAATCCTCCACATTTTGTCAACCGTGACACTAGAATCGGGCTGCAGCGTCTCCAGAAGATCATGCAGCAGCTCTCCTACAGTCTCCTCCGACTTCTCGACAGAGTCCATCCGCCCGAGCACTTGGATGGCAACCTCCCAGCCCTCCCTCTCCGACGAGATCCGGTCGATGCCGGCGAGTTCTCGAGCGTACTGAACAATGGTCGTGTCCTTGATGCCTTCGACCTCGTCGGGGCCCTGTTGAGGCACGCCGAGGACCTCGAGATCATCATCATCCAGCGTGTCCATGGGCAGCAGTGGCTTCGGCTGCGCCTTGGGGAGCCACTGGCCAAGTGCAGCCACCTCAGCGGTAGCGCATGCTATAGGGAGAGACCACGTGCGAAGAATGCCAATGACGGCAGCAAAGTTGCACTCAAAAGCAGAGGCAACGGCTACCGCCACCCCGTTTCGCGGATCGAAATGGAAATCAGACTCGACTGCCGTATGGACCGCTCGTGCCATGCGCTCAAAGTAGTCCTCCAAGGCGATGAGCTGGGTCGAACCGAGCAAATTAAGCGACTGGCCAAGACGCCGCTTCTTCGGCTTGTCCTTCTCTTCATCCCACCAGCCACACAGGCCTACCGTAGCTTCACACCAGTCCTGGGCTGTCTCGAGAATTGCTGTGGCATCACCTATGACAATATCGTAGATAGATGTCAACTGCTCATAAACCTCCCAGGGAACCTGGCTCTCCGCCTTGCGTGCCAGGCCTACCAGGGAGTTCCCTTGCTCCAGCTCGTTCGATCCAAACTGTTGGTGGTCCTTGCCCTCGGCAAATCGTTGCAACTGGTCGAGGGATGCCCTTGCCTTGACGCGGAACAGCGTCCAGTCGCTGCCAAAAATGTTCCAATCATCGTTGGCTCCCGGGCAGTTCCCTAACATTTCACATGTTTGTCTGACCGCCAGTTCGATATTTTCGAGAGCCTTTCCGGTATATGAAGGGCCCCGCGACCCTTTCTCACGTGTTTGAAGTCAGCTATCCGGAGAAGGCGCGCGGCTTCCTTGACCTCGCCTCTGAGAAGCGTGGTCCGGACAGTCGGCCAGTAAAGGCTGTGGCAAACTGGGTTGGGTTGGAGGTCCACCACATCGCGGAACTGGTCTGGATAGAGGTTGTGGCTTTTCGCCATCCAGTCGAACAAGACTTGCGGAAGCGGCACGCGTTTTCCCTCGTCGTATTCAGAGTCGGAGCGTGTGTGATGCATCCGAATTACCAGATTGGCGATGAATGCGGCCTTTTGAAGGGATCGGCGGACGGAGGCGGACCAATCTCAGCCGCATGTTCCTGCTCGGAATGCGGAAGGTCGTGTGCGTAGTCGTTCCAGATTTGCGTGAGCCCGATAGCCGCGACCCCCAACGAGTTGTCAAGCTTTTCAGCATCATCCTTTGCGCCGATTCCTTCGTCGTAGAGTCGGCTGACAATATCTTCCGTGTCGAGAATGAGGTCTGGTGTTTCATTGATGATGGCAGGCCCGGTGGTTCTGTAGTGTTCGCGGGAGGTGGCGTCGAACTGAAGGTTGACCTTGGGGCCGAGCGCCGATTTTCTCATAGACGAGGCGCGGAAGATATTTTCAGCCTCTCGTCGCGCCCGCTCGTCGGCCGCCGGGGTAGTGAGGACCATGAGGTCATCTTCCATATCGGAACCCTCGATAGTGTCGTGCGGTTCATCATGCATTGTCAGGAATGGGTCGTCGTCATCCTCAGCTTCGGCTTCCTCTTCCCCATCCTCGCTGGCTTCTTCTTCACTCTCATCCTCGCCCCGAATCTCACGGTTAATGTATCGCTCCACTTCTGCATCGAGCGCGCCATGACCCGACCTCCCGAAGGGAAGACGAACATCTTCCTCCTCATATTCCTCCTCTTCCTCTTCCTCTTCCTCTTCTCCCTCCTCTTCTTCATCGTAGTCTTCTTCTTCCTCTCCGTCCCCGTCTTCTTCTCCATCCTCTTCCTCACCGTCGGGGTCGTGGTCGGTATCTTCATCCTCCGAGTCGTCAAATTCGTCAAATGCTAGACGAAAGGTCCCGGCGGATTTCTTCGGCGGGCTTTCATTGTCGATACTTTCGGCGCGTATAGATTGGCTGAGCCCCGAAGGCCCTCGCTGACTTGTGCCACGTCCCGTCCGAGTCAATGGTGAATTACCCTTGCGCGCAAACAAATTTCTCCCCGTGGATCCAGAGCCGCCAGAGGAGAAATTAGAGGTCGCGGGCTTAGATCCTGTTAGGCCGCGCATCATCGAACTTCCTAGGTATGACGCAGACGGCGCGCCTGCAGGGGTGAATGAATTGGATGTCGAGGGGAGGGCCGGCTGGGGTTGTTGTCGGTTCACTGCCAAAAGAAAACTTCCCGTGGTTACGCGAGCTCCTATCTGGCGTCAGAGGATCGGGAGAGTCCCCGAAGGCTGTGAATCGGTTTGCCATGATAAATAGACTTCGAAGGAATCGTAGTAGGCGGAGAGGTGGGCCTCGATAATGTATTCAACGTCAGGCACGCGCTTCAGGATGTCTTCATTGAAACGCAAATGCTAGTCGATCAAGGTCGCGGGGGCGACGCCGCGAGGAACGCCGATTCGCCAAGCGTGTCGTAAACAAGCTAAAGTTTAATAAAAAAGGCAAGGCGGGGGAAGAGGAAATAAGAAATCACCTCAGTAGTTGAGGTAGAGTCAAGGGAATAAGCTCGAGAGTGAAAACACCCTACGTGACGAAAGCCCTTTCTTCGTTTCCCGTCGTGAGCTCAAAAACGCAGCCAGGACGACATCAAACAAAAATTTGGGAGCTGTTTGGCCAAGGCTTGAGTCGATGGAGAGCTTTCGGCCAATCAAAATTAGAGACCATTCTGCGTTGCCAGGTGCCAGTTTTGGGCGTTGCTCCCGCTCATGCCTGCCTCCACGGCAAGGATGAGTCAGCATTTGTTCGACCAAATTCGCCCCTCCATTCAAACAGCGAAGAGGTCTCATCCCGCATTGGTGCCCCGGCACAAGTTTGTGATTGAGAACTGAAATAGTGCATATGAGCTTCGCGATATAAACGAGCCAAGGCGGCCTTTTCAATGACAAATATAAAATACCATGCCTCGCTGTTTGCTAGCCCGGCCTAGGGTCCTCGCTCTACCCATTCTTCGTAGCTCGCTCCGCCTTCGATTTCGGACCTCGAGAGAGAGATAGCTGCGATAAACAATGTCGCTCTTTGCGCTCCGTGGAACCCGTCACGGAGGCCGTAGACAGCGCGTCTGGCTACATAAGATTATTGGAGAAAGGGCTCCCCACGGGGCTAATTCTGATGGAATCAAGCCCTTCACACTCGGGTGGATCAGCGACTTGAGTGAAATGCTATCCAGCGCGTGCGCCAAGATAGGGACAACTGGTGAATCATCAGAAACACGTGTATTACCACGACTACCCCATGCCAGGGCTCGCTATTCGTGAATTCGGAGACGAACACCCTTCGGACTTGGCAAGCGTTGTCCTCAGCTTGAATTCTTGTATTATCCCCATGAAGCTAGACGTTGACTACCCCGAGACTCTTGATTGGGAGCGAACACGATGGTGCTCCTTTTGACCAGGTCCCAGGTCTCCCATGTGTCCGGAAGTGCATTAGTCACAGCAACCTTCATCGCAACCTCACAGATTCCTGATGCAAAGTGCCGATAAGACGGGCAGGTAGACGGCGCTAAACAGGCGACCAAGCCTGATGCGGGGTGAGGGGTAAATCCGCGAAGTGGGTAATACAGCCAGATGGATGGAGGGCCGCTGCACACTTGCACAGCTATTAGATAACACTGGCTCACGCAATGGTGCGTCCCTCGGCGTGTTCGCAACCTCGACTGCCGCCTAGCCAAATGCCGAATGTCGAGCTTTGTCCTTTAACTCCCGCGATGTCGCTTCGGGCCAATTGTGCCTTCGCCGCGAGCCGGCTCAGCTGAAGCCATGATTGGTCCTGTGGCCAAGGACTCGTGCCACGAAACTTCGCTCAGCACCCTCTCTCCCTGGGAGGATCGGGGTCGTTTGCCGACAAGAGGAGCGCCCACACTCCCGATTGACCAGACCATGCCTTCCAATTCTAGCCCACCCCGCCTGGCTATCCACCCAAACGAAAAAAACTGGTGAAAGGTGACGGGTGCCCCGCAGGCGGAGAGCACCTTCCCCACCAGCTCAATACCTCAATACTCCCATATCTAATCTCAAGGTCGCGAGCTTCGAAACGTTGCTTCGAGGTTCTCTCTCCTACTTCATTCTTATTGTTCGATTGACCCAATTACCATTTTCACTTGGGGTTTAGACTATATTGAGGACCTTATTCCCGCATCTCCAAAATACTGCTCTTCAGCATCTTCATCCAATATCCTCGACAATAAGAGCAATGGCTGACACCGTTGGAAAGGTACGTCATGAATGATATTACCCCTCACAACAAACCCCTCCACATCAGCCCGGCCACAGCACAGCAACGCGACAGTCGTTGGAATAACGGGGGATGTGAAGAGAAGGGGGAAATCAATGCTTCCACGACCTATCGCACGTCAATACGATAATTCATTGCCAGCTAACTCGAGGAATAGACCATTACCTGCAAGGCTGCCGTCGCCTGGGAGGCCGGCAAGGAGCTGAGCATCGAAGACGTTGAGGTTGCCCCTCCTCGCGCCCACGAGGTCCGCATTCAGATCTACTACACTGGTGTCTGCCACACAGGTTAGTTTTCCAGCAGGCGGCACCCAATCAAAGAATGGGGGAGGAGTGAAATAGGAAATAAAAGAGCAGCGTTGGCTAATGTGGATTTGTACAGATGCTTATACCTTGTCCGGCAAGGACCCTGAGGGTGCTTTCCCCGTTATTCTCGGACACGAGGGTGCCGGTATTGTGGAGTCCGTCGGCGAGGGTGTTACCAATGTAAAGCCCGGCGATCACGTTGTTGCCCTCTAGTACGTCCCGTCGCCCGATTACCAGTTTCGGCCTTTTGCGGATACCCGTCCTTCCGCCGGCTCCTGTCCAGCAGGGTACTTTTTTTTATTTGGCAAGCTTCTTTTGAGGACTAACTCGTTTTCGCTTCTTATAGTACCCCGGAATGCAAGGAATGCAAGTTCTGCAAGTCTGGAAAGACGAACCTTTGCGGCAAGATCCGAGCTACCCAGGGTAAGGGTCAAATGCCCGACGGCACCTCTCGCTTCAAGTGCAAGGGCCAGGATCTCCTCCACTTCATGGGTACTTCTACCTTCTCCCAGTATACCGTTGTCGCCGACATCTCAGTCGTCGCTGTCCAACCCGAGGCCCCCATGGACCGCACTTGCTTGCTCGGCTGTGGTATCACCACCGGTTACGGTGCCGCTAGGGTTACTGCCAATGTTGAAGAGGGCTCCTCGGTCGCCATCTTCGGCGCGGGCTGCGTCGGCCTGTCGGTCGTTCAAGGCGCCGTTTTGAACAAGGCTGGCAAGATTATTGTCGTCGATGTCAACCCCACCAAGGAGGAGTGGTCCAAGAAGTTCGGCGCGACGGATTTCGTCAACCCCACCCAGCTCGGCAGCCAGTCTGTAGTGGACAAGCTTATCGAGCTAACCGACGGCGGATGCGACTACACCTTTGACTGCACCGGTAACGTGAGCGTCATGCGTGCTGCCCTTGAGGCTTGTCACAAGGGTTGGGGTCAGTCCATCATTATTGGCGTTGCCGCCGCTGGCCAGGAGATCTCCACTCGTCGTAAGTCATGCCAGGCGTATACCGCCCACCTCCCACCTCCCTACCATTTCCTCCTCGGCCCTGTCAGCGCTAACCGCATGACTTCTCAGCTTTCCAACTCGTCACCGGCCGCGTGTGGAAGGGTTCCGCTTTCGGCGGCATCAAGGGCCGCTCTCAGCTTCCTGGTCTTGTCGACGACTACTTGCAGGGCAAACTCAAGGTTGACGAGTTCATCACCCACCGCAAGACGCTTGATGAGATCAACAACGCTTTTGAGACCATGAAGCAGGGCGACTGCATCAGGGCTGTCGTCAACATGAGGGAGTAAGAAACGAATTGTATGAAATCGCGCCGATATTTTTCCTTTTCTGCCTTCTTTCTTCTTCTTCTTGTTTTTGGGATACACTGCATGCTGTCGGTTAATCCGGCCATAAGGCTCCGTTTAATATATTCGGAGACGGTACATAGGAGTAAAAATTAAAAAGAGGGACGTTTACTACAAGGGAAGAAAAGTCGCCGATAAAGGTCCTAGTTCTGAACACCCCCACCGAATACTGTAGTTATTCGGCCCGGCCGTTGATGCCATCCATGCCATCCATTTCCTACATGTAATTTTATGGACCGAAAACCGTGGTTCTCCCACAGAGAGCCCGACGCTTAGTGAGTGCGGAGCTGTCATGCTGCACCGCATCTATTGTAGCAACCTCCCCAGACCTTTCTTGTAGCAATAATAACTAGGTGCCGAGTCCGGCCCTTATCCCTGCCCGTACCTCCCCGCCGATCCCATCTTCTCTTTTTCCAAATCCCTCGTAGTAACCTGTTTTCCCCTTTCCTGAAGTCATGGTATGAGGGCGCTCTATGGGAGATATGCAGGCAGTCCACGACTTGCTAATGGAGCGAGCAGGCCAGGATGGTGTTGCGGCCGTATTAGCGTACGGCCGCCGAGGGCTAGAGTAACGTCTAGAATAGAAAGGGAAGGATAAAAGAAAAAAAAAGCGGAAAACTACCACGGACCGGGAGGAGCCTAGTCCGAAGTGGTGGCTGACGCTGACCTTATCGCGAAGAAGAAAAAAGAGACAGGTTCTCCATCGGGCAAGGAAAGGTAAGGTGGGGGAGGGAGGGGGTTCACGACATGGAGATTGAAAAGGCATTCACTACAGCTTAGAATAGTCTCGGCCAATTCGTGCCCTCAGAGATGGGGGACGAAGAATGGCGCCGAGAGCCAGCGTCGCACTAGGCACGCTGTTGGGCTTGTCGGGTATACCAGAGGGGTGCATTACACAAAAGGAAACGAAAAGCGAAAACAAAGAGATATCGGATGGGCAGGCCTAAACCGCCAAGTACGAAGTATCCTCGATTCATCTTGTGTTTGACGGCGAACGGAGGGAGTTGGCCGGAGGCGATTGGCGAGAGGAGTCCAGCTGGGGCAGCAAAGGGAAAAGAACGGCGCTACTAGATCTGGTGGGGCACGTCCGGGATCTCCTGCATATGGGACCACGATTCTGGGGTCTAGCCTGAGGGTCGCCTACCTCAACCCCTCTAATTGTTTCCTTGGTTGTTGAATCGAGTGACACCATCGGGCTGCTGGAAGTGGGAAGGGGGGCAGGGGGACTGGGGGTGCTCGCTGGGCAGCAAGGATCATTTACATCTCCAAGTGCTGGCGCTATTATGCGGACGGAGAGCATCGTGACCGCTCCTTGGCGTGGCGTGCGCCATTGCTCCGCAAAGGCAAAGGGGCGATTGGTTCAGAGGAGCCAACGGCGACAGTTGTCACTTTGAATGGAGAAAATCGGTGAGGGGTTCTCGCACAGGTGATAAATGACAAGCGCAAAATGGTCTTGGTGAGTTCTGACCGATACTCGTCTCTTCCGATGAAAAGAAAAGGTTCGCTGTCGCGCAAGCAAGGTTGAGCAGGGCGAGGGTTGTTTCGAGGTTAGTTTGAGGCAGAGGCTCCAGCCACCTGCGTGTAAAATGGGTTGGCGCGAAAGCGATTTGAAGGGTTCATGAAGTAATTTTAAGGGGTGGGATTCAAGGTTTGCATCGCTGCGCCAAGTACCTCCCGGTGGCGAGGGGAATGTCCGAGAGAAGCGGGAGACGACGGACAATTCTTTGTCGAAAGGAGCGAGTGAGGGATTGGGCCGCCCTAGCAGGTACAGCCCCGTCGTCCCTCGTGTGTTACCCCAAAACATTGAATGAAGGGTCAACGATCCCGAGCATCGATCCTTGGGAAGCTTCTAGATCGGACAGCCAAGGCGAAGCGTGAGACATCAGGGCGCCCGCCACTCCTCCTTACACGCTGACAAGCCAATCCCGGCCAAAGTTTGGAGGTGTTGGCGGATGAGCATGCTCTGACACTCTCTCGGGACGGATTCGTCTGAGATAATACCGAGAATGAATTCCTGCTCATACAAAGTTTACCTTTTTGATTCTCTTAGCCCCAATAAGATAAGTGATGGGCGGTTGGTCAGCCGGGTATGCCGTGGCTAGCAGGAGGAGGTCTGGAAGAACATCTCCGAAGATACGGCCTGATGGGATTAGGGGTGGACGGGGAGCGAGATAGTTCCGGCACCAAGATCCTGGGAGGGCACGGGAGGTTAGTGGACGGGATTTTAGTAATTCCGAAATGGGTGTCCAGGCCGGGCCCTTCCTGGCAGGCCATCCCCCAAAGTGGCAGATAATGATGCGAGGCAACCACTCAATGTTGGAATATTGATTGGCGTATTGGGGGAGTGGGGTTTTGAGGCTCCAAACCGAAACGCCTAACCTGACCCCTTGACTCTCAACCTATTATTGTTCAACAAGCCGTGAAGTCGGGACAGGCCTTGTTATTCAGACAATATTGACTTGGAATGCCAGATCAGCTCGTCTCATGGGGCTGCATTTCCGTGGGTGACATGCTTGTTGGGTTTGGGTTTGGCGTTGGGTTTGGCACAGCACTTGCACTTGCACCCTCCAGTCCGCAGAAGTTACTCGCATGTACCCTGAGCAGCCAGGTGAGCCCAATCTCTTGCATCAGGGCTAGTGATATGATAGTGGTCGTGATCATCGGCCCCCTTTCCCTGCAGAGTTGAGCCTACTGCATCTAACCCATTACTGTTTCCCCATGCCTGTACACCCATCGGGGACTTTGAGCTGGCTCTGCTGGGTGTGTGGTTCTTTGCGTGTAGGTACCCTCTCCTCTCTCATCAGCATCCTTCCTACAAGTATTGCTTTTCTTTCAAAACAGAGGGGATGGGTGGAGAAGGGGCTTCAAATTAGGACGGTGAGTGATGGAGGGTAAGAGGTGAAGAGAAGGTGTGACGGCAGGTCACTCACCACGACACCACGACAAGGGTGGGCGGCCGAGACGAGAAGGTGGCGCATGGGGTTCAATAAATGGCGACGGGGTCCGGTGCCGCCGCATACGAGGCGGGCAAAAGCGGACGAGCGATTGCCGGAAATCGAGAACCAGACAGCCTGTCGATCTTGGGGTCATCTGGATGAAGAAGCGGCTTGCCGGTTCCTTTTCTCTTCTCTCCCACTCCTTTTCCTTCTTCGCCCTCCATTTTTATCCTTCTCCTTTTTTTTTTTTTTTTTTGGTTTGGTTTGGTTTGGCTATATTCGCGAATTGCCCGCTCGGTTCCTGGACCTTGCGCATCGAAAGCAGCGCGGGTGATTGGTAGTCCCTGCGTATCAGATCAGGCATTGCGGCATATTCTGCTGGGGTTGTAAATATTCCGAGTCATGATCAAAAGTGCGCCTTCCGGAATTGAGGGCTTCCATTCTGCCATTTCCTCCCAATTTAATCATGGGTTGTTCCTTCCTTTACTCAAGGATGACAAAACGATACTATTTGTAAAGTGGGCCGAGCATGAGAGAATCAAAGGGGGTTTTAGGGTGATAGATAGAACGACGATGGATCCATCTCATCTCAATGTTCTCATTAAACATCTTGGGTTGATCAACAGAGTTGGCCATGAACTCTCTTTCAGCAGCTACTCAATGATACAGAAGAAGGAGGGATTAGCATGTCTGAGCAGTGTATCACGCTCCTGTCTGATCCAACAGTCAAAAGTCCGTCTTCCCACGACATGGCAATAAAAATCCTAAACACTAGGTTCGCTCCACGCACGGATTGGCGGATTAGCGCCTACAACATTTTAGCGGCAGCATCGCTAAAGAGAAAATCGGCCGGTCATCAACAAACTGGGCACAGACGATCATCTGGGGACCGACGAAGCCAGGAAGTGCAGGAAGTGGGGCGCAAGACGGTTCTCCAGGGAGCCCACCTGCTGTGTCGTGGGAAAATGCCCCGAGGATACCAAGAGACTTGATCAATCAATCATCAGGCGAGGATCGTGACAGCCTCGAATGCCTCCAAGATTTTATTTTGTCAACCCTCGCTGACCTCTATCCCCGAGATTGATTCTTGCATTTGCTCTATTTTAGAGAGAGCCGTGTTCATTTTAGTCACTAAAAAGGCGTAACATCGTTGTCATCGCCGACCCCGGCTTCCGGCCCACGAAGCGGGCTCCTGTTCCCTTCCTTGGCTATTCAAAATGTCACACCTATGACAGCATCATCGCTAACCCGTCAGAATTGGAAAAGAACAAACCGCTCATAAGGGTCTTGGTCATTCTTCCGTCGTACCACTATAGGTTTCTCCGTGTCGCCTGCCAAGTCCGCCACTGCAAAGAGCCCCTTCAATCCTCGAAATCTTTTAACCTCAATTTGGCAGCCTTCCCCAGCTACTGAAATTAGGGGCTGGCTTTCGCTGACCTGACGTGCGCTGGTTGTCCTTCCGTGATTTCCCAGAGTGCTTGCACAATCAACGCCCGTCTTTCCGGAGCACCTCTTCACCCTGCGCTGCAGGGTGAAAGCGAGCGGTGAGGGCTACAACTTGCGGGCGCCTCCAAAGATCGCTCTTAGAGGGCCGACTTCCGGCCTGGCATAGTCGCAGCTCTAGCAGATTATTGGTATCGGGCTGTATGTAGGCTATACGCTGGATGGTATGGGACGGTACGGTACTCCGTGCATTTTGTGTGAACCGTCCCAAGGTCCAATCGCAATCTCCCTTCCTATCGGTCGACCGGCTTGTTGGGTCCTTGGTCCTGGTCGTCCCGGCCATTCCCCAGTGGTAATTCTACTTGTATAGCCGTGGAAGTTTGATGAGACAACGGCGACGGCCACATTCCTTGACAGCGCTATCCTGGTGGTTTTCTTCTCCGGTTCTCTTCTGACTGGCCGTTTAGTGAGAAAGGGTCAATTCCCGTGAGGCAGTCAGGCTATTGATACCTAGTATTGCAGAGGATTCTAGGCTGACAAATTTCATTCCCCCGATGCTGGTGTCTAGGCACTCGTTTATCCAAAGTCACTTACTTGCAAAGTTCTTTGTTAATCTAGAAGCGTCTAGTAGCATCGCCAACTTACCAAGTCGTTGACTTTGAGGGCAGAATACATCCATTTGAGTGTCAAGTAGTGTCAAGTGTGGGAATTTGAACCTAAGAGCACAGTATACCTCGTGTCAATCAACGTTGGAATGATTGCTCGATCGGATCGGGAACGAACCGGTGCTCGCTAGCCTCGGGCTGGGTTGTCTTGGAATGGAGTACCTCTCCTTGCTCCTTGACTGCTGGCCCGCCACTGACCGCCGATTCGCGCAGGGCCGGGAGCCGTCTCGACTGGCCCTCTTGATTTCCCGTCTCCATTTGACAATGGGAAGTGGGAGGACCTCGTCTCGAAGCAGAATGTTCACGAGCCAGCAACTGGAGCGAGCCTTTCGATTCCTCTTCTGGCTCTCTCCTCTCTGGCTGGTCCCTTCAGGCAGGCTCACGTGCGAGATTGCTACCCGCCTTGCTGCCGAAAGCCACTGCACCCTTGGCTTGCCTTGCATCCACCCCCACTATCCTTGGGTCCTTGGGTGGACGGGGGTGGGTGTACGCCTAGCTAGCCTCGCCTAACCCAACGCCTAATCCTGCAAGGGAAGTGTCGCCTCGGTTTTGTACTGTGACCCCAAAAACCAAGCCACGGTAGCATTACTAGACACTAATAAACTCGTCGACTCATCCGGAAGAGCATTCTGTTGCGTCAGCCTTCCTGAATTCCTGTTACCACCCCCTTGAACTGGACTTGTCACTCCGTACCCCCGGTTTGGACATTAGGCCCAGTCACTGCCTCCATGAACACGTCGGCGTGGCCATGAGGAGGCCGAGGACTTTGCACAAGTGTCTCCCTGGGGCCCGATCTGGGCACCTCACTATTTAGTACATGCTCTCCGCTCGCCTCCCGAGTTTCTCTCTCGCTCCTCCCTCTTTTACTTTCTTCCCATCTCGGCTTCCTTCTTCTCTGACTCATTACAAATCAGCGACCTTTCTCCAGGACTTCAGGCTCCATAAAACCCGACCTCAAGCCACTCCCCCTTCGTCTCCTCTCTTCACCTTTTAACCACACTCGACTCCTTCGCAAATTATTGGCTTTTGCTTGCTACCTCTTTTCGGTGCCTGACTTATACCGAACCGTCTATCGACCTGTGGTAACCTCGGATTCCTCGGGACAAACACACAGGAGCGCAGACTCGATTCTTGCACGAGAACTTGAACGTCCACACACGCTTTCGTTATTCGACACATCATGGCTCCCAGGAAGAACCGCTGCAACTTCAAGGAGTGCCCCTCCGCTGCCCAGCGCATCGTCGGTGACTGCGGCTTTTGCCGGGGCCACTTTGCAGCAAGCACCGCCTGCTCGAGGACCACAAGTGCGACGGCCTTGAAGACGTAGGTTGCCCTGATTTTGATTTGGCCCAGCTCAGCGCCGCCTTGTCCACGCCCACCCGCCGGCTCTGTTCGCCGACACGGGGCCCCAGTGGTGGCTAGTGGGGCTTTGCGATACCTTTGCAAGTGACGAGTTGGCTGACTTAGTATGCTCCAGTGCAAAAAGCAATCCCACGAGCGAAATGCCGCACAGCTCCAAAGCGAGCGCACCCAGGTCATTAAGGGTGTATAATGAAGACTACGATGATGACGACGACGATGAACTAGCATCGACTGGCTCGTCCTCTCCCGACACAGTAATGGGTGGCTCCTGAAACGACCCCCGCATCATCCTCTTACCACACAGCGCAGGCCGAGCCGAAGCGATTTTTGGCATCGGGTGGGACTATACGTTCGGCGGAAATCCATGAGCCCCTAAGCTCTGCTCCCGGACCCTCAAATCCGAGTCGACTGAAAGAGCCAGTCTTTGAAGAAGCTCGACGTCACCAATCACCAACCATCATGTACGCGACCATCTTAGAAAGGCGGGCTACACATATTCCGTAGCCTTCTCACGAGAGATCGCTCCTCCGAAGCGGGCGAGCTAGGGACTGGCAACTAGGGCGACATTGCCCTCGCCTCCCCTCGCCCCGCGACCTTGTATTATTAGATTTCCTTTTCTCTCAGTTCCTTTTTTCTTCCTTTTCTTAACGAAGAAGGCAGTCGAATCTGCCTTTGTACGTGGCACGGCGTCCAGGGCATCGTTTCCACTTAAACACATTAATGAATCATCATCTTGTTTATTCTCCTTCTATTCACCATACCACCTCTTGCTTAGTCCCTTCCTGAGCATAGCGTCCAGTGCTTCTGACAACCTTGTACATATGTTGGGCCGACAACGGCTTGTGTATACCATTGAACCTTGAACATCAACCATTTTTTGGGGCAAGTCATGCTGCCTCATTCCAAGTTTACACCCAGGCCCGTCGATAAGTTTCGCAGCGTAGCTTGATCGTTTGAAGAGTTAGTGCGACCAAAGGCACGCTTACAGAACCGGCTGGTTCTCATAATACTCAGTTGGCGGTCTATAACCTACATGTAGGCTTCGAACCCTCGAACCCTCAAACTCCCAAACTCCCAAACTTAGTGCTAAACCCGTTATTTCTATCATCGTGTAGGCTCTCAGTGGTGGAGTGCAATATCATCCGCATATGGAGGCCTCGAGAATGGCTTCCATTTTCACCGATGTCGCATCACCAATTCGGACTCACCGCTCTTGGTAGCGACTTGGCCGATCTGCCCAACAGATTCGTAAAGACTGGGGTAGGAATTCCTCATAAACCCCCATTTTAGTACATGCCGCGCCCGCCCACCCACCATCCCATCATCTACCCATGCCCATGTCCGTCCCGTCGAATGCTGGCTCATGCCCAATGCTCCAGACCGCCTTGGACTCCATGAGCTCGTCTCGTCCACATCACGCGTCACATGTGATCAGGTGAGTCGAACTGTTTAGGCAGACCAAAATTACCACAGCGGACAATGGATCTCTTTCAAATCTGGGATCCTCGATGTTGACAATGGTGATATTTGTTTATTTCCCGCCGCCACAACGTAGAGTGCTATTGAGGCCAAGAAAAAAAAGTTTCCTCTTTGCCACAAGAGACGGGAAAAAGAAGAAACAAAAAAATCAAAAACGCCACGCTAGATGCACACATGCTTGTGACTTGCATCAAATTAACAAGCTTGTACCGTCCATGTCGGGCAAAGGGGGCGGGAAATCGGGGATATACTGGAGTTAGCGGAGTGGGAGTGGGTGGTTCAGCTCGATTTGCCTTGGCTGGGCATCGCTTGTAGATTTCCCGTATCCGTATCCTCGACTCCATTTTCTACTATAATACAAGACGCTCTCGAAATTGGCCGGAGCCCGGAGCGGTCTGCCAATCTGCGGCAATTTGCCCGCCAGACTTGTTATATGCCCGGGTATCCTTGCCGAAAGGGAATCAAGGAGAGTCTTGTCCTCAAGGTTTCTCCTTGCTTTGTAATATTGGCATATGAAATTTCTCCCTTTGCGCAGAGGCGCAAAGAAACAGATGGTGGCGAATTCTTTCGCCTCATCTCGTTCCTTTCCGGAAGATTCTATGGAGAGTCCCGGGACCACTTAATTTCCGCCGTTATTTATGGACATGTCCTCAATCCATACGCTAACCTCTCGGCGGCTAATCCCCGCACTAAAACGGAAGTTGGAAGTTTGATCAATGGCAGCCGATGAGGAAGCCTTGGGAGGACATCAATATCATAGGTTGGATAAAGTATCGTCAAGGGGTCTTTCTGGTCTGTTCCAGCGGTGCTCAGTGTACATGTAACATTAGGTATCGTAACAACTTCAATGTTGGTGGTATATCTAGCCATTTCACCTCAGGCTTCTCCTTGTCCGGCCGCCTCTCCTTCGCGCCTCGCTAGGATGCGCTATGGAAGGTGTCCCTGGAGGACTTATTGATGCAGCGGTAGGCTTGACATCTTGTAGGTTGGCGAGATTCTCCCTGGCGTCGTCTTCCGAGACCTCCATCTTGACACGATGCGCCAATCTCCCGTTCGTCATCTTCCGCTCAGACTCCTCGCCATACTCGTCCTCATCTTCCTTCTTCACCGCTACGCTCGGCTTTACCTCATCCATGATCCCGTCCTTGACCTCTTCCTTGGTCTCCTCTGTCTTCAGATCGTCCCCCTCATCGATCTTGATCTTGGCCTCCACTTTCTCGACCTTGAGATCCATACCTGCCCGCGCCTTCCTGCCCTCTGCGACCTTGCCCCTATCCGCGGCCTTGCACAAGCCATTGAGCCCCAGGTCACACCGGCCGCATTTCCTCCCTACAGGTAGGCACACGGCCTGCCCGAACCCTACCAGTAGCCAATTAATCTGCCGCCACTTGTCGCGCGGCAGCCATGACTGAAGGGCCAGGCGGGTTTCTTCAGGGTTGCGCGTCTTGTTCCATCCCCAGAGGTTGGTGATGCGGTGAACGTGGACGTCCACGCCGATGCCCTCGGTGCGGTTCCAGGCCACGGACATGCATAGGTGAGCCATCTTGGGGCCGACGCCAGGGAGGGATACCAGGCCTTCGATAGTGTCGGGGATGTCACCATTCCATTTATCCCGGAGAATCTCGGCGGCTTGCTTGAGATATCTACATATAGGCGAGGTTATATTAGCTACTACCGCCCTATCTATAGAGAAGAACATCAGTGGCATCAGGGGTGAGGGTGGGGGACAAACGTACTTGGTCTTGTTGTTGTGGAAGCCGACGGCCCAGATGAATTGGTTGAGTAGATTGGGCTCCACCGCGAGCATGTTCTCCAGGTTCAGCCCCGGCGGGGCACCCTCTCGGTATGGCGGGAGCTCTGTCTTGAGCTTCGCCATCACCACAGCATTCGTCGTATCCTTTGTCTGGCTCGACAGCATCAGAGACACTAGGGTATGGAATCGCTGATCACGGGGGCTAGCGTTGGGGTCGGCCAGGCGCTCGCACCCCATAGTATCAACCGCGGCGTTGGAAGCCACCCCGCCGGGCTGGCGCATGGCGAGAACCGTATTGTACATTTCCTCCCAGTCGGACGGTGGCGATACGGTCGTCTCCCGGTCTCGGGGTCCTGAGTTTTACGTGCGGGTTTTCGCGCTCGGCGGGGTGGGTTCCGCGCAGACGACTCTTTCGTGGGCGAGGAGAGGGCGGTCGAGGATTCGTCCGTGGCGGGCTCGACCTTGGCGACGACGAGATCGCTGCCACCGTCCCGGGCTGTGAGCCTCCTGCGTTTGCGGGAGACTGTCGTGACGGCATCTTCGATGTCGGAACCGAGGCGCAAATCGGGCTCGCCCTCCTCTTTCAGAGTCGAGCGGATGGCTGCTTTCGTATCGGCGTCGGCGCCGTAGGAAAACTTGGAAAGCGATGCGCGGGTGATGCGGCGGGTGGGCTGCTGGGAGGAGGCGCTCGGGGCCGCGAAAAGCGGGAGGTCTCCCGTGTGGCTCTTTGTGCAGGCATGGCAAAGAAACGAAACCTACTGAGCATAAACAAAGAAGAAAGAGAAGAATGACTGAGAGCACAGCATTTAAAACTGCTGATAACACAGAGGAGGATTGATCGACCCCCTGGGAGAAAGGCACCTTGGAGTTCACGGGGTATCGGGTGTCGAGAAATTGTGTGCAGGACAAATTGGTCTTCCCAAAAAAGGGTCCATCAATGGCGTTTCCCCAGAACCAGGCACAGACGCGCCCCAGGTGTACGAAACGTCTCTGCCGTCCAGGCGATTGATGAAATAGGTCTGCTGTGATAGGCCAGAACTCCGAGCACCCGCTGGACGTGGTTGCAATTGTCTTGTCTGTCCCAAAGTGGCTTGATTGCCTGCCTGGCGACTGGCGACTGGCTAGGATTTCCAGCTCGCCACTGCTGTCTTCTCCCCCAATCAACGTCCCGCGCTCGTTTACCAATGATATCCCGGTTCCGGGGACTTGGAACTGGTGTGGGATGCAGCCGGTACGTTGCTGCCTGTGAGGCATGCTGGCATCTCCAGGCGTCAAACAAGCCGTGGGGAAGAGCAATTGATTCTTCATTGAGTCGAGAGACAAGACTTGAGATTTAGAATCGTGTACGCCACAGCCTTCAAATTCTTTAGGCCCACGCCTCCCTGCCGCATGTTGGACGACTAAGCAGATTTTACTTGCAGAGGACAGACAAGTAGAACCATTACACCAGGGTTCTTTCCATCTTCTAGCCCATCGTGGAGCGGACACATCTAGGCTTTGTCTACCTCGATACGCCTTGATCAAACATAACAGCAGCCTTGGATTTTTCCGTGGAAGGCCAACTTAGGGAAACAAGAGACCAGTGATGACTACATGTACCTCGGCTAAGGGCGTGATTTTCGATACATACGAGGGGAGAAAGATGGGGAGAGAGAGAAACGAGAAAGGCTGGTAGTTTACACCTCACAAACAATAAATCACAATTTGAACTACATGTAGATGATGGAATTCAGGATAACAAGATTAATTTTACATTTTGCATGTACAAACGGCGTTTTTACTACGTATTCACATACCCTAAGATTAAAAATGACATTATCTCGCGTGGTATCGCACAAAAGGTTTGTATTGGTGATTCCCATTCCATTGCAAGTAAAGTAGATGGCCCTTATTCCTCAGAGCCTCGCCGCAGGTGAAGATAAACCTGGCCATATACGATAGCCTGGTCCTTGGCCAGCCTATCTCCCTCGCCCTTGATTCCGGCCTGAACGCCGCCCAGGCCCTTGAAGACGACAAACCTGTGGAGCACGTCGGACGCGACAGGGCTCTTGTCGCTCTCCGCATCCACAAAGAGAAGCGCCGTGATGAGAATCTCGGCAACGACCCAGAGAATCTGCCTCGCCTCGCTCATGAGCTGCTCCTGCGTCTCCGCCGCGAACCGGGCCTTGATCGCCTTCCACGCCTGCAGCGGCTTCCAGTTGCCAAGCCGAGAATCGCCTTCCATGGATGCGATGCCGGCGTTTTCCAAAAGCTGTCGAGCGCGTCGATGCAATCTTGGCCGCCGTTCGGGTGCTTCACCGCGCGGATAAAGTCGGTGGACAAGACATCAGTGGTGCCCTCCCAGATGGATAAGACGCAGCAATCACGGTACAGCTTGGAAATGTTGAGGTATTCCTGCTCCTCGTTGTTCAGGTATCCGACGCCTCCCAAGGATTCCATGCAAGCGTAGAGTTGCGTGATGGAGTTCTTGCACACGTAGCCCTTGGCGACCTGCGAGATGACGCGGAGAAGGGGCGAGACGTGCTTGGGCTCCGGGGTGATCTTCTTCAGCGCTTCGCTGAGCTCGACGGCAGGAACCGCCTGTTCTTCGAGACCCAGGGTATAGGCCGATAGCATGGACAAGTGCATGAGGCCCTGGTACTCTGCCGCGATGTTGGCCAGAGTGCGCATGTGGAGAGGGCTCTCGGAGAGGACCATCCGTCGGCCGCGACCCGCGCCCACGGAGCGGACCTTGGCATAGGCCTTGGCCACGCCGAACCCCCTCCCGAGGAACCCCACGCCGCTCACGGCGGAGTAGATTCGCGTAATGTTCAATATCGTGCTGATTTGATGAATCCCCTTGCCCTCGGCGCCGAGCAGCCACCCACGCATACCATTAAGCTCGAGCTCGGCCGTCGGCAGAGATTGCGTGCCAAACTTGTTCTTGAGACGCGAGATGCGGATCCCGTTGAGCTCGGTGCCCTCATCCCCGAGGCGTCGTCCCGTGATGCTCTTGGCCTCGGGGTTGGACCTCCGCATCGGCGCGTAGAATGCGCTGAGGCCCTTGGGCGTCTTGGCCAGCAGCACCGTCATGTTGGAGTCGGTGGCGCTGGAGAACCACTTGAAGCCCGACAGCGACCACGGCCCGAGAGCCACTCCTTCCTTGACGCTGGCCCATCCGGCGGCGCGGGACGGGTCGAGCGTCGCGAGGGTTTCGGTGAGGGACACGTCGCTGCCGCCCGTCCTCTCCGTCATCCACTGGCCGCTTGTCCAGCCGACGCGGGGTCCCGGGAGAGCAGGTGGTCGACGGCGTTTTGGAAGACCTGGCGCCTCTCGTCGTCGAGCTTGGGGTTGGCGAGGTGGACTTGGAGGAGGCGGAGGGCGCCGTCGTGCATGGCGGACGGGCACGTTACTAAGCTTGCGGAGGGTGTCCAGAGGTGGATCCTGGAATGTTTGTGAGCTCGACTGGGTTGCGCGCCTCGTGGATTGACTGTGCGTCGGTGACTGGGAAAGGCGCGAAACGTCCATACCTTAGAAACTGAACTACCCGAGAGTAGGCACCGTCTTCCTTGCCATAGCCGACGGCAACGATTCTACAAGACGAGATTTAGCCCATGCTCGACTCGCCACCACCAATACCGCTGACGACGGGAACACGGCTTCCTCATGCCATTTGTGGCATTTGGAGAGAATCGCCGTAAATAGGCTTCTTACCCTTTCTCAATTCCAAACTCTTGGAGTTTCCTCCATCCCTCGCCGACGATGAGGTCCCCTTCCACTTGCCGAAAGCATCCCGGCCGCTTCCTTGAGGTACGGCTTATTCGTCTCCGAATCCGTAATCCAGTTGAAGATTTGGTCCGAGATGACCTCCTCGCCCAAGTTCTCAATCTCAGAGGCGTTCCTATTAGCTACTTGCTGGGGAAGAAACACTTTGAGCCGCCCCGAAATAACGGATATTGATTAGCATGAGTAGCTATGTTTGTGTCTATAAAAGACATCCATGGATAGATCCGTTGATGGCACCAGCCAATGGCGTGGAAACCACTAGAGATACTGAGAGGTAGAGGACGCACATTTAAACGCTCGCTGGAACACTACATCGTCGTGAAACTGGTTCACTAGCACTGGCGCTTCTTGGAAGAAGCCCTGGTCACTTGATGACGCCTTCATCGTTCTAGGATATGTTATGGAGAGGACGGAACAACAGGCGACGGTCAATTGTTCTTTAAAAAAAATCGAACAGTGGGTAAGGGAGGAAAGTTAGGGAGTGAATCTGGTGCGAGGAGTGTGAGGTGATCGATCTGTGAACGTATAGCTCAATCATCGAATCCGCGTTGTTGGGGAATTCGCCCTTGATCAAGTCCAGACCCCGCCGGCTGGTTCCCCAGATGCCTCGGAACTGAGTAAATCTCCGGCGGGGAACCCAAGAATGGAATGGATCCATGTGACAGGTTCGCCCCATTTGTTCGGATGCGGGATAGTGTCGCGGGCTTCGGCCCCGGTCGCGAACCCCGGCTTTCGTTTGCCGACAGCTCTACGTGGAAGGGAATTCAAAATTTCATGTTTGTACGAAGCTTGATTAATTCTTATTACAATGGATATCTGCTTTAAAACCTTCCGTTAAATCTTTGCGGCATCCTACGGGCTGTGTAGCCTGGCCGAAAACAGACATTCCAGCCAACATTGATGGATCCATCAATTGGTACATGTACATTGCGAACAGCGCCAGGCCAGGGGACTCCGTCAACAACATTGAAGAGATTTGGACGGTTCGGCAGGACCGCTAACACGCACAAGGGAGCACCAAGAGCTTTTGAACTTTACTTTGGCCATGAACAGCTTGAGAAAAGGGGGTTTTATTAGGAGTCTGGTTTAGACTATACAATATGGCAAGATTTCAATCCCCCAAACAACTCCAGCTGTCGATTCAGCGTCTGGAGGCAAAATCCAAGGGAGGGTGGTGTTAAAAGGAACGTCATTGTGCAATTAGGCGGCCAGCCCTTGTTATAAAAGAACAACATGCTTCGACATGAAATTGGGAGAGAAAAAAACAAGCAACTTGGCCTCCAAAAACAAAGGGGTATGTAATCATAGTGTATGTGGTATCTTCATAATCTGGTCTTGGGTATTATGGGGTGTGTAGGTTCAAAAATGAACGGAGTGAATAGCTCTTAAACGGCTTTCTCTAGGGGAAAAAAGAACAACTACTCTTCGCGGGCATGATATCGTAGAGAGATGCAACGGCGACGGTCGCACAAATGAATCCGGCAAGGCCCACCTTGGTGCCCATCGCCTTCCGCTCATCCAATCGAGCGTACGAGGCTGCGATAAGAAAGATGATCAAACGACATTGGGCACGGGCGACTTGAGCCAGACAGGCCTAACAGGCACTTAGACGCGGTGGTGGCGGCGGTACCAGGCACGGCGGGGAGGAGCGGCAGCGACGGCAGCGCGGCGCTCGCGGCGGCGGTTCCACCAGATGCCGACAAAGGCGGAGACAAGGAAGCAGATGGCGAGGATGAAGGAGAAGGCGATGTTGGCCTTGAACTTGCCGCACATGTCTCCCTCGGGGGCGACATTGTTCCAGTTGAAGATGTAGCCACAGCTGTCGCCGATGAACTGGTTTGGAGAAGACGCGTTAGGCCCAACTTCTAGCGAACGAGCTCATGTCCTTAAGGACAAGCCTAGTTTTGGGAGGGAGAGAAGAACTTACATGAACGAGGAGACCAAACGAGACAAACCAGCAAACGGACAGGAAGAAGTCCCAGGGGTAGTGGATGAAGCTGCTCGAGAAGGGAATCAAGAAGATGAAGGCGGTGATGATGGAAAGGGCGGCGATAACTTCGGTGTAGATGAAGCGACCGAGGCCGGGCGTGTAGTCGTTGGACTTGTGGAGCACCCAACCCGTGATACCAGCCACGACGGCGGCGAAGGCGAGCTCGGCGGCTCTCAAGATGATGTTAAAGAGTCCTGGAATCATTGTGGGCGACTATCTATCTCCTGTCTTGGGAAAATGCGGTATAGGCAAATGGCAAACAGCGTTAGATTCGAGGTGGGAAAGAAGGGATTGGTCGGACCTAGGTCTCCTGTTGACGATGTGCAGCGAATACTGATGGTTGATTCACAAAGGGGATGTGGAATAGTGTTTGTTGGTAGGGCTGGATGGAGGAAGATATCACTATTTATCAACGCCGACTCTGCACAGATCCTCACACCGCACAATCCTGCTCGAAACAAGAATCTTGGGGCTCGGCTTCACGGCAGCAAGGCTAAGGAGCGGTAACGTCACGATGCTCGCGCCCTAAAGATTGCTTCTTGCTAATCAATCTTGGAGAGCGGCTAGATCGGGTCTCCCAAGGTTGTTCCCCTTGTTCCCCTCCCCCTTTCTTCAAGTCACTTGCTCGTCCCTCTCGCAGCCGGCCGATACCGTTCACCATTGTGGCAGCCCAACCACGGTAACGGGTACCTATTGACCCTTGCCATCCAACTAACACATTGGATCGACGAGATGGAGATGGGCTCGTCGTCGTTCTCGCACCCTGGAGAGCCACGGCCTGGATCCTCCTGCCACACGATCCCTGCCCAGTCGAGAGTAAATGGTGGCCAAACACGTAATGGCTGGCTGCTGCCGACAATATGAGTGGCTGGAGAGCAGGGTTGGCAGAGGGAGCCGACAGAGGGTTATGCAACCATTCCCCTCGCCTTGAATGACCATGAGGGTGTGAAGTGTTTCGGATGGAACACTCGCGTCTGGCAACGAATCGCCGAATCGAGCATACGCCCGTAATAACCAAAGGGCCTTGCGTAGTACGGCTCGCCGCGGGCAAGAAATCATGGGAAACCCTGCGCTGTATTTTTCTTTCTGCCATTTTCTTTTTTTGCCACACATACAATGGGGTGATTGGGCAGGCCGCACAGTCCCCAAGAAGCCGTGATGTCATGATTGAAGCTCTGGAGTGACGAGTTACAGGGATCCCTTGACTTGGCAGGAAGCCAATCAAGTCCCCCAAAGCTCTCTTAGCGAAGAGACCAACCTCGATGCTTGCTTTCGGTTGGAAGAATAGCTCCTGAGCAAGAAGAGAAGGAACTTGAACACTTGCATTTTTTTACTCCATTTCTAAGAGTCCAAGGACCAGCCAAGGGGGCCGGGGGCACTAGACCATGGACCATGGAGGGATCCATGGATATGAGCTTGAGGTTGTTCAAGTGACATGGCGACCTGCGATTTGTTCGGCTTGTCAGGCCTAGATTCTACGCGGTTCTAAGTAGTACACCACCATCCAAGGCCAGGAACGGCCTCAATGCAGAATGTGCCCTTTCCATTGATCGTTCTTCCCCAGCCTAACCTCTCCCCAACTGCCTGAGAATGTAACTAGTCCCTTCGAGACCAGTTCGGGTGAGTGCAACCGACCATGTCAAGTCAACGGAAGATTCAACCACTAGCATCTAAAAAGATCATGATGAAGAGAGAGAAGAAAATAGATTTGTGAAACAGTGGTGCGGCGCAGCCGGCTCACAAAGACTTTGGGCAATCGAAGAGTGTGCTGCCCTGCCTGTTTGAACTATCATGATTCATAGAATCAAATGATATTGGGTAGATAGTATTAACAAAATTGGGAGGAAACCTACATGTACCCTCGTACCCTCTTGAAGCGGCACTAAGAACCCAAAGCGGGTCTAGAGGAGAAGAGAGACGAAGGGAAAAAGAAGAAAAAGAAAAAGAAAGAAACAAAACAAAAGAAAACGGCCTTCGCTGTGCTCTCGAGAGAAAATGACGTCGTGTGACGCAAGGTGGAAGGCGTGACCCTGGCCCAGCAAGCGAAAGCTGCCAATTGAATGGAAAGAAAAAAGTGAGAAGGGGCACTGTGTGGGTGTCCTGTTGTTAGTCAGGCTTGCGAAGTGTCGGCTTGCACCGAGCGAGCTTGTCCAACTTGGGGACAGTGCGCAGGTCCAAACAAGAAAACCCATCACGGCCACGATCTGCGGCCTCTCACCGGGGATGACTTTGAAGCTTCATCGCCTAAGCCGAATCTCTTCTCCGCACCATTAATTTATGCACTCTCTCTAGCGTGAACGCATCTTCTGGATGGCCGGGACTGTGACTGGGGACGGGCGGAAGTCGTCGGCTGGTTCTATCCTGACGCTTTGCGGTTGCGTCGATCGAGATTCGACAAAATGACGACAATCAAGCGTGAGGATGTGGGGAGGGTGTGGAAGCTTGAGTGGTTTCTCTCTCTCTGATTCGCTGCCCAGGCAAGCCACAGGCCATGGTCTTATTCTGGTGTTGCAGGTTTTTCTTTCTTCCCCATGCCTTGCCGTGTTTGCGCCTGGTCGAGCAAAGAGGCACAAAGCTTTTCATCTTTCTCCAGAGGTAGAGAGTGCGGGTGCCCATGCCCAGCAAGCTTTTTGCACGCCATCTCCCGCTTCCAATGTTTTCGGTTCCCGACCTTTGAGACCAACGAGGTTTAAACCCGAAAGAGAGATTGATGGCCGAAGCCAAGGCTCATGCAAGGTCTTGCTCATTAGCATCAGGCTAATGAGCAAAGACGAAGTGGATCAAAGAAAAGAAAAGTGGGTGCTTGAATAGCTCCAATTTTAAGGTTACCCCCATCATCGTGGCACTGCTGCAAACTTGAAGTTGTCGCGGACGCCGGACTCTAGGTGGAGGTGGGCCAAGGTCGACTTTTGTCCATGATCCCACGTCATGTTCTCCTGGGGCCCCCTCCCCTGCCCAATTGAAGCCCCACGCAGGCTCCCCTGGCGGGACGGGGAAAAAATGCGCTGGTTTCAGTGTCCCTGGCCAAAGCCGTGAAAGGCACGCACGCTTGCTCTGAGACCGGTTGATTCACTCGAGAGAGCCAGTCGCGAGGTCACCAGCCCCACTTGGACCATCCTGGCCTGCCGAACGCGTGGCTCAAGCTAACATGGCTTTTGATCCTCTGACTAACAAGTCGTAGTTTTGTAATGATGCGGCATTGACGTTTGTGCGGCGCCACGAAAGGCGCGTACTCCATCCAGGAAGCGTCATAGCCTCTTGCCTTCTCCACACCGTGGGCCCAGTCAGCATAGGGCATTGCTGAGGCTCCCAAGACTACTGGGTAAACGAAGGGGGCGTCTCCATACTGAGTACTGGGCTGGCCATACATTGCCATCAATGATCCAAGCTCTTACGTTTGCTCTGTTAATTGGCCTTGCATGATCCGGTTGACGTTTCCAGTACACCATGACGCGATATGGAGGGAAGCACCTCAGCTGCATGTCTGCAACCTTAATCCGAAATGCTTAGTTGCACGGAAGCTCTGTAAGGCAATGGTAGACAAGGCGACTTGTACACAGGCCGTGCCTCCTCCTCTCGTCATGAACACGGGAAAGGCTCTCCACATGCTGCGGACACTCCCTCTTTGCAGCCAAAATGTCATGACTACAACCTGTCGTCATTCTCAGCTCTTGGTGGAAAGGTTTCTCCTACCATCGAGAGAAACGAGCAACACGTTACTCTACGGACTGGATATCCGGAACATCTTGCTATATAAGGACGCGATGATCTCAATCTAGATAGTTTTTTCTCTTCTCCATCAGAATCAACATTCAAACCAAACTATCAAACCAACTCTAAACCACAATATACACAACCGCCTCACAGCTTTATACCCCAAGTCTTTTTTGTACAACAACAACAGCATCATTCACAATGTCCGGACTCGTCAACAAGATCAAGGAGACCGTCAGCGGTCACTCTCACGAGTCTTCCACCACGTAAGCATTCTTCAGGCTCATGCCACCTTTCCAACCTCACCATTAGGATAGTAAACTAACACGGCTGTCTAGCAACACCAACACTGGTCGTGAGTACGGAAGCGGAGCCAACACTGGTGTCGGTAGCCACAATGTCAGCAGCGGCACCACCACACCTCCGGCGTCGGCCACACTGGAGCTACCGGTGTAGGAGCTAGCGAATATGGCCGCACCACCGGATCTGGTGCCACCGGCCTCGGCGGTGCCTCCGCCGGCGGCATCCACTCTAGCGAGTACGGAAGCGGAACCACTGGCCGCACCACGGGCGGTGCCGGTGGCGCCTACGGCAACGAGGCTTCCCGCCACACTGCCGGCCCTCACTCCAGCGACCTTGGCAACAAGCTCGACCCCGCGTCGACTCCGATCTTGACAACAGCCGCACCGCTGGCCAGGAGAGGACCTTTGACCGCACCACCGGTACCGGTACCGGTGTCGGCACCGGCGCCGCCTATGGCTCGCACAATACCGGCCCCCACGGCTCTTCCGCTGCCAACAAGCTCGACCCCGCGTCGACTCTGACCGCGACCACCGCGGCGCTTACGGAACCGGCGCTGGCGTTGGTGGCCTGACCGGTGCTAGCTCTGGCACCTACGGCACCCACAACGCCGGTCCCCACGGCTCCTCTGCCGCTAACAAGCTCGACCCCGCGTCGACTCTGACCGCGACCACCGCGGTGCCTACGGAACCGGCGCTGGCGTCGGCGGTGTAACCGGTGGCGTCCACAGCGGTTCTCACAACGCCGGTCCCCACGGCTCTTCCGCCGCCAACAAGCTCGACCCCGCATCGACTCTGACCGCGACCACCGCGGCGCCTACGGAACTGGTGTCGGTGCCGGTGCTGTCGGCACTGGTGCTGGCGTCGGTGCTGGTGCCGGTGCTATCGGCAACCGCGAGTCCAGGAACACCGCTGGCCCCCACAGCAGCGATCTTGCGAACAAGCTCGACCCCGCGTCGATTCTGACCTTGACGGGAGCAAGACTGTTGGCCGTGACCAGACTTACTCCCGCTCGTAAGTTGTAAATTCACCCCCTCAACCCGCACTTGGTTGCAAAGGAGCGGCTGGCTAACCAGGGTCAACAATTTAGAGGCGACTTCGCTGGCAAGAACCCTAGGGACGCCGCCCAGGTGCCCCCTTCGATCTTGAAGAAGGAGGTTGGCGGTGTGGAGACTCTCGACGACGACCACAGCCACAGGCACGGAAAGCACATTGGTAGGCACTAAATGGTGCTCGCCACTACTTCTAGGGGAAAGATGCCGAGAAGGTGTTCTACGAACGTAATGAATAGTTTTATGATATTTTCTTTACACCTCTCTAAGACTGAGCACTTGAGAGAGCAAATATAATCTCCTGGTTAATTATCATTTTCTTGTCCACATCCCCGTGAACACTCTTTCAAATGTGAAATATGCCTGTAAAAGCAAAAAGCAGTGAGTCGACCAGCTGCTCTTTGGCTCTGGTGAAGATTGACATGTCTCATTTCCTCGTGGATGCGCGTGCAGTGAGACCATCCACTGCTACCTGCGCAGTGAGCGATAGGAGCCTGCACGTCTTACCATAAGTATTTCTCCACATACACATATTTGTAGCAAAGGGAATTGGAATTGAAAACGAACAAAGCGAACAAACAACAGCGCTCCCAGTTGAACGTTTCCTTTCCGCTCCCCTTGCTTACTCAGCGAAATCAAACACACCACCCCACTTGCCCCGGACGCCATTTCAATGATGCCTCCAGACTCGGTCTGCTTCACATCCCACCCACCTCCCTCCCTTCCTCGCCCTGCGCGACGGACAGGTAGCAAATGAGCTCGACAACCCCGATCCCGCAAGCCCTCTGGGCGCAGCGCGTCCCGCTCATCATCACGCACACGTCCGCGCCGGCGACGCAGTTCGTCACCTCGGTGCCGAGATTCAGCTACCTCGCCCTGCTGCTGCCCCGCCTGGGCGTCTACTTTCGCCTGCCGTGCTCGAGCTTCCACCACGAAGAGGTTTTGCTGCGCAATTTGGCCGTGGGCCTGCTGCTGGACTTGTATCAGCCCACCCTGCCGTGGAAGCTCACTGTTAGCGATGGCGTGGGGTGGGATATCGCGGATACGTTTCTTAATAGCGTCAAGGAAGTGCGTTGCTGTTTTCTTTTTGCTTTTTTCCACATCCATTTCCCTTGTCGTGCGCGGAGCTGACTTGCATGTGTAAACGAGCAGGCCGACTTTGTACGCAACGGGAATGCGAATCAGATCATGAAAATGTCTCGGAACGACACGACCTCGCTGTGGAACGCCGTACAAGACAATGACTACGCCACGTTTTCCCGCATCAACAACCGACTCTTGAACCCGCCAACCCCTCTCAAACACGTCCCCATCCGCGTTTATATTCCTTCTTCGGGGCCGGGGGATGCGAACGCCTCGGTCGTGGGCGTATCCTCGCCCACCGCCTCCTTCAAAATCGTACAGACGCTCGTGCCCGGGACCACGACAGCGCCAGTGAACAGGATGTCGTCGAGCGTGATGCTTAATGCGCGGCAGGCTCAGGCGCCACAGACACTGGGCATGGCGCTCAAGGGCATGCTCCCCGAGCTGTTTCCCAGCAGCCGCGATCCGGTGCTCGCCAACGTAGTTTTGAACGGAGCGACGGTGCCATTCAACGCGCCCCTGGTTGAGTTGATGAAGGAGGCCGCGTTCCCGGATGGCTGGCTTTGTCTTGTCGTGGTGCTCCTATGATATCGGCACCAATGGTAGCACTTTTTTATCCCCCTTTTTCCGAGGCCGGAATGGAATGCTAAGCATATTCATTCCGTGCAACATCGCTGCGCCGTGATTTTCAGAAAAATGGTTACACATGAGGGAATGGAAATATCGGTCTAAATCGGTAACTCCCCGGATGCCGAACCCATTCCCGCCCGAGCGAAATCGGCTCGGCGATATCAAGGACAGTCGGCAGCACACTTTTCGCCACAAGAATGACTAGACCCCACTGTGAATGAGCCTCCAATGCTCGACACCAAATCATACCAAAACGACCATAAGCTGACACACAGGACTTGGGTCCGCGGGCCGCCTTCTAAGCAGTGGTACCAATGTTTCAAGCTTTCTACTATCGCAGTGTCCACATCTTTACCTACCTTCAATAGGAAGGTAATTGGGCATGTGAGCGTAGAGTATGCAAAGGTGATTTTACAATAGAAGTTGGTGAATCCTAGGAAACCCCGAATGTCTCGGTGGAAGACGCTGCAGCTTTTTTTTTTTTTTTCTTTTGGGTTAGCATAAAGTTCAGCAGCCCAAAGACATCCGAGGATAAGTCGGAGATACTAGTCATTATACTTCTCTGTTTCTGAGAAGATTAGTATATCTTGGAGGTATGCTAGGCAGCAATCATCTAGGAGTCCGGAGAGAGCTCGGTGAACGTGCGCCTGAAATGTTGCAGGCGTGCTGGCTCGTCCAAGAGGCATGACTGTAGACTCAAAGTGGGACTTTTATGGATTGATTTTGGACGGCGATGAGCCTACATTTTAGAGGAGTTCTTGGGTTGACTCCCGGCCTGGCAAGAGCTCCAGCGCTCAAACAGTACATGGAGGAATCGACGCAAGATAGGTTACGGCAGAAGATATGCTCGCCGGCGAACTCATAAATACAAACCCCCGCAGCACGTCGAATGGAGCCAATAGAGACTACAACGATGGGGGTCCTTCTAGAGCCCTGTTGGAATTTGGAGAGTAGAGCAATAGACCGGCCATCGGAGTCAGAAAGTCCCCCAAAATAGCCAGGCTAGCCACCGCAGAAAGTAGAAACTATCACTGCAGCCTTCTCTTTATCTTCACCTTCCCGTCCATCAAAACACCATCACTAACCTGGAGCAAAAACAAGCCACCCTGGACCAGGAATCCTAGGGGTTTAAAGAAAAGGGACAACAGGTAGAATTATAAGTAACCCCTCGAAGAAAATCCACAATCAATGTCAAAGACCACATGGCTCTCGACGAAACTTGCGGGGCAGTAGGGCTGAGTCCACACAAGGCATAAATGCGGAGTTCATATTATACCCTCACTTCGGAGTACGGCTGCGCTGAATTCTACGAAGTAGTAGCAATTGAGCAGGTAAAGAGCCGGGACTATGATTCAAGGGGAAGCTCGTTCTCCCATCTGCTTCTCGTCCAACTCATCCCAGCTCTTCTGGCAGATGGTATGAACAGGGGCCAAGGCTGAGACTGGTTTCATCCCTCTTCACCATTCAGGTTCATATTTTGGTACTTGGTGTTGAAGGGTGGAAGGATGGGATATCGAACTAATGCCGAATCCGGAAGCGTTATTTGCCACATCCACATCCGGATGGCGTTTACCTTTATATCTGACCGGAGCGGCCGATGAAAAACAGATCATATAAATATCCTAGAAATATCATCTATAAAGGGGCAGGAATTCCCTATAGAAACAGATCTATTAGAAGGATCTAAGCAGCGAATACAAACAGCATTTTACCCCCTATTTAATAGTTATAAGCCTAGAATCACTCTCAGCTTAAGTATCTTTTATATCCTCTTAGCCTACTAGAAATAAGTACCTTTCAATAGTATCCTCATATATTTATAGTGGTATCACTATTATTAGATACCTCTTATATCCACATCCTAAGATATCTACTTATACTATCACTTACACTATATCGAAGAAGGCATCTACTATTATCACTACCTATCTATATCACCTAGAAATCATCTATAATAACCTTCTATTACCTTCTTCTACGATATTATCTTCTACTATATCTTCTATTATATCTTCTATTATATCTTCTATTATATCTTCTACTATATCTTCTATATATCCTTCTAATATCTATCACTTCTAAGAACTATCCTATCTATTAATACTATATCTAATAATATTAAATGAAATATATAAGATGATTATCCTTTCTAAACTAGAAGACTTTCTAATATAGTATAAGGAACTTAAAGACTACTATATAATATAGTAGATCTATAGATATTATAACTTTCTAGTGATTAAAGGTGATAAAGAAGGTAATATATCTATAGTTACTACCCTATATCTAATAGAGCTAGAATATCTAGAATAACTAGTATTATTAGAGGATACTATTAAAAGAGAGATCTATAAGATCAATCTAGTAGAATACTATAGAAAAATAAAGAAATATAAGAAGTTCTATAAAGAGGAAAAATAGCTAAGTAAGGTTATCTATATATCTATTCTAAAGAAGATCTATACTCTAATCCTAAAGGGAGCTACTATAGAAGAAAAGGTTAAGTTTATAAGAAACTACTTCTATATTGATGACCTATAGATACTATAGACCTTAGAAACTAAGTAGATATAGCTAGTTTAGTAAGACCTTTACTAAACTAATATCTAATAATAGTAGGAAGATCTTACTAACCTATATTAGATATTAAAAGTATAGAACTTATATATAATTAAAGATAAGAAAGATATAGAAAGTATTCTATTAGCTATTAAATACTATAATAAGTTAAAGGTGATATCTAGAAAGATCTTCTATAATAAGATTATAGAAGATTTAAAGGAAGATAAACTAACCTTCTACTATATAGTAGATACCTTACTATATAACCTTCTAATAAAGAAGAAATACTATAAAAAGAAGAAGAATATCACCTTTACTATATTTAATAGATTATTACTAAATCTACTATTAAAGGTAGATATTCTAGCTGATAATACCTATAATAGTATATATAACTATAAAGGTTACTACTACTAGAAGTTATACTATAGGCTATACCTCTATATCTAATATAGTAATAGTACTAGGTAGCTAAATAGTAGCTAGAAGGTAGCTTATAAAATATAGCTATAAGATCTATCTAAGAAAAGAAGGCTCTAAAATAGTAAAAGTTAGAAGGTTCTAATATAGTAGAAATATCTAAAGATTCTAGTAATTTTAATATATATATTATAATAAAATATTATACTACTTACTTATAGTTAGTTAAACTATCTATAAGTAAGTTAGTAAGTAAGATAATACTATCTATCTCTTTAGGGTAATTATAGGTAACTTAGTTTTATATATACTATACCTATTTATATTATAATAAAATAAGGTAGATATTAATATATTTAGAGGTAAGTTCTTATCTTTTCTATCTAGGGGATTACTATCCTTTTATATCTTCTACTAGCTAGCTCTTACTTACTAGTATCTAATAGTAATCCCTTCCCTAGGTTACTAACTATAGTAGTAATCACTTATTATTATATTTTACTAATAATCACTTACTATAATAATAGTTCCTTACTTAAATAGGGGTTTACTAACTATTATTAATATTTACTACCTAATAAATATCTATTAATATAATAATACCCTAATTTAATAAGAAATATCTAATATCCTTATTAAAACTCCTTTCCTCTTAGATATCTAGCCTTCCTCTTTTTATTTAGTATAGTAAGGTAAATAAAATATATATTTACTTAAATAAGATATTATAAATAAATATAATTAATAAATAATTACTAATTCCCTTTTACCTTTACTAGCTACTTATTTATATATTAGCTTTTATTCCTATCTTATACTCTAATATACTTTCTAATAAGTATTCTCTCCCTACTTCTATTCCTTTACTAGTTCTACTACTATACTATATAGCTCCTAGTTCTCCTCTTATAGTTTTTAATATTTATTATATAAGGTAGTAATCTCCTTCTTATACTATAAGAGATTAGTAATATCTATATTATTATTATTTTCCTCTTCTACTAAAGGGATTACTTTTACTATCCTTATATTTAATAACTACTAAAAGAGGGATATAGTAGTTCTATAAGTAATACTAGGTTTAATATAAGGTAACTTATTATTTAGGTAAAGGGTTAATACTTAAATATATCTATATAATAGCTTATAGATAAAAAGTCCTTTCCTTTCTATATAGCTAATAAAGTTACTAATTAATCTAAGCTCCTTTATTAATACTCTAATAACTTTTAATAATAGTTACTATTTTTTCCTTTTATTTCTAGTTAACTAGTATATCTAGTAAAAGCTTACTTCCTCTCTACCCTTATCTTTATATAAGTTATTATAGCTATTAAAGTTTATCTCTTCTTTATTAGTTTTAATTATAACTTACTTAATTATATTATCCCCTTTATTATCCTATTTATATATATCTATTACCTTTCTTAGTAATTTTTATATATCTTTAGTATATTTCTTTATAGTTAAGTTACTTATCTCTTCTTATATTTACTTATAGGGGTAATAGTAGTAACCTACTTATTAGAGAGTATTCCCTAATTTACTATATCTATTTCTTTAAGGTCCTACTAAAATACTAATAAGAGGTTAAATATATCCTTATATATTTAAAGTATAATAATTATTAATTATTTAACTTTTCTATATTCCTTTTTATCCTTTTAAGCTTAAGTGATTATAGTTAATTTACTTTATATATTATAGATTATAAGGTTATCTACCTACTTATACTTTAGCTAGTATTTCTTATAGAATAATTTAACTATATTTAAGATATTTCTTTATAATAACCTTTCTTTATAGAGTTCTATAATCTATTTTATAGCTTCCTCTCTAAAAGTATATTTTTATCCTTCTTAGTAGATATCTTTTTCTTATTAGTAATTACTAATATAATACTTTTTAAACCTTTACTTTTAGTTCTCTAGTTACTTATCTAATAGTAAGTAATATTTATTATAAGGTTAAGGTTT